TGGTGGGTATCCGAATTTTTACTCTTCGCTTGCCAATGCTTTTTTTCCCTTCTCTGGCACCGTCTCCCTAGTGCCTGAGTGACTAAAGAGAGGTATTCCAGTTGAGCATCTTCGACCGAATAGCTCACCACTTCCGTCTGCGTGGATTATGGTGTGACGGGAAGACTTGCAAGAACGCGGGCCTTGCAGTGTGACATAAAAGGACTCGACTAGGGGGGACGGCCATTTGTGGTTCCCTCAACCGTTGCTTTATTGCCGCTGCTCGGATTTTTAGTACTATTCCATTTATGCAATCATCGAAATGTGCCTCAACAACCGGGAATCCCGTTTTTTTGTTTTGTTTTTGCTGTACATGGGTCAATGGCCAGGCGCGAAGGACTATATTACGTACAACGCATATCTGTTCGCAGGAGGTCACGATACCCCTGCGGCCCTGCGCATCACAGCGTACTCCCTTGCTCGATCTAGCTTATTACCGAACATCCACTCTACAGCACTGTGACGTCGTCGATGAGCCCACGGGCCCAGCATTTACACACATGGACGACAAAGATGACTTATGGCCATATCTGGCAACTTTCCAGGCCACAAAACCATCTAGTAAGACAGCTTTGAGATATAATGAAAAAAAAAAAACGAGTACCAAGTCAGAGGCCTGCTCTTCATTGGAGGACCGAGATAACATACTTGTACATGCGAATACAACCTACACAGGAGCCTCCGGGGAAGATGAGACGGCACAAACCATCTTACAGTGGAGCGGACTAAAAGGCCCGTTGCCTCGCCTCCCATGCCTGTTCTTGTCTGGACAATATTGCTAAGGTGGGCCGCGTGCTTATGCATGTTCTTCAAAATCTCGATGTCATTTCATGGTAAAATACAGGGGCCTCATCGATGAAGCACCGAAGCGCACGAATTTGGTTTTAGAGGGAGGATGCAGAGCAATTAGGCGTTCAAATTGGTAAGCTTTGCAGCATTGGATTTTTTCATCGCCAACATTTTGGTAAGATAAAAATGACCACATGGAGCATCGCAAATTGACAATCACGCAACTTGGTCAACGCACAGGTCGATATGGTCACCGCGGTCTCTGTCAAAACTCGTGCTACTATTTCTAGGCGGATGATGACAAAGCTTGCGTGCTGGGAATCAATGTCCATCAAGGTGTGAATACAGGGCATGATACGTATTCATCACGCACCTTTTGAAGATATTTCGGCCGTGGTTTATCTACCAGGAGCCGGCTTTTCTTATGTAAATGGTATTCAATACATGTTACACAACCGTCAGTTCGTCCTTCAACTTGACGATGTGGTCCGCGACCCGGCCGTGTCCGGATTCGGCCAACTTTGTTCGCCTTCCACTGAGAAGGTCGGGCCAGAGATAAGAACAGACACCCCCTGTCATGGGTCAGGGTTACCTTGATCTAATGGGCCGTTGCTGAGGTGGAGCGTCAGCCACTGATAGGGGAGGGGTTGAGTCAATGTTGAAAAAGGGATCCTAGTACATAGACTAACAACTTAAGCCCTACTGAGTGCTCGCAGTTGGAAGCGTTGGCGGAAGGCTGTGATAATGCAAGTAACATCTCCACAGGCTTCCACGGTCACAGGATGGGGCATGGGGGAGCGGGGGAGGAGCAACGTCAGTTCAAACACTTGAAGCAGAACAAGCAAATCAGCCAAGGGGTTTAAGGACACTCGAGGAGTGCGGGAAGTGTGAATACCCGCGCCAATTTGGCTCCAACTGTGCTGACCTAGCGGATGGGCATGGCTGTGGTCGGTGAGCTCAATCATTCAGTGCTACTTGATGAGTAACATCTGGAAGGCCAGCTCCGCGACGGTGGATGCGACAGAGACGAATGGCTCCCAAGTTCCAACCGCCGTGTTGAACAGGGGCATGATGGTTCTGAAAACTCTCCTGGTCGTTGCGCGCTCGGCTTCTTCCTGGGAAATGGGCTCATGTCAACCCATCTTGCGGGCCGTGCAAAGAAGTTGAGTGGTTGGGGGAAAAACTCGAACTGCAACTACAAACTGGGTGCAAAACTTCAGAGAAGTGGCAACGCATTTTGGTACCCACCGCCGGCGCCCTCGGTGGCGACTTGCCGGGATGTCAACGAAAGCCAGGGACTGCATGCGGTTTCGAGACTCGATGCTATTCTGGGTAGGAGATGTCGTTGAAGGCCGTTGAGGGGACTCGGCATGCCGTGCAGGTGCGAGGATGCTGGTTACAAGCATTGCCATGAAGACATGCTGCGTTGCCAACTTGGTGATACACGGAGCACAGCAGCCAATGCCTCCCAGTCAAGATGCAACAACCATGGCAGCAGCAAAGATTGGCATGCCGCCAGGAGACTTCCGTGGTTGGCGCGGGCGGCATCGCGAAAAAGCTAAAATAGTGTGCGGTCCCGGCTCCCGCGAGGTGGACGCCATTTTCCTCAGCTCGTCAACAAAGCGCAAATTGTGCTTTTTTGACATCGATTCGGTCCTCTCCAACTGTTCAAGTCGAGCAAGTCGGGATATTTTGGTGGGCAGCGGCATGCCTAGTTTTGTAGCACTTGTCTTGCATTGACGGGTGGCGGTTTACGAAACACGAATTGATGCGCGTCAACTGTATCGCCGGGAAACCGTTCAACGTATGCCCTGGCGACCTTGATCAAAAGCGTTGTATTACTTTCCCATGGACCCTTGGGACGTCAATCACCTTGGTGTGTTGTGCGCCACAAGGGTCTTCCTGGAGTTCGACAAGGCTCGAATCTGGGGCACGTTGGTCGTCGTGGTGTTGAAGGTGGCGAATTTCTCGGCCGGTCAAGAAATCTCGCAGCTCCAAACCTGATGGTGCCCCAACAATGCAACTCAACCAAGAAACAGTTTGGTCTTGTGCATCATGCCTGTTTGGTTACGTCTGGGCTCAATGTGGCTGCACCATGGCGCAGAGAATGGAACATTGGCTCTCTTCCATGGCCATGTGAGTGAGGCCCGCTGCAAACGGACAACCCCCCTGGAATCCTCCCTTTGTGCAGAGTATTCCCCTCCCGGGTAGGTCGGCGTCATCTACGCAAAATGGCTTATCAATTGACACGGCACGAATATCTGTCTACCTAGGTAGTTGGTGTGCCGCTGAGCTAAGCTCCTCATGGATGCAGCTCACGACTCCATATCTATTCCTCCTGCTTTACAAGCAAACAACGGCCTGGATAAATTGGCTGGACTTGGTACGCAAAGATGCCATTGCGTGTTGGCCGTGGCGATAGAGAAGGTTGTGACGACTTGGGGCATCAAGACTTGGGACCGCTTTGATCTCTGAGATTCAAGTCATAATTTGCCATGGATGGAGGGGGCTCGCCCTCGCGATCTCGCATTCTCCTCAGTTCAAGCCTAAAAATAGGGGGAATCGCATCCCTCTTACATGAACTATAAAAGCAGTTTGGCATCGCTACACTGGCTTGAACATTCTTGGTAAAGCTTGAGGGGCAAGGGGAAAAAAGGACGTGCAAAACAGCCACGGAAACTATATTTCCGCCTTCAGCATGGGCATCGTCCGACAATGTCAGTGTGGCTGAATGGTAACAACCGCCGGCCACGACCAGACGCTAATGGATTTTTTTGTGGCAGCTGTGCCGCAGTAGCATCCAGCTGGACTTTGCTCTTTCAAGCTGCGGTTACTTATCGCCTCCCGGTGACTGAACTGGACCGCCTGACGAATGGTGCCAGTGCCAGGCATCGTTCGTGCCTCTCGGTGGTGGTGAAGCCTTACATAGTAGCCTCAGCCTGCCCCAACCCTTGAGTGCCCTTGTTTGAAGCTCGCATGGGGTTGAGAAAAAAGCGGCCAGCGCCCAACCGCTGTTGCATACGAACCTGGGAGAAGCACATGCAAATGCTGTGGTGGCGGATATGGGGTACATGAAGCAACGAGTTGTAGAATGTCGGCTAGCTGCAACAACTCGCATCTGCCGCGGTCTTGTTGTTGCCTCCCCCTCAACAGATAACGACCGCCTCCCCCTTTCATTCGCTTCTGGTGTCCATCCCTTGCTCACCGTATGCAGGTTAATACCAGTATGACAAGACGGGGTTGGCTGTACGTGGCCCGAGATCAACTGCCTCGTATACGTCTACTTTTGCCCTTGGTCGGGTACACGGCAAATGAATGATTTTGGCTGGAAATGGAACCCTTCTTTTCATCATGACGGCCGGCTGATCCTTGGCAGGCGTGGTAGCATACGTTGTCGAGGCAAAATGGCTTCAACACGGACGCAGACGAGAAAATCTCTAGGGTAGTGGTCTGGACTGCGAATCTCAGCAGTTCCCAATGGCCCATCTTTGCTGGCTATTGGTGCCAAAATGGTCATGTCCCCGCCGGCTTCATATTGCAGTTGTTATAGAGATGGCTCTATTATTGAAAGCTCTAACCCTCCTTTTGGCAGCGCGTCCAACGAGTGTTCTTGTAGCTAGGCGAAGAGTATTGGGCAACAACCTCAGGTAGCCGGTTATTGCCTACTATACTGATATGAAGAGCCCTGGAAACAGCTCTAAATCGATGCAAAAAGGAAGGTTCATCGATCGTTGCTACTGCCGATGCAGATTAGATGGGTATCCGCGGGTGCTTCACCATGCAAACACTCGAGTTCAACGGGTCGCCTCGTCATATCCACGCACCGGCTGCCGCCCCTGGGAAAGGGTTTACGACGGCGAAAAGTATGTCTGCCATTTTTGTTGGTCTCTGGCTTCTCTTGAAAGGAGCGTGACCAGGAAAGCCGTTTTGGGAGCTCACGGTAGCTTCATGCCTGTAGCACTCGAGTCAATTCTAGACCGAACCGAATGGCTCTTATCATCCGGGTCGCACAGTCTTGGAGAAACGACGATGTCAGCCTCGCGGAAGTGAGTTCCCCACGCCTTGGCAGCGTAGTCTAACAGGGTGTGGATATCCCAAACGTGGCCAGGTTCCTTAATCGCACTTGTCTTGAAAGATTAACATTGGCGTTGGGCAGATTCGATGCAGCGTCGTCACACATAGGCTTTCTGGGTCTGGTTGGCGGTGCATACTACTGCAGTGCCCTCGCGGCCGTTGAAGCTGCCTCCATCTGTGTATATAAGAATGGCATTTGGCTCACTGTCGATGCTATCCTGTGTTTGTCTGGTGCCTCCTCGGCGTTTTCTTGGATGAGCGTTTTCGGACCTGTCGACCATTTTGAGACGCGCGGGGAGGTTGATCCGATTCCTCTGATGTTTGTCCTCTATGGCCTTGTGTATCGCCTTGCGCTGTCTTGGACCGGCCCATGTTGTGAATCTTGTCCCCAGGCTCTATTATGCTTCTAGACTTGATGCTCGTTTCGACATCCAGGGCCGGTAGGCCTTGCCCATGCTCCCGCGTTTTGCCGTGTATGTCATGATTCGCGTTCTCTAGTTGGCGTCGGAACACACAGAGCATGTGTACATGATTTGCGGCACAGCGCGTCTTGGTAAATCTTGGATGTTGAAGAGGGAGGTCCATGTCGAGCTGCCCATCGGGGCTGGGGTTGTCTTGTAGTCACGCTTCACCTTGATTAGCTGCTGGATGGCACGTGAAAGTATGCCACCATGAATGTATTCCATATGGCTACGGAGTATTCATTTCAAATTTTCATTTCGGTCGTATTGACAAGTACACTCTTCTAGACTTGGAAATTCGTGTCACAGGCTGGCTGGCAACAAGCATGTACCATTTCTCGCCACAACACCTCTGCCGTACCTAAATTAGTAGCTGCCAGAGGCCTTCTGTCTCTGCCGTGTCGTCGAAACAAGACACGAGCCGTCAAGGGTCTGGTCTAGCTTTGGTCTGACGTAGCCTGATTTTTCTCGGGCTTGGCATCGGGATTTGTGAACTATTCCCATCTGTCCCCCTCGATCCCATTGAGAACACCCCAATTATGGCCGGCAATTCACCATTGCGCCTTGCTGCTGGACATTTATCCTAGTTTAGTTGCAAATTGGAATACAAGTTGTTGCAAACACGGGACGGCGTCCATGTAGTATCCAAGTAAACAGTAATAGTAGAAATACCTCGTCCCTAAAGATTATGTTATACTCGCCAACTACCTAGGTACGCAAGGCTCACTTAGTCTCATCGCGAGCGTCGTCGGCATAGTAAGTACCAAGCACCGCATTTGCGATTGCCGCATCAACAACGAAGAAACCATCGACAGCGGCAGCGCCCAACATTGACATGTCCTAATGACTCGTCTCCAGCGGATTGGCTGCCCTTTTCCCCAGAGGACTCGTATCGCTCTTGGGCAGTCTGAGTGGCCTGGCTCGACAACTCGCCGCAAAGTGGAATCTTGAACTGCCACGGCGCCGAACTCCCCGTGACGTACGGAACGCTCTACGCTCGCGATCTTGTTCTGGTTGCCAATATGACAGGTGTGCGTGCCAGTGGAAGACGAATAGCTGGCCGTGGCGACAACTTCCTAGCAAAGAAAGAGCGGACAGGTTGAATTTCCACGCCTCAAGGAGATTTGGCTACTGGCTACCAGGCTGCGAGTAATATATTGGGGCGTGGAGGCTTCCCGGGGAAAGGACAGTGTACCGAGTCCTATCCGCGTCTGTAGGGCCTTGATTCCTTGGAGCTTTTAGTGTAAGTAAGATGAGAAGACGATATGGATCAAAGCTGCTGTGGTTTGCTCTCCTGTTTTGATGATAAGCATTTCAGCTACCGTCAAATCATCTTGATACGTAGGGAGCAGGGCACGCGAATAACTCGCTTCATAATAATAATAGTTTCTTTCGGGCTGGCAAAATGCTCTTTTGTAAATCGATCGAGGTTGAAGCACCCCTTTCGGGAACCTATACTCAATCTTGTCGCTATCAATGCTTCCGTTTGCAATTTTCTGCGACTGATGCACGCGGCTTTGTTCAAATAGCATAGCTAGCTGGTGCGAGCTGATTCGCAGCACTCATAGATACTCGTTGGAGGTGGCCACGACGAATCCAACCTACTAACTTTGTTTTGTGTCTCGAGTATCGGCGTCGTCGTTTGTAGATGAGTTGGCACTACCGTTCCCGGGGAGTACAGTTCTACACTTGTTTTCGACCTAGACGGCCTTGGGCTGGTTGCTGGAAGTTGCTGGAAGTTGCTGGGATGTCTCTGTGCCGGTTGCGCCTTGGACTAGGTGAAGCCGGGCAAGCTGTTTCCACGGCTGCTGTCAGAGAAAACTGCGGTGTGTTTCTGCCGCATCTCTCGACGCATAGGCAGAAATACCGCCAGGTAGGAGCTTTCGACCTAGATTAAAATAGAGTAGTTACATCTGCCCCGTTTCAGAAATCAGGCATATCCTGCCCTAGGATCTAGGAGGAAGGCTTTGGCGCAAAGGCTGGCGTGGGCAGGCTCTCATCGTGGCAAAATATCTCTTAGGCCTGGCGACACGGGACCAAGAGCTGGACCCATGTGGATAGGATCACTGAGCAAGACCATTGTCAGTCTTGCATAACATCACTTTACATTGCGCTCACTCAAATGAGCACCGTATACGGAGTTATACCACGTGAATTCCTTGAAAAAAATCCAACTGTATTTCTATTCTGGACAAAACAACCAGCCCCTAAACGCGGGGTTTCTTACTCGCCTTGGACAGGGGGACCGGCGTAGTTCTTGTGACCCCAGACCCAGTACCAGATACCTGAAATGGCAACGGCCGCGACGAATACTGCAGGAGCGTAGTTGACAGTGGTGGCTTGGACGGGGATAGCCGAGGGCATGCAGAAGAGCGGAAGTGCAAGGGCGGACCAAGCTACACGATGCAGGATTAGCATGGGCATTTCCCGGAGGCGGAAACAGGCCACGATGAATGGCGATGAATGGCGACGACTTACAAATAGCAATAATGTTGGCAACGTATCCGAATCTGCCCAGCGAGAACTTGGCCGCCTTGACGGCCTTGCGACCATCCAGCAGGCTAATGACGATTGGGCAGGCGTATGAGGCAGTAAGCGAAATGACACCAACACCCGAGAAGGCATTGAAGGCGGCCGAGGATCCAAAGTAGATCAGACCAAGCACAATCTCAACAGTCATGCAGAGCATCATGGCGTTCAGAGGGACGTCGAGAGTGTGGTTGACCTTCATCCAGATCTTGGATCCGGGCACGGCACCGTCACGGGAAAACGCCCAGGCGCAGCGGGAAGAGGCAGTCGTGCAGCCGATGCCACAAATGAGAGCAAGCACCATGATTGGGAACAAGAGCCCAAAAGCACCGCCAGAGTTTCCAATGGCAGACTTGATAATAGGGGGCACGGGTTGACCAGAGGCAAGGCTGGCGAGCATGGTGAGATCGGGGAGGACAAAGACGAGCGGGATGAGGAAGAGCAAGCCGGCAACAGTGTTGATGCCAATGGTGGCAACCATGGCCTTGGGAACCTGAGTCGCAGGGTGCTGGACTTCTTCACACATGCTGCATCAACAAGTCAGCGGGAGAAAACGGGGCAAAGGAGCCACGGGCAGGGCAGTTCTCACGAGATAATCATTCCGGTGGAAGAGGTCGCATATCCCGCATGCAACAGACCAACCATGTATGACCAACCATCGGGCCAACCCGAGTTGTTCTCAAAGTAGGTGAAGACCCATTTGGCATCGTGGCGACCATTCTTGGCAATGGCAAGCACGCAGACCATGATGGCAATGACACCGGCAAAGGTCCAGAAGATGGCGGCAGTCTGGCAGCAATGGCATGTTAGCGCGGTACTGGGACATTGATTGGCACCTATGCTCTTTGACGGTCTACTTACATCAATCCAGGGAAGCCACTTGTTGCCGAGGGCAGAGACGGCGTTGCACAGAAGAGTGATGCCGAGGAAGATGAGGAAGACTTGGTAAGGCTTGCCCTCCAGAACCGGGTGGTCGTCGTCTTGGGCAAAGACGTTGACGCACGAGACGAAGAACAGAGTGGTACCAAAGTTGACGGCCAGGGTAATGGTGATGTTGCCGACCAGGTATGCCCAGCCGCAGATCCAACTAGCAATCCTACGCCATTTAGCGGGCGCAAGCATAAAGGCCTGGTAGTAGACACCTCCGGCGGTAGGGTAGACGCTGGTGATTTCACCCAGAGACGCGGCGACGCAGACAATAATGGCCGAGACAGCAACCCAGCCCCAGATGATGTCGACGGGACCGCCGCCGGTTATGGGGTAGACAAGGGTGGTTGCGAGACCGTAGGGAATTGAAGCCAGCACAAAGGACATGAAGGCAACCTGGAAAGTCGATCGGTTTCGCGACAGCTCGGGCTTGTACCCGAGGTTCTCGAGGATCTGGTCGGCAGAGTCATTCTCGTGCGAAAGGCGCAGATGCTGGTCGGCCTTGTTGTCGACGTCGGACGGACTGCCGTGCGAGTCCCGCTTGGTGAGCGTCATGGCGAGAGCGGTTTTGGCGGGGCAATCGGTTGGGTGTTGGCTGTCAAAGGGTCAAGATGGTCGAGTTTCGCGATGCGATGGGCCGATGCGACACCAGGTGCAAGCGGGAGATGGGCGGGGAGGAGACCAGACGCCGAAAAAACAGAACAAGCAACGGAAGGGAATGAAGCTATTGCGCCCAAAGGACCCAAGGCGAACGCTCAAAAACAAGGGACAAAGGGCGTCTTGATATAAGGCATGGACGAGCAGGTGGAGGAGAGAAGGGAACTCGAAAGAAGGGTCAGGCGGCGGTTCGGCGATATAAACATGGTGGAGCTAAACACCACCAAAGCCAAATATTGGAGGTGGCTCTTGTCTTGAAGAAGCCAAGCATCCCAGCCCGGTTTCAATGGTTCGGCTTGACTGGGGTGCTTGCAGGGCCCGCGCATGGGGACGTTAGATCGATTGCACGACTGACTGAAAACGAAAGCTGAGGTCAAGGGCCGCAATCTTCTTTCTTGTGGCGACGGTCGATGGCAGCCCCGGTCGGCGTGGGCGAGGGTTGGATTAATGCGGCTAGCCCCGCGCGCCAGACGAGGACTGCTGCCAATCGTCCAATCCGGCGCCGGGATAGCGGCGTAGTGCGGCTGTGAGATAATGTTGTGCGCAGTACGGAGTTACCTCTGGCTGGACGAAGCGAGAGGTCGCGTGCTCCCGAGGGTGGTGTACGTGGTTGACCAAGACGAAGCCTTCGAGACTCTGCGAAGCAATTCACGTCCCAAGCCATCTGCACATTGGACTCTTCTTGGTGGCGGGCGGAAGGCGTGATGGTGGACCGCGGGGTTGCAGACATCTGGGCGCCCTGCCAGGCGACGAGGAAGGAGCGCCCGACCATCAGTTTTGAGGACATTCTGACACTGAGACGGCACAAGCGCCACAAGCCACACCACCACCAGCCTCTCGCACTTCATGAATTCCTGTTCCGTGATGCCGACCCAACTCTTGCATCGCACGAGGCCAGACGGTGGCATTGCAGCCTGCGCCAGGCCACGGGTGCTCTGTCCAACAAGGCATGTTCCTCCGAAGTATTTTGCTCACACCTGTTAGTTGTATCCCATCCCGCCAGTGATCAGCAACGGTTGTGGGCCGCATGGTGGTCGTGGACGCTGGCATGCGATGCCATTGCTACAATCCCCTTGTCCGCTTCCACTGCTGGAGGGAGCCATTGACATTGGCGTCTTACTCGTGTCGACGGTCAGCCAACACTTGAGCAATCCCAGCGCCCTGGTGGAGATCACAAATTGTGGGTAGTGAACGTCAGGACTGGACAACACTTTTAAACATGGGGGCATCCAGGAGGCGTTGACATTTATGGAGCTATCGACAGGGAACACAGACAACGGTAGCGCCTCTGGACTCCTGACTGGCTGAGATGTCGTAACTGACGACTGCTACAGCGAAGCATAATGCCGAATTTTGGGCGAAATGCCTGTATCGTCGTCCAAACATTCTTTCGGCTCGCTCGCCAGAATGTCTTTTTCAAACACATTCGTGGCGGTATACTTTGAGCCTGCCTACACTTTAAGCTCCCGCCTCTTCCCGACAGCTGAGTTGATTGTCTAGGCCCCAAATGATTTCAAGCGCATGGCCGGGAGAACATAACGTTTTGAAAATATGACATTCGCCAGGCGGTTGGCTACATCTGCTACTACGGGCACCCACTAGAGGTGCAAGGTTGAATATTACGCTACATGGAACGTAGCTTGGTTATGACATGGATCACCCAACGCAATTACATACACTGATGCATGAACAACCTCCAAGGGTGGCTCGCTTCAAGGCGTTGCTTCCTGTCTTTTGTCCTGCGAGCCGTGTCAGTTCCTATTCCTTGTGAGAAACATAAAATGCCCACATGGACGACAGCGCACGCGAGAATTAAAGATGAATCCTCGCACAGCCATGAACTTCTCCACCGCAAGAGGCGGGCTGTGGAGAGGCATGCAACTAGGAGGAGTTCAACAATGGAGTCTGGGAGCCATAGTTTGGGGACATGGCCAACGAGAGCCTTGCCGAGACTCAGCAGAACGGGTCTCTGGACTGTTTGAAGATTTAACTGTGGGCTCATTCAATGAGAATCACTTGGCAGGGGAACCACAACGACGTCACTCTGGGTCTGGAGGATTTTCCGATCCAGCCCCTCCCATTCGCCTATCGTGAAAGCCAGTGTCGAGCTCCGAGACAAGCCGCTGAGGAAGGACATGTGTGGGAGGAGGTCAAGGGCCTGTCGTGTCATCACTGAGACGTTGAAATTTGACAATATTCTCATGCAAAGAGTCTGCGGAATAATAAACCTAAGCACCAAGCGCCATAGCCCAAGCGACGGAGTATAAAAGCGCCTGGGGCCATACTTTTTGCAATCACGGATCGAGCCGAGGCCAGCTCACCGACTGGTGCATTCAATGGACGCGACGATTGATCCTGGGCCGCAGAGCTTAAATAATCATCGTCTTCGTCTCTATGCCATGAAACATCTGTGCATAACGGCTGCTTGGAGACGGCCACGACGCAGGACGGCCACGACGCAGGAGGTCTTAGTCAAGGCATGCTAAGTACTACGTACAATTCTCACAAAGGTCGCATGTGGGCGGAGCCCAAACGACGAACCAACACATGCAGACTACTCCGTACACGAGCAGCGAAATGAGGCACCCGTTCTCTGGCTATCACGTCGCACCCTGACAGGTGCCCCCCTCCTGGTGGCTTGCATCGCTCCGATTATTAGAGTGTCACGTTGAGCAGGGATGCTCAAAAGTTCTGGAATGTGGCCACCGTTCAACACGTTTGTTTGTGGGCTGGTGGCTTTGCCCGCCGTGCACCAAACGGATTGGCGTCAATGCAAGCCTACTCCGTACTGTACATGGTACAGTAATCTTGGGCAGCCTGCTGGGGCAGACAGCCCGAGACAATGTTGCTCGCTAGTAACTTGGCTGGCTTGAGACCCTGAAGATCTTGGGTAGCATTTCTTCCCGCATGCTTGGACGGCGAATAGCTGCGAAGCAACCTCGAGCTAGGCAAACCAACTAAAAGTAACTGGGCAATAAGACGAGCTCAAATTGAACCACGCTTCTATTGTATGTATGTATTGCTAATTTGACCGACAGTGGTCGTCGTCTACAGGCATTTCCCAGCCCGTCAACTTTGAACTGACTCGCTCTGCTACGGAAACCACGCAAACACGAAACCCAACAAGCGTCCCCATGTCGGCCAATTTTACCTCGCCAGGCATTGATTGCTGTACGACATGCGCGCTTTTTACTCAGTAGTACTCCGTATGTTGAATTGATATAGCGCTCTTGCCAAGGTGGTGCGCTGTCCACTCAGCCTCGGCCTCCGTTGTAGTCGGCACCGCCAGCCTTGCGCAGTTTCGCAACCACATCCCTCTCCTCCAGCTCAGAGCGGTCACTGGCGGTAATGGCGATGCTGTGATGGGACAGAATGCGTTTGACGTCGCCGCTCTCGACGCTGACCCGTGCCTTGCGCATCACTTTGGTGTTTTCGCCAATCCAGACAACCAGGACAAACTTGACGCGTTTGCTCTCGGCGTCGTTGGCGTACTGAACACGTACATAACCATACTGAACCTGGGCATCGTCCAGCGAAGCGGCCAGTTCGGCAATGCCCCCCGTGCCGGTCTTACTCAGCGACAGTTTGTTCCCGGTTGCTGCCGCATATGAGATGAGCATCCAGTTGGCTTCATCTTTGTCACTGCGAACGGCATCATATGCAGCAGCGATGTCGGGGTGGTCCAAGCCACTCATTGTGCGGGATGGGGGATTTTCGACGGCAATGAAATCTGTGGAGGTGGCGACAAGCTTCAAGGCCCCGGTGTGTGCCCTACAGGGATTCCCAGGGAGGTGTCCGGAGAGTGAGCGGTTCAAATTGGCCGAGAAAAGTGCCAGGTTGTTTGTCTGCACTGTTTGTGCAACTGTGACCGATCAAAAGAGTCTTGCGAGGTTTTCAGTTACTACTCCAGGTCGGGCAAAAGGGGGAGAAGCAAAGGCACGGGGGTCAACTGCTTCGCCGCCCCACTTGGGGACAAGATTCATGGCGCAAACAAGAGCATTGTCCAGAGTTTCGAGCACAAGCTATGTCCAAGGCTAACCCACCATCTTCAACGCCAAAGGCCTCGGTGTCCTCACTGGGCCACTCTATCTGAACCAGACCGGACGACACTCGGTACATGGGTCGAATACCAAGATTTGCAGCGAATGGATGCAACATGCCGGGAAAGTAAAGCTACCTTCACCATGTATGAGAGTCGTGTACTAGCGCGCCTGGTCGATTCCCCCGCCAGCAACCAAAATGAGCTTGTCTGTCAGAAAATAAGCATAATCCGGATACCCTATTCTGCTTGTCCCCATTAAACCGAGGGTCCTTTTCTTAGAGAATTGGATCAAAACTACGACTCAGTTTACGGACCACGTTTCACAGCCTTGCTGCCTCGCCAAGTAAACTATAGGGACAAGCAGAGTACAGGTTTGCCACCCATACAAGCATGCGCATTGCAACCTACCATGAAGCTTCGTCGACATGGCGCCGCCCCGGCTGAAGAAACCCAAGCAAATGCCGGCGTGGCCGTGTCTCGGCTTTGTGTCGGGGTTGGCCGCTGGTCTACTCCGTACGGCGGGCGTAGATCAACTCAAATACTAGCCGCATGTGCCGAGTTGTCGGGACGCGGCAACCCCCCAGGGCCGACGGAAGACAAAGACACGCGTCGTTGTAGGCTATGCTTCCAGCCTTGATTCAATCTACGGAGGTGGCTTTGGCATTAGTTTGTGGTTCCGGGGTGGGAGGAGACCGCGGAGATAATATGACAAACAGAAACATCAACAGTCATGATATTCCACCGTCAACCATCTTCAACAAGCCCCTGCCGTACAGTCCCCGATTTTTGTCCGTTTGATCTGCATTAGCCTAATCTGGGCGTGGGATATCGCGGGGAAATGGAGTCACCCCCATGCAGCCTTTGCCTAAGGATGAATGATCTGGCCAAGTGCCGTCTTGGTTGAGTAGTGGCTTGACACCGTGCGAGGCACTATCCATGTCTGCCCTGCATCGAGTTCTCATGCGACGCATTGCCTGCTATTATTTACCATCGAATATGTGCTGCTCTAAGAAGTGTGGATAAAATGTGCACATTGCTCTCGCGAACTCGGTATTCTACCAACAAGATGAGTACAAACGGTTTATTTTCTAGTCTACATCATTATGACCCGAGCTTCTCTACCGAGGAATCGTGTAGCTTCTTGATTTGATACCCATTTCGCAAATAGTATCCAAAAGGCGTATTTTGGACTCTTGCGAATTCTCCCTCCTCCTCGCCGACAAGCGCCTTATGCAACATCACTCGACATGCGTCACGAGGACCCGAGCTCCCGCAGAAACGGCCTGCTCAGCCCCATTGTACGCAAGCAGGTTGAACGTTTCAGCGGGGAGGTTCGCGATCTTATCCTTGGTCGCAAGAGCCAAGATCCTGACCCAAAGTTTGGTGGCCGTCTTGATATTCTCGGTAGCTATCAAGTAAAGTGCCAGTCCAGCAACATGAAGAGCAGCGGGCGAGGTGTCCGACAAGACTCTTGTGGCCTTGCCAGAGCCCGTGTCAGTCGACATGACGTCCACGCCGGGAGCAAAGATGTCGACCTTGGGGCCGTCGGCATTGAAGCCGAGGGCAGCCCGTCCCCCCGAATTCCGCGTGGTTGGCGTGGATGCCTGAATCGATTACGTAGGCAAACATGTCCTTGCCGGCGGTCTCGTCGTACCGACACAGCTTGAGGCCCGGAGTCCCGCTGGACATGGTGCTTAGAGCCCACGGGAGGTCTATTTGGGCTGTTGATGCCAATGGGATTAGCTATGCGTCGTGATCGGCGGCTAATACCTACAGGCGACCGGAGTACGCTTTCTTGTGTGGTATTGATCATTCGTGCTGTGGAATGTACCTCTGGGTTATCCGTGATTTTACGAATAGGCTCTTGGTTAAAGGATCCCGAATATGCGTGAAAGGCACCGAGATCGTATGTCTTCTCGACGCCTGGTAAATCAAGGGCGCGGCTGCCTAGGCTAGCATCGTGCATGGCGCGCGCCCAGTTAACGTGGGACTCGACATGGCGGGAGGAAATGCCCTCCCTGAGGGTGACGTTGTATGTATCCTCTAGGGGCGAGGGGGCGTTGTCTTGTGCAGGAGCGGCCGCACCCAGCGAGAGCGTGACGATGATGGCAGTAGGATTTTCGGAATGGCCATGTTGTGTGGGCTTTGAATATTTACACTTGATTTATCCGACGGGCGAATCTGGTCCATCTATAAACTCAATGGCAGGGAGGCTCTCTTTATATAGTGCAGCAACTTACCGAATTCTCTTGACTAGCATGCCCCTGGTGATAGTGCACGATATGTATGATGACCCTGGCATACAGACTGCTTAATTTACGCGTCTTGGACTGACATAGCACTGTTGCGAGTGCCTCACGATCCTCTCAAGCCTGTGATAGGATCAAGTGAAAGCCGCGCGCTCCTAGGCCTCCTGGACTCTCATGTCGACTCGTACGATATTCTTTGCTCAACTCGCTACACTAGGACACAGGACAGCATACTTTATGCTCGATATCGACGCTACTAATGCTACGGCTTGGGTCGTGCGATATTCTCTGCCAGCTTCCTAAATCAGAACAGTGTATTCCATGCTCCCATTTAATACATGTACCAGAACGAAAGGGAGAATACTGGGCGTCGCTATTAGTACAGTTCAAGTAGCAGGTGAAGCGGAAGCACAGCCAATGTGTTGTACCAAGTCGTGGTCTCCCGTCTTTCGAATATAGTGCTTTCACGTCTTCACAACGTCGACATGTCAGCGGGTGTAAATAGACTGTTTGACATGTTTTCCTCCATTTGAAGGCCCTTGCTGTCCGCCGGAGATGTCGGCATCACAAACCGGCTAATAAAGGGAATAATGAAACCCTGGGCCTTGTGCGTTGTAGACATAAACGCGCTAATACGTGATTCGGAGCGGTGGCACTTGTGCTCCGCGCCGCATTCGTATCCAGGATGACGACGTCTTGTGCCATGAGCTCAGGTATTCCTGCTGTTTGCGACTCGAGGATCCAAGAACGTGCGGTGAAGATGCAGCAAAGCTGTTGGGTCAACCATGTTTAGCGGCAAGCGCAGTTTCAACAATCGTCACCGGCAAGGTGAATTCGTAACACGCTAGCTATATAGCCTATTTATTTGCCTCACGGCCGCTCCAGTTGGAGCGAGGTTTCATGTGTTGCACTGCGGATTCACGGGACCGACCCTATAGCGAACTGGGGTGCATAACCGGGTGCATAATCGGAAGTCTACGTCGGCTAAATACTACGTGAATTGAGAGTTATTCCAAGTACCGCAGGGCCGCAAGGGGTTCCGGGTTGTGAAGCTATTGCTATTACAATTCAGACCCTGTGAGTTTAGTCATGATTCATGAGGGACCTGACATGGGAGGTTATGGGGGCTGTATACAGAGACTTGCGTGTTAGCACGAGTCTTTATATTTGTGTTAGTGGTTTTTCACTATAATACAGGTTAGATCGCAGGGGAGTAACAGCTCTTATGGCAGTGACTTTATTAATACGAGATTTTGTCGCGTTATTAGGTACCCCTTACTACATATATACTCTTTGTAATAGTTATCTCTTCTTGGCTTCAACATTACCTGCTATGTCACACCTGGCTACACATTCAGGGTCTGAATTGTATGCAGCATAATACCCGATGAAAATTGTAGCGTGAGGGGGGGAAATCCAAGAGCAGATGGGAGAGATTTATTCATAAACCTAGAAATAGACTGGAACCTGTCGTTAACATCAGTCCCGTCGCTTATTGGCAGAGCTCCGTAAATAGATTTAGCAGAGTGGCTTCGACTCCAACAGTGCATATATCAGGTTTAAATTTTAGGGAATAAAGCAAAAAGATTTGTAATAATTAGCCATGGAAAGCATTACCAGTATCTGGCTTATAAGTGTGCATATATTGGATCTGTCTCTCTTTCTCTCCATAGCCTCTGACAAGTCACAAGATACCATAGAGAAGGCCAAGCTTATTCCCCGATTATATAGTTTCGAACGCTTAGCATAGTATAGTCTTGCCTCAATTTTCAAGATACCTGGCTTTTGAAACGTATGATTTCTGCCAATGCACCTATATCTAATGCGACAGAAATCTCAGGCATGGGCACTGTAATAATAGCAGGGTTACCAACCTCGAGATGTGTAGTTTAAAATTTATTCAATAACCAACTTTAAGCTATTAAAGGTCCTCGGTCTTCAAGAGGTCTCTTTAAATACAAGAAGTCGAAGTCGGTGCGCCCTGAGGCCTGAGGCAGCCCCCGCCAAGGCCCGACTCCAGGCTCTCGTGGTACCTTCCTCTACTATTGTGTAACCTCATTGTGCAATGTCTCTGAACAAGTCTGCCATTATTCGGTATCGCCGGAACGCCTCGCGCCACAGGCCAGAGTTACCACAGAGTCGGAATCAGAGACCACGTGATGAAGCCGGCCTAGCAAAGGCAAATCTAACAATAGAGGGACAACTCAGTGCGACACATTGCTCCCACTGTAGAAAAAGAGGCCTAATTTCCTGGCGAAAATAGACTTGATCAGTGACCAAGTGCTGTTGAATAGGGGTTGCACCTGCTAAATCGTGACAAAGACTATCAATGCCATTTTAGAAAGCTATTCCAAAGCGCGAGTCATCTTCACATTTGGCCCTGTCGAATTATGCCATGTGCTATTTGCTTGCAATAGAGATGCGTTGTTTGCGATGCGATACTGAATGGGGGTTACAGTGTGAAGTAGATGTGACGAGGCTTGAATAGAGTCTGGTGCGAACGCGGTGTTGGACCAGAACCCCACATCCAGTGCACATCACCCCTGGATGAAGAGACGTACCACTGCAACAGCGGTTGATCATTTGAAAGTTAATCGTGGTATTTATAAAGAAGGGCTATATTTTATTCATGGTTGGCTTGTGATCATTGTAGGTCACTGACTGCCCATCATTTACATCTCACCTTGCATCGTCCTCGTCACCCCCAAGTGCATGTAGCCTTCCATGAATCAGCATCTGTTGTTGCCCCACCATACCAAGCCTAATCTGGCAAGAGCCATAACTCGGATCGACTACGAGGCCGAGTCAGCTGGGCATACGCACGAGCAACAGTCTGGTGATCAGATCATCCGCCTCGATTCGCCTCGGCAGTGCAAAAAACGCAGTTTACATAATGTGTCCAAGGCCAGCCGGAAAACCTAAATATAAGCAGGCCCTCAAAACCCAAAAAGAAAAAAAAAAGGGTAAATCGCACGCCACCATTGTGCTTCAAGCCACCTCCTAGATGCGATACACGACCACCACGGATTCTCATCACGTACGCCGACTCGGTGCAAATTCGGCATCATGAAGCCCCTCGTCGGCCTGGCGGTGCTTGTCCCGCAGACCCTGGCCAGCTACGCCTTCTACGTCGGCAAGAACCTCACGCGGGACGGGAGCGTCCTCGTCGGCGGCACGGGCGAGGAGGTGTCGAGCCACTGGCTGCAGCTGTTCCCTGCGGCGGACCACGCCCCGAATGAAACCGTCACGGTTGGCGTCACTGGAGGGGCAAACATCCCCGGGGAGCTGATGCGCATCCCGCAGGTGAAACACACATTTCGGTACCTCAGCATGGAGTATTCCGACTACATGGGCTTCCCGGCGCCCCTGACCAACGGCGGCCTGAACGAGAAGGGAGTCGCCGTCAGGGACGTGTGGGCTACCAACCGCGCAGAGCTGATCCGCATGACGCCCACTCCGCAGCGCGGCGTGCAGTACAGCGACATGGCGAGGCTGGTCATGGAGCGCGCGAGCACTGCCCGCGAGGGAGTCGAGCTGATCCGGGACCTCATCAGGGACCACGGCGAGGCCACCTACGGCGGGAACACGCACCTCATTGCCGACAAGGACGAGGGGTGGGTGGTTTGGGAACTCGCCGGCGGCAGGGGGCTCTGGGCGGCCGAGAGACTGGGCGCCTCGCAGGTCCGCGCCCTGTACCCCGGCTACATTGGGGACTTTCCGGTCGACTTTGCCAACAGCAGCGATTTCATGGGCTCGGACAATATCGTCACGTTTGCCGTCGAGCAGGGGTGGTGGAGGCCGGGTTCCGGCGAGCCCTTCAACATCTTCAAGGTGTACGGCCCCCAGGGCCCCGGGTACACGGAGCGCGACGGAGGCTTCAAGTACATGTCGCAGGCGGCTCTGGAAAACGCCACGCTGGCCATGGCGCCCGTGTCCGAGGCAGGCCTCATGGAGAGGGTGCGCGATCACCGCATCGCAGACGACGAGGCCGGCTACGGGCAGGTTGTTTCCCTGCGCGAGGGCGTCGACCCGGACATGCTGAGGGTCTGGATCGCACCCACGGGCTCCGTCGCATCGCCCTTCATCCCCTGGTGGCTCGGCGGCCAGTCCGTCCCCCCCGAGTTTGGCCAGCACCGCTACCTCACGACCGGCGCGTCGAGTAGTTTCCTCGCGCCCGACTTCCAGCTCCAAGAGGCCTCTCGGTTTGCGGGGCGCATATTCAAGCGCGTCCTGTACTACATGTGTAGCGCGCCGGCGCTCTTCTTCCCCATTGTGACGGATGCACTGACTGCCTTTGAGAGCGAGTCCGCCAGGGACCTCGAGTGGGTGGAGAGAAGCGCAGAGACGCTCATTGCGAGTGGTGAGAGGGATTCGGCAAGGCGATTAATGACGTATTATTCGCATTCGAGGGCTGCCAAGGCCCTCGACATGGGCAACACCATGAACGATGCGCTGGACATGTATATCAAGTTGCGGGGGTTGTGGAGGGATCCCGTGGGCAAGGACATTAATGACGCTGGCGAGGGGGCCGAGACGGTCAATTGCCTGGTCGGGTTCAATCCTGATCGGCCGGCCAATCAGCAGGTGGTCCCCGGGAGTGGTAGGTTTGTAGTCCAGGATCGCTTTTGATGCGCCGTGTGCGGCAGCTCACATGTACATAAACCACGACTTGGATGCCGTTTTGGTGATATAGACGGTATGTAAATAGATGTAACTATAGCTTGGTACTCGTATCGTATGGTACAAATCATGTCTGTGATTCAGCAAAAGCGACGACAGTAGAGATAGATGTAGAAGAATGAGGCCAAACCCCAGTATTTGTCATGTGATACTTACCTGTTGGCGTATACCTTGATTCAGCGCAATATACTCCAGCCAGTTAATGTAGTTCTGTTCATTCCGCATCTTTCACCAACGCCCAGCATTTACGCATTCCCGTGCCCATAGACTCCCCTTCCACATCATCACTCCATCTGGCCCGATCTCCTATTCCACACTCAGCACCATTCTCCCCAACTCGGAACAAGTGCACATGCATGGTCAGCTTCAGATGCGAGAACAACCACGGCACACTTCCCAATTCTCCCATGTGCTTAGGGGATACACCGCCCAGTAACGTCTTCATGTGCGCTTTGGCCAATGCCGTACGCTGCTTCGTTGTGGCGTAATCGTCCTTGCTGGGCAGCGTCTTGCTTGGAAACTCCCATAGTCCTGCTAGCAGCCCCTTGTCTGGTCGACGGTGGAGGAGATACGACCCGTCTGGGCGGCGGATCGCACAAACGACGGTTTCTTCTTCGCGGACAGGCTTTTTGGCCGTTTTCAGGGGGAATTTGCGTGCGTAGTTGGAAATGGCTTCGGCCCCATTCTTCCCAGAGTCTTCCTTTTTGGAGTCGTTTTGTTTGGCGGGCTTTCCTCCTGTGAATGAGAATGCCGCCAGGGTCATTTGTTTCGGCCCTTTGTTCTTGTCTGTTGTTTTGGGGTTGGGTTTTGATTCTTGCAAGGCTGTTGGCTCTGGGCTGTTGTCGGTCTCCTCTTCCAGTGGCTCGCAGAGTGTACAGAGATCTTCAATGTCACAAATGTCGGTTCCTCTATTTTGCTCCGTGTTCTTCGCTTCGCTATATACACGACATGAGGCGGTGACGGGACATTGCGAGCAGTTTGGCTTCGGCGTGCACACCGTGCTGCCTAGTTCCATGAGTGCTTGTCCCCATCGACCGGGTCTATCGGATACCTCTGACTCGTCTTCATCATCGGGGCGGTCGAGAGCCACAGTCTGAACGAGGGCATCAGCTGCTGCCCAGATGGCGTCGATGACTTTCTTGTCCGTTTTGATGTTGCCGTATATGCCTAGCTGACGACTCAAGACGCGAAGAACGTTTCCATCCACCATTGGGGCCGCTCGGCCAAAGACGATTGCAGATATGGCACCGGCTGTGTATCTACCGACCCCAGGAACTTTGGCCTCCAGATCGTTCGTAGCTGATGGCAGCAAGCCTTGCATTGCCGGGTCCCCCACCACCAACTTGGAAGCCTCGTGAATTCGTGTCGCTCGACTGTAATATCCCAGCCCTCGCCAGGCAGCCAATACGTCCTCTGGGTCAGCGGCGGCAAGATCCTGGATTGTAGGCCATTTGTCCATCCAACGGTTCCAATAGTCGATAACCACAACAACCCTCGTTTGCTGCAGCATGATTTCACTAATCCACACCTCGTATGCTCGTCGCTCAAGCAATTTTCTGAGCTGTGATGCATCAGGTTCCGTGGAAGGATTGATCCAGGGTTTACGCCAAGGCATGGCGCGGGTCATGCTGACCGAGTCGAACCATGACAACAAGGCCTGCCGATGTTCGAAGCCCCGGCTATCACAGAGGAATAGCGGTTTGTGGTATGAGAGCGAGTGCTGCCGCCCCGACGAAGGGCAACATGGCTCTGGTGAAACAGTGCCGCAATTTTGGAATATGGAAATGCCGGTGCCATTTACCCTATTCGATCGAGGTTTTGAGACTTTGCGTCTCTTGGCGCTTCTCAATTCATTGTCGGATGGCTGGTTGTCGTTATCAGAACCAAAGCTATCGTCGCTGTGTCGTGGCGCGCTGAGACGAGCTGAAAATGACCCATTAGGCTTTCTTGGCTGACCGGACGATACGTTTCTAGATGACGGCCTCGTTGAGCGTTTTCCAACCATGGTTCGGATGTTTGCGGCTTCGTCAGCTGTGTTGATACATTGATGCTGTTGAATGGCGGTTTGAAATGAACGCGTCGTGGTTGGCGCGTCTCCAGGTCCACCGCGCGCGTGGAATGCCGATTCGTAGCGCAGCGTCACATATTGTGCATCGTACTTCAGTCTCAGGCACCAACGCAGGCCTGTGACGCACAAACCCGACGACGGCAGAGCCTGTAAGCAATTTGGAGAGATGCGTGTGCTGCCTTACTTTGCACCGAGGCAAAGTGCGCCCTCGCCCCAACTCCGTCGATTCTAATTGCGTAACCGTTGTCGACTGCTCCAATCTCCAATAATCTTTACCTTAGCATGGCACCGCCGACACCGGATTCCGCATGAGAGTGCATATCAAACCCAATGCAGTCTCAGGCTCGTATGAGATGGCTTGAAATTTACTCTGTCGCCCACGTGGCTACATGGGGGTCTTCAATACTAGTATACTACTACCAAAGTCGTTTGGCTCTGACGGAGTCTCGAGAAGTTGTTGCAGAAGTCATGCCTGCTGGAGTGATGCAGAACGCTCCTGTTGCCACTCACAACCGGAATTCATCCTGGTGGCGACCAACGCTCCGGCAGCCTGTGCCCTTCGGAAAAGGCCGCGAAGATCAAAATATTGTGCTTCTCAAGACCTTGAATTGAGAACGTTGAATAACCATAAAGCATCAGCCTTTACGCTGCAACAATGATGAAGCTGTTAATGCACAGGGGGCTGCCACGCCAATCACAACCCAGACCAAGCTCAATATGAAACTTCAAAGCCTAGCTGACCCAAAGGAATGGGACCATCAGCTCGTGGCATGGAGCCCCCGTGTGGGGGGGAAGTGCATACCGAGTAGTTATCATGCGCGAATGCGGAAACAGCTCCGGTCAACTCTCGGCGGAGCGTACCTGGCGCTGGCTTGTCGCATCAATTAAGGTATATGAAGGAGGTAAAATGGCTCTCCAATTCGCGGGGGAAGAGCTGTTCAATTCATGAGGAGAGTTTCTCGTTGAGATGAGGGATTGGGGTACGGTATCCCGATATCCCAATATCCCGATATCCCCAGGTGGAGAGTCGACAAGCCGGCAGCATGGAAGCATGAGCTGCTGTTTGCCGTAGAGGTTCATCAAGTTGGGTGCGATAGAGCATCTGGCAGAAATGCGATATCTGAGCGACGTTCAGCTTGGTAAGAATGGTAAATTGATATCGAATCCAACACGGCTCAATTCTTCAGACCAAGGTTCTTGAATGGGGGTTGCCAGTGGGGAGATATTGAGTCGACTGTAACCTTGAAGCAGGCGTGGCGTGCTTGGCGGCAACAATGAAGGGAACTGTCAATGTGCCACGATTGTCACCCGCACCGTGTTCGTCGTTATCCTTTGGGAAAAGGTGCGCGCAACGAACGCAGGCCCATGAAGATGTCGGCAGATCTTGCTCAATTCGATTTCGAAGGCATCTTGTCTGGAGTGCAGCGCGGGGGGCCTCGAGAATGCCAGACGTCGACGGGTGGCACAGGGAGCCACCGTGGGGGTCACCTTCCTCGCCGTTGCCAGAGTCAGGATTAGAAGGAGCTACGGAGCACCTGCCCAACGGCAGAGGCAAACCAAACAGATGACCCTGAGATTAGATGTCTGTTAACGCCAATCCACAGCCTTGGGTACTCACGCTATCAACCCTGCTTGAGCCTGTTGTCACGAGAACCCAGATGTCTGAAGAAGTATTGTCACGACCTGGTCGTCCACCGGCGTTTCCACCACCCAGGCACTGAGAGACTAACTACTCACTAGCGTTTTCAAAGCATGGCTTGCACACCTTGGGGGTCAAGTTGGGGGAGGGGTTCTCCGTGCCGTGACATGGAACTTGCAATTGCCGGCTGGTCACCCCAGCCTGCTGGGCCCTGAGAACCTGGGGGATGTGGCCAGTCGACGAGATAGATAAACCACCGTTTCCTACGTGGTTTTGGACATGGTCAAGACACTGGAACGAGGCTCTCACCCAGTCCGTCAATCACCAACGCAGCAATCACCAAAATGGGCCTAGAAAAACGAAGCTCACAGCCAACGGCCACGGTCGGCCATGGATCAATCCACGCCGACCCAGACGTCGATCCTGCCATGGAGAAAGGCGACCGTGAAATCACCCAGATCCAGGGTGATGCTCACTTCTACGAGACTGTCACGGCCGCGCCCTTGAACCCTTGGTCCAAGACCAGTCTGCAGCTCTACATGATTTTGTTGGTTGCCGCACTCAACGCAACCGCCTCTGGCTTCGACGGCGTATGTCCACGCTCCGTGACCCTACACTCATGCACTTGCTTTATTTCATAACACGTCATCTAGTCCATCTTCAGTTCCATCAATGCTATGGATCAGTACAAGGCCTATTTTCACCACACCGAGCTTGGGTCTGCCACCGGCATGTTTGTATTGCCATTCCTGTCCCATGTAAATGGCCCCCTTCGAACTTGCTAATTCCAAACCAGCATCTTCATGATCTACACTATTGGAAACATGGTCGGATCTCTATTCACTGGTCCCATCTGCGACCACTTTGGCCGTCGAGCGGGCATGATGACTGGATCTGTTCTGATCATGATCGGAGCTGCCGTCCAGACCGCTGCCCAGAACGATTCCTACCTCCTGGGTGGACGGTTTGTCCTCGGATTCGGTGTGTCTATCGGAACGTCCTCCGCTCCCACTTACGCCCTCGAACTCGCCCCTCCCCAATGGCGAGCCCGTGTTGTCGGTTATTATAACACTTGTATGGATCGACCCCTGGAAATGCGTACTGCACCTGTTCATGTGCCTGACACGTCGTTTTAGTCTTCTACACTGGATCCATCCTGGCCACCGGCGTGGCATATGCCTCTGCCAAAAACGACAGCGAACTCGCTTTTCGATTGCCCCTGGGTCTTCAGCTGATCCCGCCCGCCTTCATCTTCATTGGAGCCTGCCTCGTTCCCGAATCTCCACGGTGGCTCACCATGAAGGGCAAGAAGGAAATGGCCGCTTCCATTTTAGCCAAATATCACGGCGGTGGTGACATGGAACATCCCATGGTCAAGCTTGAGATTCGAGAATTCGAGCAGAACATCGAGCTGCAGAAGGCTTCCAGCGTGTGGAACTACTGGGCTCTTGTCGACACGCACAACGCCCGCTGGCGATTCGCCATGATGGCCTTCATGTCCATCTTTGCTCAGATGGCGGGTAACTCTGTTTTGACCTACTATCTGCCCTCCATGTACAAGCTTCTCGGCATCCAGACGACCGAAAAGCGACTGCTGCTTACCTTTATGAACTCGATTGTCTCTTGTGCGGGCGCGGTCGCTGGATCGGCAACCAATGATCGCATTGGCAGGCGAACCAAGCTGTGGGTTGGCAGTATTGTTCTGGCAGGCCTCTTCGGCGGCGTGACGGGATTCTCGAGCCACTTTGAGGACAAGACCAAGACTGTCAGCTCAGCCCTCTCCAATGGTGGTGTTGCCTTCATCTTCCTTTTCGGATGCGCCTATTCATTTGTCTACACTCCGCTTACCGCCACGTACTGTGCCGAAGTGCTGGCCACGCCTACTCGCGCCAAAGGAATGGGAATTCACGTCATTCTGTCCAACTGCGCCAACTTGTACAACACGTATGTTACCGCTATTGCTCTGGACTCGATCGACTGGAGGTACTACCTCATCTTTGTGGGCCTGAACCTGCTCTATAGTGTCATATGGTTTGTCTTTGGTGTTGAGACTCGTGGCCGCACCCTCGAGGAGATGGACGATGTCTTCAATGCCAAGTTCCCACCTCGTGCTGCCCTCCAGAAGGCCGTCATGGTACGACAAGGGGATGGACACTTGCAAGGACTGGACGGGGACGATGCATAGGGCGAACTACCGCTCAATAATTTCTGGAAGGGAGGTGTCTTGAATCAGCCTCGCGGCGACGGACATTTATAATTTAGCGTCGATGAATAAAGGCTGGAAGCCCACTCGGTTCTGCATGGTTTGCATCATGTGTGGAGTGTCCTGTTGCCGACCAGATGCAGAATACACACCCACCCTGTGCCTAGGCATTGTACTCACAACTAGGGCTAGAGAAGCGCTACATTTAAACCTGCGCCTTGTACATGTACAATGCAGAGGGTGATTTTGGTCAGTGATATCGGTTGAAGACGTCGTCGCTGTTCCAGAAATGGACGGCTCCTCTGCTTTCACTCTTGTAATAGCTGCTGCTACGGACCCCGTTCGAGGGCACACACCCGGTACCAACACCAACCCAGCTTCTAACTTGCGAACAAAGCGATATGACTCGCCCATGCGTCGCCGATTCCGAATACGAGCAAAGAGGTGCCAATTTGGCTACCATTGCGTCTTGGAGCATTGCTTGCCAATTCGTGCGACAGATGTACTACTGGTAGAGCTACCGACTTTAGAAGCCCAGACGTCTCTTGGAAGAGCAGCAACAGAGCTCGCGTAGTTTTATTGGTAAAGACACTCTATTACGGGCGAGCAGTACGAGAAACAGCCAAACACTTGAATCTTGTGTTAGCTCGCGTAGGAAAGTGACCTCCAGGCCATCCCACGCTCTGCCCGTGTGGCTGGCTATAGTTTTAGCTTGTATCATAGGAAAAGTAATGAAAAATAATACACGCATTTTCTTGGCTGTCCGCATTTTCTTCTGGCTAGATTTTATCTTTTCTAGGTTGGCTTTATGGCGTGGTAGTCTTATCTGAGCAGGGCCGTAATATTTATGCGAATCTACAAGACCAATAACAAGTATGCGCTTGCCCAAGATTGAATATCACTTAATAACCCTACAAGAGCTGCACTATAATACGGAGTATATAATAGTGGAATATCTGCTGAGGTGCGTTAAAGCCGGTCCTCGCCGGCACAAAAACGCCGTAATGCCAAGACGAGTAGTATTAATTGCATAAATTATTAGCAGGTATCCAATTTGATTCCATACTTTCCTGGTTGCGCAATACGTACCTATAACAAGCTCGTCTAGTAGTACGCTAGGTTTGTGAGTGTAAATATAAAATTAAGCATCTAACCTGCTGTCCCTCCAGTAAAAGTTCTCTACAACTACATGTCTGTATTTGTTATCATACCATCTACAACCCCAGAGCGCCCACACACTGTCCATCATAACACGCTGTCTTCACTATGCGCGCGCCCTCAGCCGTTCTGGCCATTGCATTTTCCCTCTGCCTCAGCAGCAGCGCGGCACCATTCAACATCGTCGAGGTTCCCACATTCGTTCACGAGGAACCTGGATTTCCGCTAGAAGGCGCCGCTCCGCCACTCGAAGGATCGCCAGAGGTTCCCTTCCTCGAGGGACCGGAAATATGGCGACCGGAGCTAGAGACTCCACCGGCGTTCACACCAGAAGGCTCACCGCCGCCCGAGGGCGAAATCCAGCCAGAGCGACAAGATGCCGCAGCGCCAGAGGGATCGCCGCCGCCGCCGCCCGAGGGCGACGCCCCCCCGGACAGCAATGAGATACCGAGATATAGAGAAGAGGACAGGACTCCAATCGACCCCAAGCATCGACATGCAGGCATTTGGGACCCTCTTGTTCCCGATGTTCCTGAAAAGGACGACGCGCCGACTACCCGTGTTTATTACACGGTCAAGTATACCGAGGGAGGCATCAAGAACCAGGGCGGGAGTCGCAACATAGCGGCGACGATTCACGGCAGCAACGAGCAGTTTATTATTGATAATATGAGAGAGTGGTCGGGCGACACGCTCGAGGCTAAGCGGAGCAAGAGTAATCCTCGTATTATTGTGGTGTCGCCGGTGAAGCCGGTCAAGACGATGAATGAGGCGATTGAAGTGAATAAATGGGCTAAGAACCTGGTGCAGTCTAATACTAAAGGCAACGGCAAAGGAAAAGGCAAAGGACCGAAGTGGTAAATAATGGTGTGCCTGGTGGATCTACTTATACAGGACCAAGATATACTGAACTGGTGGACTGAACACTATGGGTTTCCATTGAGACGCATTACAACGCGCGTACGGGGATTCTGCGGGAATTACATTACCAAGTTGCAAGACTAGAATATAGAATTGTTTTGAATTTCGTTGAATTTCGTCTGTTTAGTAAGTCTGAGAGTTGGGAGCTATTCTCTTCTAAAGACTTGGCAATTTTATCCCTGGCCGTGACGTTATCACAGCTTCTTAATAGCTACATGTATAATTTTAGTCTTTATACTTGCTACTAGTAGGTGCCGAAGAAGACTCCCGCTCGCTTCTGAAGTCATGTATCAGGAGCCGACAGAAGAGCTGGGCACGCAGTCAAGCGCGACCTTGGCGCGGCGGGATACTGGGAAGCCATACTCTGTCAGCGTCGCCGAGATGGCGAGCGTGGCGCCGGGCTCTAGGTGGTTCTGCGCGAGACGGGCTTTCATCCGGATGTTGGTGAACGACCAGGTTGGTTCCCGGGGGCGGAAGCAGTTGGACTGGAGCTGCATCACACTTTCGCTCTAGTCCAGCCCAGAGTTCTCTACGTAATTGCCTAATTCAGTTTAGATTTAGCGTTCCAACTTGACGCAATCTAAAGCTAGTCTAACAGCCCTCTAATCTAAACGGATTACTGCTAGGAGCATACGCTCACAACACGTTGGCATTTGGCAATGCGGGTTGCACCCTCAACGATTCGTCCTGCTGCCGGAAGATGTCGATGTCGTCACCATGACACAACTGACGAGTTGAGAACCTAGTCTGCCCTGTCGCCAGTGGCTTATGCACCTTTGGTTTCGACGTTCAGCTCTCGGCAGTTGACCAGGAAGAGGAGCCGAGGAGAACTTCATTCGTTTTCCCCTCATGGCCTGAGACTGAGTCCTTTAAACACTCCTTCCCTGCCCTTTCTGTCTGTTGCCGAATTACAGATATCTAGTAGCATTGAATGGCCGACGACGGCGCATACACACTAGACAGAGAAAGTTTATAGGAGATAGGAGGGTGTATCCTATACGATAAAAGGCTGCAAGAGCCATAATAAGTTTATAGTAAACTTTGTAGTAAAATTACTTCTAGTTATTATACTTTTTGGCTAGGTCTAACTACTTAATATTCTCTATAGGCAAGCATAGTTGCGCGGTGAACTCTATCTTTGTGGGGGGGAGGGGTTCAAACGTTATTGTAAGCAGCGAGTAGATTCTGATTGCCCAAATTTACGTGTCAAGACAAAGTTTCAACGTATAGCTAAAAATCGGTGTACGCTGCAGCTCTTGAGATTTTTTTGAGAGTACATGTATACCCATATAAAGATTGTTGGGTATATAAGACTGCCAACACCTCTCTTGCTATCTAACATATTCCATAAACAAAATCACACTTAGCACTTCCCCTTCTTGTTCTGACAGACATGAAGCTCTCTCTTCTTCCCAGTATTCTTTTTACCGCCACTGGGCTGGCCAAGTTTGTTCGCGTTCCCCTACCCGAGCCATTGGATTGGGTGGCCAATAAAGACTTAGACTCGAGACACGTCTGCAAAGACTTACAAGCACCTTATAGCCAGTATACTGCTGAAAGTTGGGCGGCTCGAGTTCTGCACGTGTGCCAGAGCACACTCTGTGGGTGCACGTCCACCCTTAGCTATTCTGGTAAGCCCGCTATTTAGTATACAATATAGGGAAATTATTAATATTCGTATAGAGCCTGTATTCCAGGGTATAGAGGATCGTGGTTGGGTTGGGCGTATGTTTACTGGTGCCAGTACTACTGAATGGGATTATGATAGGAAGCATGGAATTGAGGACTCAATTGCGTATACCTCGACCTCTTGGAAAGAATAAATGCCACTCATTTACGATGACGACGCTACTCTTATTTGCCGTAGATGAAGGCCAAAATTGATATTAGTTAAGTTGGAAGTAGCCTTCCAAACTGACATACTTTCATTATATCTGCTACTTTATTTTTGTTAAGATCAAGCTGTTCTTTCTTTGACACCCCAAAAAACCTCTCTTGCTAAATAGGAAGTCTCATAGTACGTAATAAATAACTATCCACTCTTTTGAATAAAAAATGAGTGTTCTTTTATTTTGCCTAGCTGTCTAAAGTTGAGAAAAGGGATAGTACCGACGATTTTTATTGAGAATTATAGCACACAAAGATATTTGCTAATAGAAGAACGAAAATAGTTTTTGCTAAGATTATATAAATAATACCAATAATATAAGTATATTAATAAGGGTAGTTATATTTAATAGCTAGCCGCTTGTAATAGAAGGCGACGCGGTATTATCAGACTGAGGTGTAGATCCTAGTATCAGGCTAGAACAGGTCTATTAACACGGCCGACGCGGCGATTGCAAATAGACTTATTATAGTATTAGTCGTGGCTTACTTATTTAGCACCAAAACTTGCATGTAGAATATTAAGAACGGAAACTAAGATGGTGTTATATATAATACCATGTTCTCGCATTAAATTATGCAATATTATCTAGTCAAGAATACAAGGTAAGCAAGTAAATATAAGAGGTTAATTAACTATTATACCCAACAATACTATATAGCAAGGTATAATAGCAAAAAAAGCGTATAACCGCCAAGAACTATCAATATACTTACTCGGATAGTTTACAAATTAAGTCAACTTATCTTTTGTGGTGGATGCTGCACTCGGGATGGTCTTGATCCATGTCGATTTCCATTCAGCCATGATATTCTGCCAGAATCGAACGGAGCCACGAGTTGCAGGCCTAAGGGACCTAATCTCACCCAACGACCCTTTTACTAGATCCAAATCAGAGTTTGTCTCCAGCGACGCCCACGGGGCAAAGACGGCGAAGCTGTCTCGGATCTTGAACGTCGAGAATTGGACAAACAGTATTGATTTCAGGTGGATTACTCGTTTCAACAGCTATATTATTGCCTGGAGATGGCTATAGGGATAGAATTTTGCCTAAGCCCTTTGATGGTTGTGGTCTGATGCGGATTGGAAATGAATCAACACTTGGTTAACGGCAGGCGGCGCTGCAGCTTCAGCTCTACCTTTTTAATATACTATAATAGGGGTGTTTTTAAGTATAGTATTAATTAAAGGTAATACCTGTATTATTTACGTGTAAATACATCGTGATCCTCGCACACGTCGTGTCATTCATGCCAAAGCCGACCGTGGGCCAGAGCTCGCCGCCCACAGTCCCCGGCTGGATAATAGAAAAGAGGCTTAAATTCAGCAGTTTATAAACGATCAATGCCATCAGATTCAGAAGGCTCGAGTCCAGCGGCGGTAAAAGCTCGAATCCAGCAGCTACTTGCCACACGCCTTTCTACTCGCCGCGGCGGCAGCCCTCAAAATAGCGCACTACATATGTATGCATGATTCTAGCCATGCTTCCACTGACCACTCACAGCATCCGTGGGGATTTATCCTAGCTCGAACGTACTGGGGTCTTTTACGGCTCGGATTGGTGCCCTTGTGCTTGGCTCCGCGGACACATGCAGAGAATCTCCGCGGCATTTGAACCGTCTCCATCTCCACGGTGGCCGAGGAGGGCGAAGATGGTCTCCAATGCATGTGCCGCGATGACTGCGTAAACACATAAAGGGCATAGGTGCCAAAACGAAATGAAGCACGGGCTACGCAGGCTTTTGATGCTGAATGATTGGTGATAGTCTTGGATCCTGGGAACCGTCTGGCCCCATGATATCATTATGAAACCATGGAATGCAAAGACGAGCCCAAAAGGCGCGCCCAACCGAGTGCATGCCACACGTACACTTGCTCTTTCAAATATCAACAGGCTTCTTTTGGCTTTTGTTGACCAGCATGATCAATCGGAGTCATTGTGACTCATCACGCCCTTGGTGCGGAATTGTTTTGAATCATGTCCCGTGATTCTAGCCGAATACAGCATTTCCGCGGGCACTGGACTGTTATATCTATCCAAAACGGGCAACAGGGAATAGAACTGCATGTTCAGACTGCATTACACGGGCAGAAGCTTAGCACAACGAATATCAGGTGTACCGTCCTCGCTCCAAGCAGACTCCATTGCGTATGGTAATCCACAATATGCCTCTCGAATCGAGGCTCTCGAGGTTTCCGTAATAAAGGCAACGGGTATCCCAAGGAGGCATCCACGCTGTTCAGACTATTCTTGTTCACCGTCAAGTCATCCTCACATACCTTTCCCGAGCTGCTCCCCTCCCATGTCCCTCAGTAGCCGGCATGAGCGAGGACTCTTTAATGGACATCTCATCCGAGATGGAAAGGCTAGATGCCGACTGTATAATCTTCTACGGGTCTGAAACGGGCACCGCCGAGAGTTACGCGACTCGGCTGGCCGCGGATGGTCGAGGGCGATTCGGCCTTGAAACAGTCGTCGCCAATCCCGCCGACTACAACTTTGACACACTCGACAAGGTCGCCAGTGATAAAACCGTCGTATTTGTCCTGGCGACAACTGGCGATGGCGAGCCGACAGAAAACGCCGCAAACCTCTTCGCCAGCGTTGCAGGAGAGGCACCAGCCCTCCTCAGGCTGGGAAGCTCGCCGCTCCAGTCTCTCCAATTCATGATATTTGGCCTCGGCTACAGCACCCACGACCATTACAACGCCATGGCCCGAAGCATCAACCACGCTCTTGTCCATCTCGGCGCAACACGCATAGGCGAGCTAGGCGAGGGCAACGACGGCGAGGGGACCCTGGAAGAAGATTTCCTCGCGTGGAAAGAAAAAGCATGGACTGCTCTCGAACACGTCAGGGTCCTACGCCGTAACGACCCCGAACACGTATATGCTTTGGACGTAGTCGAGCAGCCGTGCCCCAGCAAGGACTCGACTATAGTCTACGCCGGCGAGCACAATGAGCAGCAGTTGAAGGGGTCTACAAGCGGTCCGTTTGACAGCCAAAACCCCTTCATTGCCCAAGTATCAGAGATCCGAGAGCTGTTCCAGTCCCCGGAACGAAACTGCCTGCATTTGAACATCGACCTCGCCGGCAGCGACCTCTCCTACCACACGGGCGACCACGCCGCCATATGACCGACGAACCCCGACCCCGAAGTCGTGCGGCTCCTAAACGCCCTCGGCCTCGCGGACAAGCAAGACACCGTCGTCGAGATGCACCCGCGGTGGCCCATGCCGACCCTCCCGCCCAGTCCTACCACGTACGCCGCCCTCTTCCGGCACTATCTCGACATCTGCGGCGCCCCCTCGCGCGATCTCGTCGCCGCCCTCGCGCCCTTTGCGCCCGATGCCACGAGCCGCGCGGAAACAGCCCGCCTGGGCAGCCGCAAGGCCGACTTTGCCGCACAAGTGACCCGGCCGCACATGAATCTCGCGCGGCTCCTGGACGCCGTCGGCCGCGGCAGGCCATGGGACAAGACCCCCCTGCCGCTTCTCATCCAGGGGATTCCCAGGCTCCGGCCGCGGTACTACTCCATCTCGTCGTCTAGCCTAGAGCACCCGCGGCGCATCTCGGTCACGGCCGTCGTCGAGGCCCGCCCCGTATCGGGGCGTCTCTTCCACGGCCTCGCGACAAACTACCTCCTCGCGCTGAAGCAGGCGACAGACGGCCGCGCTACGTACCGCGTCGCCGGGCCGAGAAACAAGCTCCAGGGCAAGGTGCCCGTCCACATACGCCAGTCTAGCTTCAGGCTGCCTGCCGACCTATTATGTCCCGTCATCATGGTCGGCCCGGGGACGGGCGTCGCGCCCTTCCGGGCTTTTATCCGCGAACGCATGGCCCTGCGTCTGCCGGGCGCGTAGGTCGGCCCCATGATGCTGTTCTTTGGGTGCCGCCGCCCGGGGGGAGGACTTTCTTTACGAGGACGAGTTTGACGAGGCGGGGCGGTGCCTGGGCTCGGGGTTCCGGCTGGTGACGGCGTTTTCGAGGGGGGGCCCGGACAAGGTGTACGTGCAGCATCGGATCGGGGACGCGGCGGGCGGCATGGCAAGAGAGGTTGGGCGCGCGGTGGCGCGGGTTATTGCCTCGCGGAGGGGGGTGTTGCTGCCCGAGGCGGAGGGCGTGGTTAGGGACATGAAGGCGGCTGAGGTGTATCAGGTATGTGCTCTGCGTGTGGTTTCTTGTGCGTTGCTGCGGCTGGCGGCGATTCTTTTGATGAGGGAGGGGATGACTGACGAGCTGTAGGAGGATGTTTGGTCTTGACTCTTGATATTTGGTGTGTAGATGGACGAGAAGCTGGGGCTTTGGTTTGACGAGGGTTTTGATTATGCCACACTCTAGGTAGATGGGTGAATGGCTCTTTTGCGCGAGATTTCCTGCATTTTGCTTGATGTGTGTGACGTGCCAATGTTCAGCCAACTCTGACCACTTTGGCCGTCAGGTTATGTACCCCCGGCCTCCCTAGAAATCATCCCATGGTTCCGAGTTATCAATCAGGTTCGGTGCAGTGTTAGTAGAGGGCTTGGAGTGACAACTCGATTCATCTCATGACGGTCGTTTATATCAAAGGCCGGTGGGACTAAAGCGTCTGATTTGTACAAAGCGGCGGCGAGCCTTGGAGCCCTAGGGTCTCGTGGTGTAACCCTCGGTAACGTCCATGCGTCTAGTGAAGCCTGACTGGCGAGAGTGCAGACGAGTGATAGTGACCATGTAGGAGAGACCAATCTGGTCTGTCGTGTAGAGCTCAGGCCAAGGCGCAACCTGGTTTCCCTCCTCGATCTCATCGCGATCTGCACCACGTCCCCCTGAATTCATCGACAAAGACAGCAATGGCTGTGGGGTTAGCGGGGGCATCGATAACATGCTTGTCTGGACATGGCATGCGATATCTTGCCATGGGCCCGAACCCCGATTCTTCACGCCCAGATTTGTCGGGCTGCGCGACGAGTCTGACCACAGGGCCCAGCCATGACGGCATAGCCCAACATCAAGCCACCGGCAGACTGTGAAATTGCAGCGGAGGAGGCGGTGCATTTCCTCCTGCGCGCCCGTGATGGGACGAGCTGAGACAGGGGCGGAGCTGTCAAAGGATCGGCGACGGGCCCGACGGCCGATCAGCCCGGCGCCTTTTCCACTGGACATGTGCGTGCGAGATTTCCTAAAAGGGGAAAATGGACAAGGCCACTGTTGAACACGGACTGACTGCCCATACGGAGGCTGGACTTGTCCTGTATGCCATTGACATGATGGCAGCTTTTGGCCTTTAGCCTCGACCTGTGATCCCTGACTCGCCTGTCTCCTGAGTCCTCTCTCCTGAGTCCTCTCCTGAGTCTCCTCTGAGTCTCCTCCTTACCTGAAGCCCGCGCCACGAGATATCCCTGCTAATTCGCACGCTTTGCAGTGTGCAGGACATGTCAAGTTTCAGTCTCGTCAGCCTGAACCCCACTGGGCCTAATATAGCCTCGACGCCGGTTCCTCTCCTGAAGAGGGTATACACGTCGCATGAATGCATGAATGGGTGTTGGCACCGCCTCAACTCTGCGCGACTTGAGACGAGCCTGCGGGCCCAGCAAAATGGATTTCTCGTCGGCGGCGTTTGACGCTCGTCTCCACACGTAACCCTAACCCGACCGCAGTTCCGAGCAACACTTACTTGGAGAAGCCTCCAAGCCGTGGCAAGTGTGAATCCTGCTTTGCGAGGAAGTTTTTGGAAGCCGGAAGACGATCCGGACTTGGAAATCTTGATCAATTGGTAAAAGGCGACATGATAACGAGTGTGGCTCAAAAAAGTAAAGGCCGTTGATTCTCGGGGACGGCGCATAGCCTTGCATATGATTCTCAACCTTAATCTGACAGTCTATGCGGGCACATGGAAACGCAACGCAAACATTTCCGTCGAGTCAAGCTCTCTTCAGAAACAATTCAGGTGTGGAATTGGTACGGAGAAACGTCCAAGATGCTCCTGAGTCCTGACACCCATGACTCAAGATCAATACGTAGGTCGTATCATGTCTGCCGAGTCATGCCGTGGGCTCACATGTTTTATCCAAAAAAAAAAACGGATTTTTGGTGTTTTAAGCTACGGCAATGTCTCGACAACTTGCTCACAGGTGGTGCTATATATTAAAGTCCGTCTACCCTACCAGCAAGTCTTGCTCTTTAAAATTCACCCAGACGCTCTTTCATACAAGTCTTGTTTTTGCTGTTCCAACAGTCTCCAACCACCACTTTCCTTAAATTCACCTTTATTATCAACATGCTTGTCAACACGGCGGCGCTCGCCGGCGTCTTGGCCCTTGTAGAGTGTGCCTCGGCCTCGGCCCTCAAGAAACGCCAGGTCCTCAAGGATGAAAACGTCGCGGCTCGCCTTGCCGGAGGCGCCAACATCGGCGACCAGTGCCACCCGCCGGGCACCTACTCGCTCGGAGGCGACAAAGTCGTTCCCCCCTGTCTGTCAGAGCAGGCCATTGCCCTCAAGTGCGAAATCGTGACGCAGCTCAAGAAGAACACCACCTCCGAGGCCAACTTGAAGGCGTATGGCAGCTGTCTCAAAGACCAAGGCAGCTCCTACTTCAAAGACGTCAACGGCTGCCTGGCCTGCAAAGCCGCCCACAACCACATGTCCCAGGCGCAGTTTGAATGGTACTCGCAGGCGTGGGCCGACGGCCAAAAGGCCTTTCTCAACGACGCCGTGCCCAAGGCAACGGCGTGGGAGTACGTCCTGGGCGCCATCAACAACACCACGTGCCAGAAGAACGGCACAAACGAGAAGCTTACCGCCTGGGACTGCTGGAACCAGCTCCCCGCGGGCACGGGCGTCGCCACCAAGAACCTCACCATTGAGGAGTACTACAAGGACCGCCCCAAGACGCAGAACATTGGGAGCTTCGAGTTTGGCGGCAAGTCGTTTCCCGAGTCGTCCTCGGTAGAGCTGGGCCTGCTGGTGCCCACGTTCGAGATCAAGGCTGACATCGGCTACTTCTGCTCCGTCAAGCTGGAAAACGGCACAATCACCGGGAGCGTCAACGCCACCGCCAAGGTTGAGATCCTGACGCAGTACCAGGAGATCACGTCCATCTTCAACTTCACCAAGCCCGACGAGTTCACCGTGCTGCCCGTCATTAACGCGCCCGTGCCCGTCAAGGACTCGGTCACGACGGTCTCCAAGGACGAGGCGGCCGTCCTCCCTGCCGTCGTGTGCAACGCCGATTGCCGCGACAAGGCGACTACCATTGACAAGATCCAGGAGGCTGCTGCCCAGGGACCCAAGGAGGCTGACAAGGCTGTGGTTGAGGCCTCCAAGCCTGCCCTGCAGGACTTGAAGGAGAACAAGCCCCTGAGCGTCACGCACAAGGTGCAGATTATCACGGAGATCAAGACGGAAATCAAGGCCCCTGTCAACTTTCAGGGCCAGGGTCAGGCTCCTCCTCTGCAGAATGGTCCTGGAGGTTCGAATCCCAATGGCATTGAGGCCCCTGGCCAGCAGGGACAGGAGCCTGCCAAGCAGCAGGGCCCTGGACCTTCAGACTCCAAGGGCCCCAAAAGTCCAATCCTGAACGGCCCTGAGCCTCCTAAGCAGACTGGCTCTGCGCCTGCCAGCCAGAAGGGCCCCGAGGATGACAAGTGCGAGGAAGACAGTGAGGCTCCTGCAGCTCCTCCTGTCGGCGGAGCCGACAAGGGGGCGTCCAAGGAGAAGGCCAAGGAAAAGCCCAAGGAGACAACCAAGGAGACGGCCAATGCCACTTGCGAGCAGGGTGATCCTGCGAAGGCTAGTGTCAAGGTCACTATCTGCCAGATGCCCGGTGAGAGGGACTGCAAGACGTACTACCAGTAGACTAGGCATATCTTGCAAAGGAAATGATATCAACTGTTTTTAAAAGCTGTTTCGTTTTATTGATAGGAGTGTGATTTGGCCATGTGGTTATTATTGATTCTGTGGGTTGATACGTGGTGCTAGACCAGTTTGTTTTCTATGCTATGTAGAATCTACGAGGGCCCGAAATGAGCTACTGTTGGACTATTACTTACATGTTCTGTTTCTATTACAATAGGAGAATGTAGAATGTCCTGGATTACGATGGACTACGGACTAGGAAAATGCATGTTAGTGAGTGCAGCTTTGACGCTTGAGGATTTCCCGGAGAGGATGTATGCAGGGCATCTACTTGACAAAGTAGACTGGGCGTCGCGACACTCATGCCTCATCTAGTCCTGTCACTCTTGGGATGCTGCCCGGTACACGGATCAAGATGCGCGCAGGGATGGCCGAGCCCTGAAAATGGTTACGCATGTAGCTGAGTTGGCAACTGTGTTGGCAGATTCTTGCTCTTGATGCTCCGAGGGTCTGTGGGGGTAAGTGGGAGAGGAAAGGCCTTTGCCAGACGCCGTTCCCTGAGAGAACATGACATCCGCTTCATGGACGGCTGTCGTGGTATCATATTGACGCAGTGGAAATTCCAACGGGCTCCGTGCCGTGAGCGGCCTCTCCCGTGCTCTGGCGGTGTTACATGGAGAAGGCCCAACAGATCGTGAAGCCTAATAAAAGGGTTTTACTAATACGGGGCTTATTAATAATATAGCTTAAATACGGGCCTAAATAAGAACCTTAAGTATACATGTAAGCGCTCTTTTTATATATATTAAGTAATTATTATCCCTTTTTTCCCTCTTAATAACTTAAGACGTATAATATCTTGCGAGGTTATTATTGAGTTAAGCCCCTTTTACTCTAAGCCCTCATAACGAGCTCATGTCACAGGCGGTGGCGGTTTTTCGCGGGATTTTGAAGATATTGACTTGTCTTCGGGACATTACTGGCCTAGAGCACTTGAAAAGACAGGGCTGCTTTTGAGGCAAATGCTCTTGCAGCAGTAGCCTGGAGGACGGTTTGCAATCAATACCAGTTGACGCTTCGGGCGTCGTAGTCGTCACTCCATGGTACACGGAAAAGGCCCAACAGACGGTGAAGCCCAAAAAGGGGTTTCACCGACAAAGGACCTGTTAGTTAGTAGTTACACAAATTGAACGCGTGCCCGGGAATAAGCCCCTGCCATGGTTATTTCCTTCTTGTATATATAGTAGTTACTTATCGCTCTGTTTGTCTTGGAAAACTAAGGACCTTTGACACCAGACCCTACTCGATTATCGTTGAATCTAGGCCTTTGTTACAAGCCTTCCATGTTGAACCCTTGTCACATCACTCCATGGCTCGTGTTTTGCTGTGGTGTTGCCACAAGGGCTAGAGGCTTGGAGCAATTTAGCTCAATTTATCTAATAATAGTTTTTAATATTAAAGGTTCTCAGTTTTCCTGAAGGCCTTATTAACTAAAAGGGGTATTTAAATATAAGAAGTCAGTGAGGGACTTTGCCCTAGTCTCGTGACTGTAGCCCTTATGCAACCGGCTATTTCCGCGTGACAGGTGTGTAGCGGTGGAATGGTTCTCTTGCTCGCAAGACCACATGTAGCTTTAGTGCTGTCTTTGGCGTAGCTTGGCTCGGTACTTGTGGAATATAAAGAATACGGCCATTTACTTGCCGTACAAGTTCTCGTACATTGATGCTGATTCTGAGACATGATGGTTGGTAGTATCCGAGGACTTAGCTTGAGCTCATAATCGATAATGTCGTGCCATGAATACTTGTGTCCCTCCGCAATGAGGGGGTTAAACTATACTATAGGGTTATTTCCTTTTAACCAGTTCCCCGAGATAGTGCGTTTAACGCCTCGCGATGCGTTCAGTGTTTTTTTCACTGCTTGTTACTGTTCCAGAGCCTGGTACGGCTCCCATATTGTGTCGCTAGTGGGCCCTTGCGACCATATAGCCTTTTTTCGTTTTCTTTTTTTTATGTAAATTAATAATGAATACTGGTGTGTGTGCTCTTCACACGCCGGTCTCGCGGTGTACTTGCTGAAATAGTCTCTGGTCATCTCTGCTGGGCGTTATTATCACACGGAAATGGCAGGTTACACGAGGGCTACAATCACGAGATCTGAGGCAAAGTCCCTCATGAACTTTTTATATTCAAAAACCCCTTTAATTAATAAGGCCTAAAAAAAACCTAAAACCTTTAATAATAAAAAGTATTATTAGATAAATTAAGTAATTACTCTAAGCCTCTAGCCCTTGTCACAGTTATGCCCCCTTATTACCCTGGGCGGTTGCAAGTCGGGTTGGGAATAGCTGCATGGGCTGGGTACCCACAAACGCATTTACTAAAGGCTTGATAACGGAACAGAGAGCTCTGGCTCTGCAGACCAGTCATTTCACCGTACTACAAGGATTCTTCCTTTGGGGATGATGCGCTATAGCGTGGTAATCAGTTTCGAAATAACCAGACGAGAGTCGACGTTGGGGATACGATTATACGAACCCGTGGCCCCTTAGGTTACTCCATGTCAACGGGTGAAATACAGGGCATCTACAACTGAGAGGTATATAAGATTAAACAATAACAGGCCATGTACTAGTGTAATTACCCTTTCTTGGTGTGGTCAAACCGTGACACTCTAGTTTAGGTCTACTCCTCTTTGTGGCATGTGCAATGATACAACTACGCTTTACAGGCATTACAAATGCAATATAAGCAGACTATTCCTTATATACTATGTATTGGCTGTAATGAAATAGTTTAATGAGAAATATAAGCAAAAGGTGTGTTATAAGCACAAATATATAGCAGATCAAGGGGGTTTTTATGGCTGGATATATTCAGTCTTAAAAGCAGGATAAAGCGTGGGGTGGCCGGACTGCATAAAATTCTAAATATTCCAACATCTATAGTCATCAAGTTGTCGTGAAACAAAGTGTGCCGCAAGGGAAATCAGCTGGTTGCCTAGTTTGGAAGAAAAGTAAAGGTGCCACGGGATCCATGGGGTCTAGGAAAACGCAACGTATTTTTAATCACCTTGTTCATCTGTAGCTGGTCCGGACTGGTTCTTACCGCTCACTGGAAACAAGGCTCTATAGCGTCAAGTGTAGCTTGCAAGCCACATGGGTAGCGAAATCAACGGAAGAAAATGCAACTATAATGTTATGCAGCAGGTCTTGTGAAATAATCCTTGTTCCTGAAGCCAGATACCAAGAATACTGTCTACATGAATTGCTATGCCTTGTCTTGGTCAAGCAAATCAAATGTAACCAAACAAGAAGGTAACACGATTGCTGGTATAGGATAGTCTAATGCATTCCAGTTGACAATTTAAATTCACCTTGCCCCAGTGGAAACGTAGCATCGATAGAGTGACAAGTGCTGTACTTGCTTTCCATTGTGTCCCTGGGCTTAGACGGATTGTACATGTGCCTCTTGCCACTTGTCAATAATACTCTATATATTGCGATAAAGTCATTAAATCCGTCTCAACACTATGAAGAACAGGTAAAAAATGCTATACATGCAATCCTAGAATGGACAAGGTCTCGTGCTCTGCTCTCAGATGCCCCGGTAACATGTCTAGGTTCTACTCCTCCTTTATGCCCAGGCCCAGCCATCGCCAGCAGCCTAAATTCCAGGTTAATCATCAAGATACACCATCAAAAGGACAAGCAAGACGTACCGGAAAGATACAAATCTTCACCAAAATACTTCTGCATAACATGGGCGCCGGCGTCAGTCCCGTCTGGCCCCGAAGAGACGGCGTTTTTGCCCACGGCCAGGGCAATCATGGGCTCGAGGTGCACCAGCCTCCTATACTCTGGCGAATGGCCAACGGCCTCCTTCAAAATATGCTGGTGTATATTATTCGCGATGCAGTACCCGCCATGCATGGCGCCGCCGCAGCGCTTAATACCCGACCACCTCGTCGCGTCGCCGGCGCAGTAGTGACGATGCTCATTCGGACCCTCCGACTCAATCACCAAGCTATCGACGACCACGTTAGTCACATCTACTCCTCAGCCAGGCACGCGGGAAATCTCACTCGGGTCGAATCTTGACGTAGCCCTCGGCATCGACAGCCCAAGGCGGCAGATACGCCGTGGACGGGACGCTCTTGGAAACAGCGACAATGACCAAGCCCGCGTCCATTTCGGCGCCATTGTCAAAGCGCACGCGGTACCTCTCCTCGCCGTCCTCGGTCTCGACCCTCTCGTACGCATCCAGCCGGTGGCCCAGGGCCACGCGCACCCCAGCCTCGCGGAGCATCCTCAACGCAGCGTCCTTGCACTCGTCGCTCAAACCCTCGGACGACAACAGCGCGCCGCGGGAATGCGCAAGCGTCACCTCGACATGCGGCACGCACAGCTTCAGCTCGGCGGCCATTTCGACGCCCACGGCCCCCCCGCCGACGACCACGACGCCGCGCGACGCCCCCCCAGCCCGGCGGATGTGCTCCCCAACCTCGGCCAGGTACGCCTCCCGCCCAAACGACTGCGGCACCACCGGCCACGCCCTCCTCAGCCCCGTCGCGGCCACGAAGTAGTCGTACCCCAGCACGTCGGGGGCCTCTGCGCCGTGGCGCCGCACCTCGGCCGTCCGGGACGCCCAGTCCACGCGGGCGACGGTGCCGTGGACAAAGGCCACATTGGGGCGCTGCAGGTCCGGCAGCCGCGGGAACTCGACCCAGGCCCTCTCCGCGTACGAGTGCTTGGCCAGCGCGAGCGGCGCGCCGACTACGTGGACTGCAAGGCGGCCGGTTAGACGGTTGGGCAACCGGGGGGGAGGGCGGGATACGCACAGAAGCCGTCGCGCTCGTCGACAATGGTGATTTCGAAGCGGACCCGCGGCCAGGTCGACGGGAAGGGGTACGGGTCGACGGCCATGCGAGGCGGCTTGCCGTCGGTGAGGTCGAGGAGGTTGACGGCGGCGGCGAGCCCTGCGTAGCTGGCGCCGGCGATTAGGACCCGGGCGGTGACGATGCCGTCTGGCGCGGAGGAGGAGGAGGCGGAGGCGGTCATGGTTGCGGTGCGGCCTGGAGGTGAATGGGCTAGGGAGGCTAGGGAGGGAATAGATGAATTCGGGTGGGAGACGGTTGCCGAAGGCTATCTTTCTGTTGCGAGTAGGAGATGGAGAGTTTCGAGGGGCTAGCAGAGGACGTGTTGCGGGATGCCATGGCGAGGCGCTTGCGCGTTTTGCGTGTAGAGACAAAAAGCCTCACATGCACGCGGTTGATGCTCGTGAGGAAATTTGTGCCCTGGTTGCCAAGCTGCTGGTGGGATTCTGCAGGGTTGGTTGTGGGCTCTTGACGATGTCGTAGTGCCCAGTCGCGCCGAGTAGGATAATACGTTGGCCATGACGGAGCAGGGATTCCGGGCGTGTTTGTAGAAAGACCTGCATCCGCCGGCATGCGCTGTCTCATGTCGTGGGGGCCATGCATGCGAGATGTAGTACATGATTGGCGCAGACACATTCCAAGTGTCGTCGGTGCTTCCAAACAAGGTTTTCATGCAGACGTCGACGGTGGGTCGGGTGTGGTGTGCTGTGATAATCTTATCATTCCCATCTAATCAATCGCATCAGCTTTCGCGCAGACGCTGGACAGACAGTAAGCGTGCATGAGTAGCGCGCGCCGTCGGATGGCGCTGATGGAGACGCAAACAATTCGCGCATCTCTTCGCTTGCATCTGCCAAGCATCTTGGATGTTTGTGGAGGGCCGGCGTGTCCATAGCATCGGGGGAAAAGTTTGCATCTGTTCCCATTGTCTCGTCTACCACGGCGGCAGGCTTGATACAGCCGTTCCCTTGTAGACGTCAACTTTAATTTTATACCAATGTAGCCTCGACGCGCGATTATGCCACCAACTACGGAGTACAGAACACTTAGTATACCATGTAGCAAGTTGACAGATAGTCATCAATGTCTTAGGAGCACGTTGACAGTAGAACAAGCCACATCCACAATTATGCCTCGCCGCCAGGGGAAACGCTCCGTCCCAAATCCGCAGCAATCTGCAACGCCAGCGCCTGCGAGAACTGCCGACACCACATGAAGCTGCCGGTCATGTACCAGAAGCCCTCGACGCCCGTAGGCCGCCACCACCCCCTGCGCTCCTGCTCGCCGTCCAAGTCCCCAAACCCCGCGAGCCGGTCGGCAACCTCGTCGCCCATGAGCGCGCGCACATGGTCAATGTTCCGGCGGTACCCCGTCGCCAGCACCACCACGTCGGCCTCGAGCTCCGTCCCGTCATCCAGCGTCACCGACCTCTCGGCCATCTCGCGCACGCCGCCCTCGCAGCGGTGCACGCGGATGCGCCCGTCGACAATCATCCGGCTGGCCCCCTGATCAATGTAAAAGTGCCCGCCGCGAACGAGCTGGTGGTCCGCGAGGCCGTACCCGTCGCCCCCCGTGCGCACGGCCAGCCCGGCGCCGCGCAGGCCCTCGAGCATCTCCGCGTCGGCCGAGGCCATGGCCGCCGTCAGCCCGATGCTCATGGTGCGTATCACCGCCGTCGGGAACGAGTTGCCCAGCACGTCGGCCTCGTCGAGCCCCAGGCCCTCCATGTTCCAGAGCCCCAGCTGCATCGTCTTCCAGGACTCGCTGGACACGCAGAAGATGGCGTGCCGCTGCACCATGGACACTTGCTTTGCGCCGCAGTTGACAAAGTCCTGTGCCGCGTCGTGCCCGCTCGTGCTGCACCCGACGACGACGACGCTCTTCGCCGCCACGTCGGGCACCAGGTGTCCCGACTTTCTCTGGCTCGAGTGGTACACGAGCCCCTTGAAGGAATCTTGGCCCGGGAAACGCGGCATGTTGGGCTGGTCGCTCACGACGCCCGTGGCGAGGACCACGTGCCGCGGGAACATGGTCCGTCTGCCCTTGGGCCCGTACACCTCGACGGCCCATTTCGCCCCGTCGCGCCGGACGGACGTGACGCTCGTGCCGAGCAGAATGTCCAGACCCATTAGCTGCGCGTAGTGCTCGAGGAAGTCGGCCACGCGGTCGCGGCCCAGCCACTCGGGCCAGGTATCCGGGTACCGCAGGAAGGGGTAGTGGTCCGTCCACTTGGGCGTGTGAAGGCGCACCGAGTCGTAGCGGGAGCGCCACGCGTCGCCGACGGCCTGGTGCCTCTCGACGAGGAGCACCGGCACGCCCATGTGCCGCAGGCGGGTGCCGAGCATGACGCCCGCTTGCCCTATATCGAATTTCACGTTGGCGCACGCACGGCCGAGGAGGACGGGGAGGCTACGTACCTGCGCCGACGATGAGGACCGGCGCGTCTCCGGCGGCGCTGCTTGCTCCGTCGACGGCCGGGCTCTGCTTCAGCTCTTCCAGCTGTGTGAAGACGGTCCACGCCTTCCAGGTGTCGTCTGCGCCGTGGGCGAGGCGCACCAGCCCTCGGCCGTGGCCGTGTCGCGTGCCGAAGACGAAGCCCGACTGGACAAAGGCCATTTCTCCCCATTCAACCAGCGCTGGCTTCAGGCCGCCGGCGCTTGGGGATAGGTTGTCTAGACTGACTTCCGAGCTGGTCAGGTACGCCCCGATCGTGTCTCGGCCCTGCTTGGTGGTAAAGTCCCACGCGAGGCCGAGTATGTCCCTCCACCAGCAGTCGTCGATGAAGAGGTGCGCCATGTCGTCGTAGACACGCTGCTCGAAGCACTTTTGCAGCTGGGAGAGCCATTGGGCCACGATGGCTTGTGCGTCAATCGCATCTCGCGGCGTGTGTAGCCGCAGCTCGGGAAGCGAGGGGAGCACGGTGCCGTCCATTGTGAGTCGTGACCTTGGTGAGAAGGGGAGAACGACGTTTGATAGAAGCTACACGTTGTGCGGGACGCAACTTGGTATAACTTGGTACATACGGTCTGGTGTGAGTGAGAGCAGAGAAGGGTCTGGTTTGCAAGACTGGGCACCGCTCCGACAGGGGGGCAGGTTCTGCACATGATTGCTTGCATGGCGTGTTTGGCTTTTGTCTTGGCTTTGGGGCTGCGGTGGATTTACCTTGTTGCATGTGGCCTGGCTATACCATGTTGCATCGTGTGTAGTTGACTTTGAGTGTGAGGGTCCGACGAGGTCCAATGTCGTGGGGCAGACAGGGTTATTGGCCTTGATGTGTAGACCAAGGAACGCACGCTTCTGTTTGGAGTGACGTCAAGCGGGGGAAAGGGAACATTGAAGTGATTGGTCGTGCCTAATTGTATTGACTCCTCACTCCAACTACACGGCCTCGCTTGTACGACCCTATTTGGACCGATCATCAGTGCTGCCTTACCTCGGACACATTCCGCGTTTGCTCTAGATACTTCACCCACAACTTGAATTGTTTCACTGTATAGGAAGAAAATTAAGCATCAAATACTTGATAGGGATAAACCATCAAATACTTGATAGGAATAAACCATCAGATACTTCATAGGCATAAACCATCTCTACTGTATTCTACCCAGCATGCCGTCTCTACCCAAGCAGCTCAGCCCCTCCACACGGCCTCAATAACAACAAAGAAGCTCAAGGGATTCGCCTCCAGGCGCACAATGTCGAACCGCCCATCGGCAGCCTCGAAAATGGCCCGCCACGCCTCCGCCGGGCGCTCCTCGGCGTTGAACAGCGCCATCATCCTCAGGTCCGTCGCCGTGCCCATCTGCTGTATCGACCGGGGCATCGGCGCCTCGCCCTCCCCGGCCTCCTGCTTGCCCACGTAGTCGAGGAAGAAGACGCGCGCGCCGGGCCTCATGGCCGGCACCAGCCCGCGCAGGATCCGCACGCACTCGTCGTCCGGCCAGTCGTGCAGAATCAACTTGATCAGGTAAATGTCCGCCTCGACAGGCTGCGGCTGGAAGAAGTCGTGCGCCACAAACGTGACCCTGTCCTTCATCTCCGCGGGCTGGTGCTTGTCGAAGCCCGCCTGCGCCTGCGGCAAATCCTCCACGACGACGCTGAGCTCTGGGAACTTTTGCGCCAGGGCGAACGAGTCGTGGCCGCCGGAACCGCCAATCTACAAGTCACAAAACAGTTAGCAACGCGTCGAGATGTACAGCGGCTGGGCGGAAACTCACATCCACCACGGTGGCTTTCCCCGCGGCCTTCCAGTCAAACGACTTCTCGAGAACCGTCTCCAGGCGAAAGATCTCCTTGAGGTAGCGCATGAACTCGACAAAGTTCCTCTGCCGCCAGCCCTTGCGGTCGCCCTCGCCGTCGCTCTCTATAAACTCCCACGACGTCTTGTAGCCGCCCACCGTGCCGCCGCGCTGGTACAGCGCAAAGGCCGTCTTGTCCATGTCCCGGGGGAGCCCGGCCTCGCCGCGGGCGTACAGCTCCAGGGCGCGGTTCATGGCGAGCATGGGCGCGCCGGCGTCGTCGATGACGGTTGACACGAGGGCCCGCAGGCCGGCCGACTTGACGAGCGCCGCGGACCGGCACGAGTGCCGCACCCGCCCCGTCGTCTTGAAGTCGCCCTCGGGGGCGAAGAGGCGCAGCGTGAGCGCGTGCTCCAGCACGCGCCGGGCTACTTCCTCGGGCAGGTTGGCGTGCTGGGCGACGTCGGCGGCCGATGCGGAGCCGTCGAGGGGCACGGCGGCCCAGAAGTCAAAGTGGTTCATGAGGTTGAGCGCCATGATGTCGGGGACGCACTGGCGTGAGTCAGCTTAGCACCTGTTCAAGAGGGCAGGACTGGTTCTTGTCTTTGGAGGCACTTACCGTGTGGACGTAGTTGAAGATGCTCTCGCTGGGGCCTTGGACGAGGTACCACAGGTCTGTGATCTTGTCGAGGAGCTCTTGCCGGCGGAGGAACATGTCCCCCGTCAGGTTCTCGTAGCTGGTTGCGCTGGCGGCCGTGAAGTTGGGCTCGGCGACGCTGGCCTCTGCTAGGGACTTGGTGAAGCCGCCTGCGAGCTCTGAGATCTGGGCCGCGAGGCCGTTGATGCTTTCGTCGCCGCTCATGATGTTCTGCGCCGTGGGGGTTGTTGAAAAGTCGTGATTTTTTGGGGGGGCGACCTCTGTCAAATGCGGCGGCGCTGGGCAGATGCTACTTGAGAGCGGTTGTTACAGAGGTTCCCTCACATGCGCAAGATGCTCGGACGGCCATGCTCGGACGTCCATGTTCGGACGGCCAGCATAAGTACGTACACCCGCGAGTACGCCTGGAATTTTGTCTCGTCTCGATCTTGTGCAGTGGGTTATCTGCCGTGATAGTCATCCTCTAGGGGTCGCCAAGCCGGAAGAATTAGGAGCGGGGTTGTGAGTACAAGATGTCGTGCTTTGAGTGGCTACAGGGATTGCGCGCCGTCTCTTGGCATTACGTACAATAATACCGCACAACTGGCTTATTACCCGTCAGCGACGGAGTGGGTATGGGACAGGATGAAATACAGCGAGGACTTGACCAAACGGAGCAGCTGTAGCCGCTAGGAACAGTGTAGTGAATGCTAGCAGAGACCCTAGATCTTGTCGAGTTGGTGCGCATGCGTCAAGGTGTGTTGTCAGGGCGTCATGTGTGTTCCCCACGCTCCACTCCGCTTCAATTTAAAACGAAATGCCGCAGAGATTGCGCAACATGATCTTATCAATCAAATCGCTGCCATCTGGAGTGGGGCGGGATGGGGGTGTTGCGCCACTGAAAAGCGGGCCGTGCCGGGGGGGCGTCCACATATCAAGTTATAGCTTGACCTCAACGTTTCGCCTATACAATATAATACATACTATACGTAACAGCGACAAGGTATAGACTCGACCGGTGGGTTTTGTGCAAGACTATAATCTTACCATGGTCCGTTATGAAATGAGGTACAGGCCCCAACCGTGACCTGCGCGGCAACGAGCGAGGAGTGGTAGGCCGATGCACTTTTCTAACCTCATCAGAATGACCCCGGCGAGAAACTGGCGGTTGTACGGGGTCCTTGGGGCACGGATTCGAGGAAAATTACTGCAGACTGGGTAATGTGTGTGGTCAACGTACATACATGCCTCTTATTAGCGCCAAGGCCAGGTAAGATAGAATTGGCCATGTTATTCACGGGGCAAGACTATTCTTTACAAGTAGACTATTAAATGTATTTTCTTCTTGTGCAGCACCAGACAACGAGCTCGCCCCGTGGCTGTGACTGTTTCCAAGGATCAACTCCCTATCCACAGCGCAGTAAACGTCTTTTGCACGCTCAGCATGGCAGACCCAAAGCGCGTGCTCATGCTCACCAACTCGGAGCTGGGCCAGGCCAACGTGTTCCTAGCAGCCACCCACGAGCTCTTGCAACTCGACCCCAACGTCACAATCTACATTTGCTCCTTTGCGCCGCTCGCCCAGCCCGTGTCGTCCGTCCGGGCCCTCGACGAGACCGGCACGGCGGACAGCAGGCTCAGATTCATCGAGCTGCCCGGCCCGTCGTGGAAGGAGGCCCTCTTCGGCCGCCCCGAGCACCAGTTCCAAGAGCTCTGCGCCATCCGCCCAACCGTCTGGAACGTCTCCAAAGCCGCCAAGCTGACGCGCATCGCCTGTCCCTGGACCACCGACGAGCTGTGCAGCCTGGTGACGCGCCTGGAAACCATTATCCACGACGTGGATCCGCACCTCACCGTCGTGGACAACCTCTTCACGCCCGCAGTCACCGTCTGCTACAAGCTCAAGCCGAAATGGGTCGTCTTGTCGCCCAACACGTACAAGGAGTTTGCGCTCGCCGCGCAGCCTCGCCGCCAATACTACTGGAAGTACCCTCCGTAAGTTAGCCACGCCCGTCATCACCTCCCTCACGCGTCGCTCATTAACACCGTCTTTACCAGCCCGCGGTCGACCATCCCCTTCCCCGTGCCGTGGTACCAGATGCCGCTGGTGTACTACATGGTGCGCAAGATGTACCTCAACCACGACGACCCCTTCATGGGCCAGCACGCAAAGGGCATGAAGGAGGCCATCGACACCGACTACGCCGACTGGGCGTACATCTCCATCGTGCCGCCCGAGGGTCTCCAGATCCTGCTCGCCACCCGGCCCGAGATCGACTTCCCCTTTGACGTGCTGCCCGGCCACATGGTCCCCTGCGGGCCCATGGTCCGGCCTTGCGCGCCGCTGGCCGACGCCGACCCCGAGCTGGCCGCGTGGCTGGCGAGCCGGCCCACGGTCCTCGCCAACCTCGGCACCCACGCGACCTACGACGGGCGGCACGCCCTGGAAATGGCCGGCGCGCTGGACCTGCTGCTCCGGGCTGCCGAGAAGCAAGGCAAGCCGCTGCAGGTGCTCTGGAAGCTTAACAAGGGGGACGACTTTGACCTGTCGGACGACACGTTCAAGGGCCTTGGGCAGAAGTGGAACGAGGCCGTGCGGGTGACGACCTGGCTGGACGCCGAGCCGGCGAGCATCCTCGCGACGGGACACGTCGTGTGCTCCGTCAACCACGGCGGCGCAAACTCCTTCTTTGAGGCTGTCAGCGCCGGGGTGCCGCAGGTCGTCCTGCCCGTGTGGGGGGACACGTATGACTTTGCCAAACGCGCCGAGTGGCTTGGCGTAGGCAAGTTTGGTAGCCCGAGGCACGCGCCCAGGGTGAGTGCCAGGGAGCTGGGCAGGGTGTTGAAGGAGGTCGTTTTGGGGCCACAGGCGGCGCGGTTCGCAGAGAAGGCGGCCTCCTTGGCCAAGGTGTGCGGAGAGAATGGCGGCGGGAGGCGCGTTGCCGCGCGGAAGATTCTGGAAATGATGTAGTTTTCGTCTGTGTGGACTGTTTCAAGTATACCGCTTTATAATGGATGCGTTAAATTGAACCGCAGCAACGGGGTCGCGTGTAACCAGACCCCAAGGCCAAGATGTTGACTTGTATTTGTCAAGTAGGCGTAGACAAAGTAAAGAGCACTCGAGAGCCTAACTGCCACATTGGCCTGTAACCTATTCTCTCTGGAAGCTCTGCTGGGACCGTGTGCGGCGAGATGTGGTCTGCGGTAGGCTTTATATGTGGACTTGGTAAGATTCAATGGTAAGATTAACACCACATGTGAGGCTCACCATGTATTTACGCGTAAATAATGTGGGTTGGTGTTTTATTAACTATTCCTAATAACAATCTTACCTTTTGTCAAGGAAATACTCAAAAACCTTCTTCTATATCGCATTACGAGGTAAAGCAGGAAGCTTAGCCAGCTGAACGTTGGTTGCTTGCCAACGTGCCGCTTCACTCCATGCCAGCCACCACAAGTACAATATCATCCACTTCCAAGTCCTCAGTATAAACCGTGCATAAATTTTCTCCACGTATTAAAACTACAATTATAAATCTCTCAACCCTCCAATGCAAAGACTACTTTTCAGACCAGCACATCACTGAAGCATCTGCTGCATAGCATTGAGCCTATAGCTCTCATTCGTCTCAACCAAGTCCGCATGCCGCCCCTGGTCGACAATCCTCCCCCCCTCGACGACGAAAATCATGTCCGCCCGGAGAACAGTGTGCAGGCGGTGCGTAATCGCCAGCACCGTCGTGTCCCTGGACGCTCTCTGCAGGCCCCTCTGCAGGGCGGCCTCGCCCGCCGCGTCGAGGGCGCTCGTGCTCTCGTCGAGCAGCAGCAGCCGCGGCCGGCGCACGAGGGCACGCGCAATGGCCACGCGCTGCTTCTGGCCGCCCGAGAGGCGCGACGCCGACGGCCCGCACTGCGTGTTGTAGCCGTCGGGCAGCGCCATGATCTCGTCGTGGATGTTGGCCACGCGGCAGGCCTCCTCGACCTCGGCGGCCGTGGCCTCGTGGCCGGGCACCGCGCCCAGGGACACGTTGTGGAGGACCGTCCCGTCAAACAGGGCCGGGTCCTGCGGCACCAGGGCGATGCCGTCGCGGAACGAGTCGGGGAGGCTGGCAATGTCCAGTCCGTCTATCAGGATGGCGCCCGCCGTGGGCTCGTAGAGCCTCTGGACCAGGTTCATGATTGTGCTTTTGCCGGCCCCGGAGGGACCGACCAGCCCGACGAACTGCTTGGGCTTGATGGTGAAGGATACGTTGTCCAGGACGGAAGCGTCACGGTTGCCGGGGTAGGCAAAGGATACACGGTCAAACACCACCGTCGCGCCCGTCTTGCCAGAAGCAGCGGTCGGGTCGGGGTCCTTAGTCTCGGCAGTTGCTTCGGCGTCGGGCTTCCGGGATGGATCCGGGATACCGGAGCCCATGTGGACAATGGCCATGACCCTCGATATGGCGAGGCGCGCTCTGGAAAACTCTGGCGCCAGTGTAAACATGGTTCCCCAGAGCTGGGCGCTCGTCAGCATGGCCACGAGGATGATGAGCAGGTCTCTCTGGGTGTATTCCCCCCTCATAATGAGCTGCGAGCCCCACCAGTAGGTCAAGCCATTGACAAAGGTCGAGATGGTGTGCGAGATGGCAAGCAGGATGTTGGTCTGCGCGGCGGACCTCACGATTTGCTTCGCCGGCGGCTCCAGCAGGCGCTTGTACGACACCATGTATGTGCTTTCCAGGGAGAGCGTCGCCACCGAGCGGATGGACTGGATGGCCTCGGCGGCTAGGGCATTCGCCGTCGAGAAGGCTTCCTGGTGGCGTTCCTCGAAGCGAGCCAGCATGCGCAGCTGCATGAATCCGGACCCCAGCAGGATGGGAATCGTGACAAGCGTCACCAGCGCAATCTTCCAAGCATACACGTGAGATATCACGACGGCGATGATGATGTTGACGCAGATGGCAAAGACCGTGCCAAAGGTAGAGCCGCTAAAGCTGCCAATGGCCATGCAGTCCTTGGTGATGATGGACAGCAGCCTGGACGGCGTGCGCCCTTCAGACGTGTGCCACTCGAGCTTCTGTTGCAGCAACGACCGGAAAGACAGCTGCCGCAGCGCGTAGAGTATCCGTTCTCCAATGATGCCGAATCCCCACCAGGCGAGGAAGTTGGCGATGAGCTCGACCGCGCCGAGCATGAAGATTAAGCCGCCAAAGAAGCGGCCCATGGAGAGGATGCGCTCAACGGTGCTCTGGCAAGGGTTCAGAGCACTCACCGTGTAGCCGAATATGAGGCCAGATCCAGAGAATGTGGCACCGACAATGGCAGCCGCCATCAGCGCCATGAGAACCCAACCCAACGATGGTCGGACCAGCCAGGCAATGCCTCTGAAGACGCTGCTGAATGGCTGGGGCACCGTGCCATCTGCTTCCTCTGACGTTTCTTCTGTGCTCTCCGTCGCGGCCTTTTTCTTGTCTGTCTCGGCGTTGTCGGCAGTTGTCTCTTCAAACTTCTCGTTCACGTCGGCTAGCGAGGCACTTGATCGCGACTCGACCTCTCCCGCACTGCCGCTTGTCGCGCTCAGCTTTTGCAGTTGAACCAAATGGGCAAACTTGCCGCCTTGGACGGCCATGAGCTCGGCATACGTGCCTCGCTCGACGACCTCTCCCGCCTCCAGCACAATGATGTTGTCGGCGCCCTGGATTGTCGACAGTCGATGGGCAATGGAAATCACGGTTCGCTTTCCCGAGGCTGCCGCTTGCTCGATGGCGGCTTGCATCTTTTGTTCGCTCGCCGAGTCGACGCTCGCGGTGGCCTCGTCGAGGATCAGGATTTCAGGATCTCGGATCAGCGCCTGAGCCAAGGCTATACGCTGTCGCTGGCCGCCGCTGACAGAAGTGCCCCTGGGCCCAACCGAGGTTCCGTAGCCCGAGGTGAGGCGGTCGACAAAGTTGGCCGCATCGGCCTTCTCGGCCGCTTGGCGCACAAGTTGTACAATCTCGGCGAAGCCGCTGCCCTGGGATGACGCCCAGGTCATGGCCTCCTTGCCCTTGCTTGCTGCGAGGGCCAGTTCGGGTCTCGCGAGCAACGGCTTCAAGTGCTGGTGTTCTGGGCGTGCAGAGTTGACAAGCCCAAGGGCGATGTTCTCCAGGATGGAAGAGTCGAAAAGCGACGGCTGTTGCTGGACAAAGGTCATGGAGCTCCGCAGCGATCGCACGTTGAGCTCCCTCAGATCCTGGCCGCCCATCTCAATGGTTCCCGACGTGGGATCGTACAAGCGCGCAATGAGAGATGCAATCGTGGACTTGCCGCTCCCCGACAGGCCAACAATGGCCGTATACTTCCCAGCGGGAATCTCAAGACTGACTTCTCGTAGGGCAGGCTGGCCCGGGCGGGTGGAATACTCAAACGTCACATCTCGAAAGGCAATGGTCTTGTCCATCCCTTCAGTCAGGGGCCTGCCTGAATCAGAAGTGCCGTCTATAGGAGACGGGGTTTCAATGTCTTCCATGAGACGCTGGTATGCAGAGACGCCAGCTCCCAGGAATGGCAGCAACGGCGCCAGGCCGCCCAGCATGACGCACGCATCAATGAGCAGGTAGACAATGGCGTATATCTGTCCAATGGACGAACTGTTACTGGCGTCCGACACGGCGTCGGCGATGCGGACACTGCCCTGCCAGAAGGCCAGGGCGTTGGCGCAGTAGGCAATAAAGTACAGCAATCCCGTCTGGATGGCGGCGACGGCAACCTTGGCAATGGCATGCTTGCGGGCGCTTGCCATGTGGCCGACAAACATCTTCTCCAGCCGGGCGGCGGCGCCAAAGGCATGGACGACGGGGATGTGGGACAGGGCCTCGGAGGCAATGGACGAAGCGTGCGACGTGGATTCGTTCTGCTCCTTGGTGAACTTGCCGATGTACTTGCTGCTCAGGATGCCCGATACGAGAAAGACGGGCATGACGGATATCAGGATGCCGGCCAGGCTGGGCTGTGTGGAAAAGGCAATGACAAAGACGGTGATGATGAAGCTGAAGGTGGTGATGATGGTGCCGACCTTTTCCGACGTGGCAGACTGGACGGCGGCAATGTCATTCTGCAGCCGGCTCGAGACCTGGCCGGCAGAGCCGCGACTATCGAAGAAGGAAGGGGGCTGGCGCAGCAGAGCCGCCACGTAGTGGTTGCGAAGACGCCGGGCCAGGCGCTGGCTGATGATGCCCCAGGAGGTGAGGTGGCAGTAGATGAGGACCAGGGCAATGGCGCCAATCCAGGCCGTCTTGATGACCTTGTCGTTGATGGCGGACTCGTAGCGAAAGGCGTCTTGTCCCGGGCCGTCCTGGGCCGCGCAGGTTGCGCTGTTGAAGTCATCGACAAGCTGGCCGAAGAGGACGCCCATGAGGGGGAAGGGAACGCCGGCTGCGGCAGCGCATAGCGTTCCAAACACGACGAGAAGCACGTCAATGTACGTCGGCTGCACGGCAAAGGGGAGCCGGAAGAAGACGAAGATGCTGCCAAAGTCCTGGTGAGTTCAAAGTCAGCTCATCACCTCGATGCTGCGTGTATCGGAGACTTGCCAGCCACTTTCGTCTCGAAGACTGGTCGTCTTCCGAATCTTTGGACGACATGATGTCCGCCTGGGGTCTGAGGCGCTCAATGGGGTATCTTGGGCGACGGTAAAGAGAGCAGACAGACGCAAGCACGAAGATGGATGAGAATGTTAACTGGTAGGATCTCTATCCATTCTTGGTAGGACTGTATGGAGTCAAAGCGGTCAAACGGACAACCAGTGCTGGAACACTGTGGACACGAACAGGCGGGCACTGCTTGCTCCCGATTCAAACGTTGGAAAAGAAGAAAGGAAAAGAGCCAAGGCCCAGCGAGATTTGGAGCGAGACTTGCATCGCTAGCCTCTCGGATATCCGATTTGAGGGTCTTTGTTCGGGAATTTACACTTGGGACGCTTGAAAGCTGACTCCAGCGCCAACCGCGATAATTCCCGCGCATACAGGGAGGCGACAGAGATGAGCATGGATTGACGCTAGACTCGGATCCATCGCAGAGGAAGGAGCATTTGCAAGGGGGGAGGGTGTATCCAAGTCGAAAAGTTGCGTGCAGAAAGCATGGGTGTGGTTGGTGGATTCATCACGAATGATGGATGACTGGAGTCCGGTTGAATCAACCTGCATTTGGTACTTTGAACCGGGATGTTGGACTCTTGAGCGGTTGGTACCAACCAGCTGCCACAGATTGCCCCCTCTCTCGTCTTGGCACGGCACTGTTGGCTTGTGGGATGCCAGCTGGCACATCCGCGAGCGGCGACGGCCAAGCCGTGGATTCTGTCGACTCCCGTGTCCAGGAGGGTGTAATGAGTTGCGCTATCCGTCGCGGCACCACGAGTTTTCCGCATCTTGTGCTGGTCACCTGCTCTTGTTCAAGGTCGGTTCTCTGTGGAGCTCCCGGCTCTTTGCGGTGTTGGATACAATGCCGCCTTGATTTGGTTGCGAGGGACATCATCTTTGCAACTTGACATTGATTAATCATTATACCATCTCCTGTGACGAGCAACGGGAGGCTGCGCGACTCGCCCAGCAGCCGGCCTGCGTACACAATGAAGCAGAAACGCATCCTCTTCCTGACAAATGCCGAGCTCGGGCAGGCCAATGTTCATCTCGCCGTCCTCCAATGGCTTCAGTCCAACGCCGCAGACGTCGACCTGCACCTGTCTTCCTTCCCCGCGCTGCAGCCGTCTGTGAATGCCCTCAACGAAACCGCCTCGCCCAACGCGCAGGTCACGTTTCACGAGTTGTCGGGCCCGACGTGGAAGGAAAGCCTCTTCTACCGTCCCGAGCACCAGTGGCAAGAAATATGCAGCCTGCCTCCGAACGTCTGGAGTGTTTCTCGCGCCGCGCCGCTCATGCCCCGTGTCGCATGCCCCTGGAGTGCGGACGAGCTGCTTGATCTCATCATGCAGGTCAAAAAGGTGGTGCAGACTGTCGATGCAGACCTCGTCATGGTCGACAACCTCTTCACCCCCGCCGTCACCGTCTGCTACGATATCAAGCCCAGGTGGTCGATTCTGTCGCCAAACACCTATCGTGAATTCATCCTTGGCAAGCAGCCTCGTTATGAGTCCTTTTGGAAACATCCCCCGTATGTCCAAACCTGCATCCCAACCCCGTCCTGTGGCTGACGTCAAGACATGCAAAGAACAGCTTCATTTATCCCCTACCCCGTACCGCTCTACTTGATTCCAGTAGCGTTGTACTACCAGCGAGAATGGAGAAAGAACCCCCATAGCGATTACATACACAGTGTCGCCATGAGTATTTGGGAAAAGACTGAGATATACTACTCCGACTGGGGTCGCATATCCTTTGATCCACCGGAAGGTTTAAAGGTTTTTCTTCCTAGCAACTCGACTGTTGACTTTCCGTTTTCCGTCGTTCCAGAACACTATGTTTCGTGCGGACCGATCGTTCGCTCAGCGCCGCCATTAAAAGAGTCTGATGTGGAATTAGATGCGTGGATACGGCAAAGGTCAACCGTGTATATCAACTTGGGCACGCATTTCCTGTACGATGATAGCGGGACCATGAGCCTCGCGGCTTCCATTAAAGCCCTTTTAGACGCTGCAACAGAGGCCGGACGAGATATTCAGGTGCTTTGGAAGCTGAACAAGGGCGTCAACTCTGACGGCGATTACGCACCCTTGCATCAGAAAATTGGCTACCATGACCGTGTTCGTATCGTCGACTGGCTGTTGGCTGAGCCCATTTCAATCCTCACTTCAGGTTCTGTCATCTGCTCAGTCAACCACGGCGGTGCCAATAGTTATTTCGAAGCTGTCAGGTTTGTTATTGTTCTCCCATCCATTGAGGCTCAACATTTACTAACGTTACCCAGCGCGGGCGTACCTCAAGTCGTGCTCCCGGTATGGTTTGATACCTACGACTTTGCACGGCGCGTCGAGTACTTTGGCATTGGCAAGATAGGCAACTACCACAACGCGCCGAGGTGTTCGGAAAGCGAGCTGTCGCCGATGCTGAAGCAGGTTGTGCTGGGGAAACGGGCTGAAATCATGCGAAGCAAGGCCGCTGCCATGGCGGAAGCGTGCAAGGCCAACGGCGACGGGTGCGCAGTCGCGGCGCAGGGGATTCTCAACTTGGCGCTTTCTGCGGCTGAGGCCTGATGGAGAGAGTAGGAACCGACGGCCTACCAAGTACATACAACCCAGAGGCGGTCAAGACTACGCTAGTCATGAATAGAGCATTTTGGCGCACTACAGCAAACGGTTCATGAACATACTCTTGGCGGTGTTAGGGACAGCTAACCTGGCCACGATATTGTCGTGTCAGTTGGTGCGATTAGGAATAACAGCCGACATGGCAACACGGCGACGACCCACCATGGGAATAGAAAACGTTGAGCCATCCATAGCTCACCCGGCATCGATACTGTCAGTAGTATTAAGCACCTCTTCCGCACTAGGCGATCAGTTTGAACAGCCTAGCCAGCTCTTTACCCAACAAGACGGTGGAGATGGTGTGGTCCTATAGGCGACGGGTCAATTGGTGCGTTGATCACTTGGTGGTCACGATGCTGACACACCCATGTCCGGCCAAAACGCCACCGCTCCACACCACCGGTCGAGTTTAATTTCGTTTTTATCTGCCCACATCTTATCTGATCCTCCCTAGCATCCTGGCTCTGGTGGGACGCACTCGTCGCATGACTCCAGCCACCAGACGGGCTGATTTGTGCACCATCCCAGTCCGCGAGAATTGCACTCAACTCGGCATGCCCAACCGGCTTGCCCCCCAATCAGCTCGCTTCCAATGTCCCACTTGCTTCTCGCCCTTGAGAACAGAGTTTTCTATTGTATTTTTTTTTTTTCCTTTTTCCCTCGTTTTTCTCTTGGCACCTCCATTTTTTGCGTCTGGTCCCTCGTGGCAAGCGGCAGGGATCACCGTAAAGAGCCGCGGGCTGTCCGATGACCGGCCTACTTCAAGGCTCGTCCCTCCGGCCCTCCTCGTAACCTTCATCTGTCCTCATCTTCTTGCAACAAGGTAAAACAAGGTGCAACAAAGTCCGACTCTGCATTTTCCATCTCCGCGACATGGACAAGATCAAGTCGACTGACGGGCCGCGTCCCCCTGCTGGTGAATCTGATGCCGAAAAGGGCCATCATGGAGTCAACACCACGGCAGTAGATGGCTCGACCACCAGCGGCGTCAAAAACGATGGAAATGCCTCTGATTCCGACGAATTCCAAGACGGCGTGCGAGAGGTTCGCGCCGTCACGACAGTCTGGTCCAAGACGTCGCTCTTCTCCATGTTTGCCTTGTAAGTTGGCACCGCCGAAAAAAAAACCCAAGGCCCACGGCTGACGGAAACAGACTCTACCTGGTCTCCTTTGTGGACTACCTCCAGAACAACATCGACTCTATCCTCAACCCGTACATCACGTCGTCGTTTGGAAAGCATGGGCTCCTCAACGTCGGCAGCGTCATGTCCACCATTATCGGGTCCGTGGCGCCGCTCTTCATCGCCAAGGTTGTCGACATCTGGGGCCGCGCCGAGGGCTTCCTGCTCATGGTGGTCGTGTGCGTCATCGGCATGATCATCAAGGCCGTCGCCCAAAACGTCGAGACGTACGTGGCCGCCCACACCATGTACTGGGTCGGCCACATCGGCATCGGGTACGTCATGAACGTCATGCTGGCCGACATGAGCAGCCTCAGGAACCGCATGCTCGCCATTGCCATCAACGGCACGCCCCGCCTCGTCGGCAACTACGCCGGCCCCAACATTGCCGGCCTGTTCTACCGCAACCTCAACTTCAGATGGGCCTTTGGCGCCTTCAGCATCATCCTGGTTGCGTGCAGCGCGCCCGCCATCGGCCTGATGTGGTCGATGCTGGGCAAGGCCCGCAGGGAGGGCGTCATTGAGAAGCGTCAGGCGTCTGGCCGCACCTGGCTCCAGTCCATCCAGTTCCACGTCGTGGAGATGGACTTGGTGGGCATGGTTCTCATCATGGGTGCGCTGGCCTGCATCCTGCTGCCCTTCAATCTGGTCGCCTATGCCCCTCAGCAGTGGGAGACTCCCTACATTATTGCCATGCTGGTCCTGGGCGTTCTCCTCTTCCCCGCCTTTTACGTCTGGGAGGCCAAGATTGCCCGGGTCCAGTTTCTCCCCTTTCGGTTCCTGAAGCAGGGCACCATCATCGGCGGCTGTCTACTGTACGGCGTCATGTTCCTGTCCACCTTTTGCTGGAACGGCTACTTTTACTCGTACCTCCGCGTGGTGCACCGCCAAAGCCTCGAGAATGCGGGATACATTGTCAACACCTTCTCCACCACCTCGGTCGTCTTCGGACCCCTGGTGGCCCTCTTCATCAGCTACACTGGCAACTTTAAGTGGACGGCGTACGGCGGCGTGCCCGTCATGCTTCTCGGCTCGGCGCTCGTCATCCCCTTCCGCCAGCCCAACGCCCCCGTCGGCATGCTCGTCTTCACCCAGTTCCTGGTCGGCCTCGGGAGCGAGATCCTCGTCCTCTGCAGCTCCCTGGCCTGCCAGGCGCCCGTGACGCACCAGCAGATTGCCGCCGTCATTGCGCTGTCGGGCATGTTTGGCGGTTTCGGCGCCTCCATTGGCCTTTCCATCGCCGGCGCCATCTGGAACAATTTGCTTCCCCAGAAGCTGTACGAATACCTGCCAGAGGGGGCCAAGAACCAGTCCATGACCATCTTTGGCGACATTGAGCAGCAGATTGCCTTCCCGGACGGGTCGCCGGAGCGGGAGGCCATCGTTGCTGCTCTCGGCGACACCATGAGGCTGATGGTTATTGCGGGTGTGGCGCTGATGCCCCTGTGCGCCGTGTGCATCTATGCTTGGAAGAATATCAATGTCAAGAAGCTGGAGGAGCAGCAGGGCAAGCAGACCAAGGGCACAACCCTCTAGGGACGCTGTATGCCGTTGGCGATTGGACCAGACGTAATACAGGGAATCTAGGAGTGCCTAGAATAGATTGGACTTGTGGGATTGTAAAGATGGCTTTTGGAGTGGAATAATTTTAATATTTTTATAAAACGTAGCTTTACTTATTTGATATACAAGTTGTACGACAAGAAATTCGAATTACCCGTTAGCAACTAAGTGGACTCCCACTTAGTTGGTCACAAAATTCTAGGACAGCCACAAAAGGCCGGGATAAGCCCTACTGTTACGACCCAGTCGTATGCAGGAAGCAGGCTGCAGGTTGGGCCGGCTACATGAGCCACGGGGCGGCATAGGCAGGGCGGACAACGGATTAATGGTTAGAGCGACCGTCATATTTAGATCGCAGGAAGAACCGTGATCCGTGTAAGCGGGATCACGGCCATAACAGCGATCCAGAGGGAAATATTATAATAGGAGAAGTGATCTATTGTAGTATATAGGGACCCCTAATTTCACTTCATAGATAGACTTTAGCTCCTTAGCTTTTAATACTAATTATTATATTAACCTAAGCTTTGCTTATAACTCTTTGACTTTGATTACTTGGTTATGGTCTACGACCTATTACCAATGTAACACCTAACTGCTCAGATTGACTGCCCTAGTGGCTCTGCTAACATAAACTACGACTAGTTTATCCCTTGGGAACCTTAGCCGTTACACCTACCTAGACTTTTATATATAAATTAGCTATATAGTTATAAAAGTATAATTTTTTTTATATTATATAATATTATATAAGTAAATTTAATTAAAAGCTAGCTATTAAAGGCTTTTTAATATATATATAATTAATAAAAATATAAAAAATAATGGATTTAAAGCCTTTTAAGGCCTTTTAGGGTTAGTTAGGTTAAGCTTAATTATAAAGGCTATTTATAAGCGCCTATAATATTTAATAACTTTTTATAAAAATAACTAAGCTTTTTATCTAGCTTTTATTATCTTATTAGCTTAGAACTCTTTAATATATTATTAAATAATATTCTAAAGCTTTATATAAGCTTTTTTATTTAATATATATTATTAAAAGTATAATAAGGCTAATAATAATAATTATAATACTTAATTAGGTATATTTTTATTATATTAAATAACTTTTTAAGTATTTATAATATTATTAATATTATTAATAAATTAATATTAATATTTCTTTTTTATTTTTATTATAATAGTTTTAGCTTATTATTTTTAAATATTTTTAAGGCTAATACTTATAATAAATTAACTAAAAAGCTTAACTTATTTCCCTTATTTTTAATAATTAATTAGGCGCTTAATTTATTAATTTTTATTATAAATAAAGCTTTTAACTTATATTTTTAGTATAAAAGCCTTAATTATAACCTAGCTAGTATATTAAAGCTTTTTATAAGTCAGGGATAATAAAATATTAATATAATAGTTTTAAATTAATTATATAATATTAGTAATAACCTAGAATTATTAATTATATAATAAAAGGCTTATTAAGGCAGGATTTATTATATTTTATTATTTTTATTATTTTTAGATAATTTTAGTAATAATAAGCTTAGAGTTTAAGGGCTAAATACTGCTTTTTATAAAGCTTGCTATAATATTATATTTTAAGAAGCTATTTATAAATATTTTATTAAAAGCTTTAATAAATTATTAATATAAAAAAGCTAGATTTCCTTCTAATAATAATAACTAAATTACTTTTTAATAAGCGTTTTTTATAAGCTAAAAAACGCTTATATTTAATAGTTAAAAAATATATATTAAATAAGGCAGGAAAATAATAATAATAATATTAAATATAATATAATATTTAATAAAATTAAGCTAGGTATACCTTATAAAGCTATTAATAATTAATAATTAAAAAATTTACTTTTTAGGCTTTTAAAAAAGCTTTTTAAATTAAATCTAAGGCCTTATAAGGTTATAAAGCTACTTATTATATTTAAATTAAGCTAATAAAAATATTCTGCTTTATTAGGCTTTTATTAAATACTTTTATAAGCTTATATTAAATTAATATATTTAATTAAGTATAATATTATTATTATTAAAGCTTATATTAGTTCTAGTAAAGTATATTTTATTATTACCTTTAATTTTAAACCAGGACTTAGTTAAGAAGGTCTTAAATACTAGCTAGGATAGAATTTAATCCTTAATAGTATTAATAGCGCTTAAAAGGCTAATAAACTCTTAATTTAATAAATTAAGTACTTTTATATATTATTTTTAAGTTATAATAACTATAATAATCTTAACCTACTTATAAAAGTATTTAATTTAAAGGCTACTTTTATTTTTATTTTATATCTCTAATAAGCTAATATTATATTTATTTATTATTTATTAATAGTATTTAAAAAAGCTATTAATAATATTAGTATTTATTATTTTAAAGGATTTTTTTGCTTTATTAATAGCTTTAATTAGGGTTTTTAAAAGCTAAAAATAATTAATAATCTAATAAAAATACTATATTTTTAATAATAAAAAGGCTTTAAAGTCTTAATACTTTTATAAGTTATTTATAATAGCTTTAATTTATTACCTTATAGCTAAAAAGCTACCCTTTTATATCTATATAATATATATAATAAAAGCTTTATTTTTATTATTATTTATAGCTTATAGCTGGCTAATTACTAGCTAAGAAATTATAAAAAAAGCTATAATAATATATTAAATAATTAATTTACTAATATTAAAGCATTTAATAGCTTTTTATATAAATATTTAGCATTATTATTATAGTATTATTATTATATAATAAGGCTATTTAAGTGCTTATATTTATATTATTAGATTAATAGCCTTAATTATTAAAAGTAAAAAGCTAGCTTTAATATTAACTTTAGATTAAGTAATTATAATAAAATAAGTAAGTTATAATAGCTTTATATTAGTTATTAATCTTATTTTATAAGTAAATTAATAATAAAAAAATTAAAAAGTAGGTGCTAGCTGTCCTGGACTTTTATGGCTGTCCTAGAATTTTATGGCCAACTAAGTGGAAAAGGGTCCACTTAGTTGCCAATAGGTACAAGAGAAAAGTATAAGAATTTTGGTTACGCCCCTTTTTATGGAGCTTCTTAGCTAGTAGTAGCTAGCAAGACACGGATACATATTAACTACACGTTGCATGAAAATTCCTTCCAGGGTATAACAAATGGTTGCAATTCCGCGGCATAATCTACCCTAGGCTTCTACTTTGCAACTAGACAGCGAATCCGACGATGTCGTCAACCAAGTTACCTTGCAGCCCGTTGAAGCAGTCCGGTTTACTACGCCTCATAAGGCAGCTTGCTTCCACTGACGGCGTTAGCAGGTTGTCGCAAAAAAACGCGACCTAGTTGAACAGCAGTAATAGGATAGTTCCTCCTTGCATTTCCGTTGACACGGCTACTACACGCCTTCCAGCGGAAATAGGAGCTGAATTATACATACCAATTGTAATTCCACGGCTGCTGCGGCCTTTTTGTTCAGTCTGATATCAGACCACCAGCTGAGCTGGCGTTTAATCGGGACCATGAACGAGACCACGACAGACTTGGTATCAGGCCTATAAGGAAAATAAAGAGACAGGCTTGGATAATGGAACGGATTATAAAGTAAAAGTTTTTGAATCTAATAGCCCGGCTACGAGCTTTGAACCCTACCGCTCGACGAATTCAGCATAAAAGCTTGCAAAAAACAAGGCATTCACTTTTTACAAATACGTTTTAAAACAAGGCGAATTTCCGAATTTTACATCTCTCTGTGTGTGTACATGTTTTGTATGGCATATGCGTACTTTGCAACCACTCTTGACCGAGCATGCGCATTTGCTCTGCTCGTACACTGTGACAAGGGCCTAGCTTGGAGCAATTACTCAATTCATCTAATAACAGTCTTTGGTATCAAGGGTCCTTGGTTTTCCTCAAGGCCTTGAGGGACCGAAGCCGTCTATTTATACAAGAAGTCCGTGAGGGACTTTGCCCTGGGTCTCGTGACCGTAGCCCTTGTGTGACCAGCCATTTCCGTGTAACATACACGATGGCTCGTAGTTGACCCCATCACTCATAAACGCCGGATCTATATGAAGTGCGGCCTCGGGGTCTTGACTCATTCACGATCTTGCAGATCTTGTCTGGTTCTTTCGTTTTTTTGTTCCCAAGCTGATAATTATAATTGAATTGGGCAAGCTGCACACTGCCCCTTGTCACAAACGACAGCACAGGATATTGACAACACGCCTTGCTGGCCATCATGTCGCTGCCCCATTTGAGATATCTAGAGTTCTAGGGTCTACTCCATTCCGAAAAACGCTCCTTGCCGAGAATTAGCATGTTCCGCCAACACCATTCATGACGTCTCCATCGCCTATCCCTCGTTTCGCGTCGGGTCAAGCGTCCCGTTGCTATGTGACAGTTTCCCAGACTCCTCAGCGGAAAACTCGTCCATGAGACGAATAAAATCCGGCATGGGCGGAAAATCCGCAAAATGCCACTTGATGCGCTCCCAATCTGTAGCTCCGTTAGCAACATGTTTCGCAGGCCAAAGTCGGAACGGAGTCTTGTCTTGTGTTTACATAGCGGCCACCATCCGGCAAACTCCCAGTCAATAAGATACAACTTCCCATCTGCGGCTCGGATAATATTCCGCGGGCATATATCCGCATGAACAAAAGCGACTTGGTCCGGCTGGCGAGGAAACTCCGCAAAGTCGGTCCGCTCATCAAGGACGGATACGAAATCAGCAGACTCGACAAACGGACCAAGCCCGGCTGGTCCATCGTCTTCCACGCCGAGTGCTCCGTCGCGAACTGGTCCGCCGCCGACTGACGCGGCAGCCATGCCACCGAGCCCAGAGGGCGGGCAACATGCATGAAGCTGCCTCACGCTGTCCCACACCTGGGCGACGGCTTTGCGCTTCTCCTCGTCGGTCAGACGAGTCCACAGGTCCTCGAGAGATTCGCCACTTATGTAGTCCATGGCGATGAATAGTCCTTGGCGTAGCTGATATGTCCGATGGATACGGGGCAGAGGCACCGACGTGCTCGAGGCGGCATACTGCATGGCTTCCAGTTCCTGCTGCGAGCACGGCCCTTTGATCAGTTGCCGGCTCGACACTTGCACGATTTTCCGCTGCTCGTCGTACATGATCTTCCTGCCGAGGCGCATGCGGATGGGGAGTAACCATTCTTCGAGCCTGCGCACCAGGCTGCAGAGAAAGTTGCCCCAGAAGCCTTGGCCAATACCTCGGTCCTCTGCTGTAGTCATTCTGTCTCTGTGAAATTATGCGATGACAAATTTTGGCATTGGGCAGAGAATACAAGTTGTCGGAGCCGATATCCGAGTCGCTGTGCGATACGCAAACGCCTTGATCGGAGCTGAGCGACAGGCCGAGGGGATGGAAGCGCGGCAAGGCGGTTCAACAGTCGGTTGGGAAGAGATCAATGTTGCCTTGTCAGACAGGCGCATACGACAACGAGGGGAAGGCACATTCGAGAATTGTTTCAAGCAAGTCGAGGTGGCAAACGTTCGTCGGACGATGGCCGATGACCCCACGCGGGCAAGCAAGTAAGAAGCAGCTTGAGGGTTCAAATGTTGCACAAGAAGCTGCGGCCTCGAGGCGGCGAGGTCCCGAGCCGTCAACTGGTGTGTTGACAGATGGTGGTCGATGCTTTATTGGTCCGGAGAGCAGAGAGGCCCAAGCAGTGAGCACTAGCAAGGAAGAGGATTTGAGCTATCAGATCTGCGATGAGCCGATGTTTTTCACCCGCGCATTGATGACGGGGTACAGTCAGCTGATCGACGGCATATCGTAGGAGTGCATTTCCGCCTCTTGTCTTCTGATAAACAGTCAAGACTCAAGAGTGCGAGCCAAGACCTCCTGTCGATATTGGTGGTCAGACCGACTGTACCGCGATATCCACGTTTGTCATGACTCGGCAAATAGCACGTTGCATGGCTTGTCTGGGGGCCGCTCAATCTCGGAGAAATTGCAACAAGGTACATATTCATGACGTATTGCCATGACAATCATGTCATATGTCATGCAGTGAGAGATGAAATCAAGCGCCTGGGAGCTTGAGACGATACGTACTCGGCTGTTTGAACTGACCGACTTGTCCATGACTTGTCGATTTGAAAGCCTGTGTTTGATGAGATTTACAAGTGCGTCTAAGAGAAGCAAGACTGTGCTTCAAGACGGTGTCGAGTTTGTGCTTCACCGCGCTTTGTTATGCTGACGTTATACCGGCAAAGGCTTCGTTTGCTCGTCTGATCCGTTCGTGGAGGGTGATATGAGACAAGTTCTGGGCCCCTTCCATGTAATTCAATGCAACTCCCATGCATCATATTCCGGCCAGTGCGGGGGAAATTAGTATTACGTTTGGTTTGGAAAAGAGGGAGAGAATAATACTATGGGCTGAATCTGCTGTAGTGACAAGGCCAACGCACATTCATCTGACACTGAAAAACTATATATAACCCTCTTTCATCTCCCAATTTCACCGTTCAGCATCTTCATTCGCAAAGAATTCAGACAAACTCCATCAACAGCACAACTACCTACTTCATATCCATCCAACATGCAGTTTTCTACCCTCATTACTCTGGTTGTCAGTATGGTTGCCGTTGCTACACCCGTGGCTGCTGGGAAATGCTGCTCTGCCTCCTGCGGAGCTTGCCTGGGGGGGACCTCCTGCTCTGTAAGTTGCAACCGATTATCCTCTATCCAAGGTCTAGATTATCTGACCAATACCTAGACCAACGGTGAATGCAGCGGTGTGGGTGCTCCTTACCACCGCTGTTGCAAGAAGTAAAACACAGGACAGCCTGCATCAATTTGACGGCCGATTATTGTGGGTTAGTTTACCAAGTGCCTGGGTTATTGTTGCTCTTAGTAAAGAGGTACGCCGATCAGATGGACCAAGTTATCTTGGGGCCTGTTTGTATTCCGCACATTCATTATTGGAATCAATTGGTGTGGTGGAAGTCTTTCATTCGTTTAGCTCAATAAACGCCCTCAGATTCTCTAGCACTTTGATACTATAATCGTGAGAATCAAACTCATGCCATGGAGTTATTTGGGGCGAAAGACTGGGCAAAGTGGCACGGGATATTATAAATGTCACCGTAACCGCACCCCCTAGACCACGTAGCAATGGAAGTGACCGTTGATATTTTAGAGGCAAAATAAGGCTTTAGCAGCACCCAAGAGGTCAGTGGTGGGCTATTATGATACCTTGTTACGGTACCAAAGTCTGAGGTGGTCGCGGCGCGGTTGACCTGAGTGGCACGGTGCTATACATGTAATTTTATACCAGACGGTAAAAGGTATCAATTGATATATGTAGTGCTGGCTGGGTACAGGCAAGGTGCCAGCACCGTTATAAGCCACACGGTTACAGATAGTGCCAAAAGCCGCTACACACCCCCCAAAGAAAAAACACGTGACACGTGACACTTGACACAACAATAATACCAAATATATTGTACTATTTTCTAGTATATTATACTATTTTCTAGTATATTATACTATTTTCTAGTATATTATACTATTTTCTAGTATATTCTACTATTTTCTAGTATATTCTACTATTTTCTAGTATATTATACTATCTTCTAAGAGAAATATTTTATACTCTTAGTTAAGAGGACTAGAAATAAAAGAAATATTACCAGAAATAGCTAGCTTTATTAGTATAGTTTAACTCTTATAGGGTAGCCTTGATGCTAGTTCCATACCATGTACTGCTGAGTATAGCAGCTCAAGTGCTATTAATTCAATTTCTAGCGTCGCCTTCCGCATGACGCAGCCCCATGTGCAAGGCTGCTGCCCAGGTCAAAACTCCATGCCACGATCCTCCTCGATTCTCCTCAATTGAACATCTCCATCATGTTATAGCACACGCGCTCCCCCCCCCTTCGCCATGGTGCTCACCCGCGCTCGAACACGCGCTGCTGGGCCAGAGACTCAACGTCACACGTGCTCACGCCCTGATGGTACGAAGCTCGATCTCCATGCCGATACTACGACTGCTAATTTGCAATAGCACCAGCCCGCGGGAAAAAGGGTAACAAAAGAAAGCTTCAGGACGCCCGACAACAGAGTACGATGGAGAGGGCGAAATTACTTGGCCGACGAAACGAGGATGAGCAGCAAAGTGTCAATTGTTCGGTCACATATTTCACTCCGACCGACCACAAACCCAACCCGATCGCCTCTTGGGTACAGAACAATCACTGGCCCGAATCTTTCTTCGATCGCAGCCTGGCTCAGCAAGCTCCGTAACCCCAAGCGACCAAAAACCAAGAGAGGAAAAGAGTGCCCGCTACCGAGACGTACGTTATAATGAAGAATTACAAGACAAAAAAAGCTACATGATGGACTCTGAGCAAGGAATTTCCGACGAGAGTAAAAAGCAAATTGTTATACTGTTAAACTCCGAGCAGGAGCCCCCGCAAGACTCGTCCTTTAGCGACACATTGTTCTCCAGGACATGCCAGAGCGTCGTGGATCGGAATGAAGCGCGGATAAATCGCGACATTACCCCCGAGCTTGTTCCTGCGCATCGTGGCGCGCGAAAGCTGGGATGCCTTGTTGAAAGTACAAACGAAGGATGGAGTAACTCCATGCCCTTAACAAACCCCCGCCCGCAGCCAGATTACTCTGTTGGTTTCAAGAGAGGGGCATTTTCTGAAGCTCAGCTGGAGAGAATGGCCCCGATGATTGGCAACAGGATTGCCGGAGATCAATCGAAGATTATGGCAACGTACCTAATTTACTTCCCATTTCTGTCATGCGAAGTCAAGTGTGGCTCTACGTCGCTGGAAGACGCGGACCGCCAGAACGCTCATACGGCAACATTGGCCGTACGAGGTGTTGTTGAATTATTCATGGTATTGAAGCGCGAACATGAGATTGATCGCAAGATCCTGGCATTTTCTGTCTCGCACGATCATCGACAAGTGCGACTTTACGCCCACTACGCTGATATTAAGGAGGGAGATGCAAAATACTACCGTTATACAATCCGCACATTTGACTTTACAGAACTTGATGGCAAGGAGAAATTCACGTCATATCGTTTCATCAAGAACGTATATGAAATCTGGATGCCGCAACATTTCTCGATGATATGTTCCGCCATTGACCAACTCCCTGGTTATTCGAATCCGGATGTGACCTCGCTTCAAGAATCCGCCCTTTCCCATGATCTCGAAAGGTACAGCCCGTCACAATCGCAGTCACAGTCGGAAATCGAATCTGCCCACGAATCGCAACAAGACGCTACTCCAAACACATCACTCACTGGGGCAGGTCCCGCCAAAGCGTAATAGCACCAAGGCGGTGCTAATATTACTCTCATTAGTCTTAGTTAGAAGAGTTTAGCGGATACAATCGAAACTTCATACTATAATTCTATTACGGCCTGTACAATCAGGTGTAAGGCAGTACACTTGCGTCGTGACAAGAGCCTTGCCATGTCATTATGACGGCGCCGCGTAAATTGATTAAGCAAAGCGAAAAGAGGAAAGAATGCCCTTCTTGCTTTACTTCTTTTATAAGAGTCTCTGAGTGCTGCGCTACCACAATCCCAAGCCTCATGTAATCAACAGCATTAATGGTGCCGCAGGCGGAAGCTCCGGAGGGCATAATACAAAAAGAAGCTCTGGGAAATGATGCTAGCAGCTTTAAAAGGCTTAAATTCAGAAGCTTTGATAAGCGTCAATTTCGGTCTGCCTGGCTTATTACTTGCACCTATGAAAAGGGCGTACATTGTCATCGGACCTAGTAAAGGCAACAGGTATATCCAGGACAAGCCGTCGTCTAGTGCTTGCGAAAACAAAACCCGGTCAAGACCATGCCCTGAACGACAGGCTATAAGAATTACATCCAGATGAGACAACCTGGGCGGCCTCGACTAAGCATTTGTAATCCGGTTTAAACACTCAACACCCAAACGTGCGGTTTTAACCTAGAGAAACAAGCTGCTGATTTTCCTGAAAGTCGTCAAGAAGGGGTAATAAAGCGTGGATAAGTAATGGAGTCCAAGGACCCGGGCACCGTACGCGATCAGCCCTTTCGAGCAGACTATGCACATAAGCACTCCCCGTTGACTGCTTCTGCTTCTGCTTGCGCAGAGCGTCGAGAGAAGCCAGAAGGCGCCTGCCACGGATGGCAAGGGACGTGGTGCGAAGAACTGGATGCGGTGACAGCCAGCTTGTACGGCGACATTGTCCAAGTACGGTGTGTCGCTTCGTGCAACCATGTTATCAAGTGTGGAAGGGAGCGCGACGGGCTTGCAGGGGAGCATGGCATCGTAGCCGTGGGTAGGCGCCGGGTGGTTTGTTCCTGAGACCATGCAGGACCAGGTGTATGTATAAGCTTTGGTTGGTTAGTTGGGAGGCAGGCCGTTTATGTGTCTTGGCAATTGATGCGCAGTTGGTGTAATTCTCCGGAGCTCAGGCCAAGATGCGTCATCTTCAGGGTTGAGACAGCACGAGATGAGGTCCGAGTAGTTGATGCGCGTGGATGTTGCCCAGTCACGTACTTTGAGTAGTTGTCATGTTTGCTTGAATCATCATCATCCTGTCTATTTAGTAAGACAAGCCTTCTTTTGGAGTTTACTAGGTTGAGCAGTCTCCAGAAGTGTTGAGACTTGAAACTCGACGGCGCTTTTATCAGGTCGTCTGCTGGTTCTGATTGATTTATAGGTATTCTACTAGAAACCTACCCTTTTTAAATTCTTACTTGAATTATATATTCTCCATATTAATATATTATGCGTCAAGATTACTAATAGAGAACGGAGGAACACAGATGAAATTGGCAGAAAATCTGGGCTCGGAGACTCGAGTGCTTGAAAGTGATAGCTGAATGTGTAAGTTTAGCAGATTTCACGCCATCTTTCAACTTATTCTGAATTTCTAGCATATTGTTATTTATTGGACTAGCTTGCAAGCTTTGTAGAAAAGAATATTTCTATCTAAATCTCGCCTTCCATTGTCCCAACTTGATAAATAGTGTGTCAAGAGTTCAAGGTAAATAGCAAGTCTGTCGTGTCATCATTCGTCGCGGCGCACTGTGAAATTTCTTGCCCGTACCAGTCCTAAAGTTGAAAAAGAAATATAAGATGCAAAAAAGGCCGCGGCAAACAGGACCTGGCGAGCACGGCGGGCATGTTGTGTTAGCAAAGCCCTTTGCCACCAGGATGGTACGGACGCTATTAAAAGCATGATAGGAAAGACTACTCACGGCGCTTGCCCAGAATGGCATCCCCAGGCCTAGCTCACGCTCGCCGCCGAGATGCGAGCCGAGGTCGAAGATGGTCGCCATTGATAAAGTCCCCAAAGACGCCCCAGCCAGCTCCGTGAGCGCCTGACCTGCGTACAGACTCGCCGTGCTGGAGCCCTCGCGCTGGGCTATATCCCCGAGAATGCCCTGCATAGCTTGTGGGAACGGGATTCCAAAGGACACGATGATTGTGCCTAATCGACTCGGCCGTGACAATTAGCCAGAGGGGGTTTCTTGGTCCAAAGAGCGCAGGGAACATACCAAGTATGATAAAGATGGCGCTGGTACCGAAGCCAATGATTACGTTGCCCGCAGCAAGCAGAAACAGAGTCAACCTGCAAACGAGGATATCGATGCCGTCCTGGCGTGGATGTCTAGCCTTCCTGCCCACGACCAAGTTCGCTGCCGGAACCAGTACTACAAGGACTACTACGGCACAGACGGCTCTAATGGAGAGGAGATAGCCAGCGCGAGCCAGCGTCCACTCTAGGCGTTTCGAGGCAAACTGAAGGAGTAGAGGGCTGGACTGGATCGCAAAGGAGTGCACGAAGATCAAGGCAAACCAGCCCAGGGTTCCGTCATTACGGCGAGCCATGCCGTACAAGCGTCGAAGAGCATCTGCCATGTTTCTTTGTCCAACAGGCTTACGCTAGACACGCCATTAGTCAAAGACGGCAAGACAGGTGACTAAAACGCCAATGATATTCATACCTCGGGTGTTCTCTCCCGGTCCTGCCGCGACATGTTGACCAAGGGAGAGTACTGGGAGAGTGTCATGGTTTCCGGAAGAAGGAGTACTATGACAAAGGACATAAGCATCAGGGGCGAGCAAAACTTGAAGGGCAGCCAGAGGTCTTGGCTCAGGAACCACGAGCCCAGAGGCAGGGCGACAATGTCGGTAATATGGATAGCAGCGCCGAATATGTAAAATACCACCGAGCTACCAGACTATTCAGTGCTGGCAAAAAACCGAGGGGAACAGAATGCACGAACCGTTTTTCTTCAGCGCAAACATCGACAATGACGCTGTTGAGCACCGCCGTGAGCATCCGCGAACCACCACCCAGTGCCAGAAACAGCGACCCGAACCAGATGGATTTGGGAGAAAAGACGTCGTAGAAGTAGCCTGCCCGACTCAAGTTAGAAAGCACACACGGGGCTCGCCGCGACACCGTACGGGACGCCCTCACACACGATCAGGAACCAAACGTAGGCGAGCGCCTGGCCGGCTATGCACAGCATCAGCACGGGCTTCCTCCCCCATCGATCAGCCAGCCGTCCAAACGGAAGGGTCAGCAGAAGACCTGCCAGGCAGATACGCCGACGACGTCAGCGAACACGCAGCTCTCGCACTTTGGTCCACGAGGAAAACGAACCGGGGATGCTGTCGAGGCAGCGCTTCCAAGCGCGCAGATACGCCAGGGACACCTGGATATCCGCCACCTTGCAGAGAGACTCGTCGACGTATCCGAGCGGCGGGGGCCCGATGACGCCGGGGTCGCGCGGGGCGTAAAATGCCCGGCAGACGGTCATTTCGAGGAGGCGGACCTCGGGGGCGGCCGTGAGCGAGCCGCCAAAGTCGGCCACGACGGTCAGCAGGCCGCAGAGCAGAAGCACCGCGGGCCGGTTGTACTTGGGGGACGAGCCGGGGCTGCACGCGGCGACGAGGGGCGCGACCTCGTCGTCTGTATGGGCGTCGTGGCCGTCGGACGGCGCGTAGCTGGTTTCCATGACGGCGTCGTTTGGATTCGGCGTGGACGCTGGGAAGGTAGACCTACGAGGGGCATGTCGTGTATAAGACGCATCTACGGAGTGCACGAGGTGCGTATTGGGCTGGACGGATGATTGATCCCTTCTGCAGGTCGGCAGCCTGCCATTGGCAGCCGTCCCCTGGGTCGTGACGACTCGGGAGGATGGACGTGACGAGTCATCTGGCATCTGACGCTGTAGCATTGTGGCGGGGAACAAGGCAGGCCTTTTGTAATACGACAGCCGGAGTATCTGCTGCAGCAACGGTTTGTCACACGAACAGTCTGTAGGGAGTGGTTGGCATGTCGGGTTATTTTTATACGCGGCGCGGAGTATACTTGCACGTAACACGAGACATTTTGAGACACGGCACTATCCGCTGTCCGCAGAAGGCTTCATCTTGTCCAGATACGAGCAGCAGCTACGAGTAGAGTCCTTCTGAGACCTGGCCGATGTGCCGGGTCAGTTCTACAGTTTGCAATGTTGAAATGTTGCAGATGGCTGAGGCACACGACTGCGTCGTGACTGGGCAGCAGCCTCACCGGTCGCAAGGGTTGAGCATGCCAACCAGCTACTCTGTACTTGGGTAGCATCTCCTGACGCACCCGGGCTGCCATCAGGTCATTCCACCCCGGGCAACAGCCTCTCGGTGGCTTTCGTGCGCCAGCGGCAGGTAAACAATGGCTTATGCATCGTGCTCAAGCCGTCGACGGGGTACACCGCCCTTTTGCCTGGATCAAGGTGCCTCGTTGGATGACGAGGATAGCTGTGTGCTGTTTTCGCTATCGAGCACTTGCAGCGTGCTATCGCTGGTAATACAAGATGGGGAAAACACAACATGTTGGACGTGCTACGATTAAAGCGCATAGTCAAGCGTGCGGCTCGAACGTGCACATGTCACAAGCAAAGTATGGGTTTTGTTATAAATAGCACAGGGCTTACGTGAGACGTATTAAGTATAGAAATAGGACAGTCAACTTGCGTTAGAGTAGGGTTTCAATTATGCTCGGAGAGTCTGCGAAATTGGCTAGAGAGTTAGCATTCCCGTCTTGCGTGTAGCATCTGCCACACATCAAGTGAACCTACATCTACTGCATGAAGATATAAGCCCAGCCAATCATTCACTTATCCGCTTACCTCTACTTGAACACGAGCTCTGAACCTCTTGCCTTTCGATTGGGCGTTTATGCGTTCGCACACAAGCTACAACTACTATATCTACTTTAACTTTTCCTGGCTAGACTGTTCCATCCCGCCCGTTGCAGCTTTATCCGCCAATTGGTCGACATCAACCGGGGCCGTGTGGTGGCCATGGACGAGTTCGAGCGCAGGCGGCTGGTACGACTTTCGCGCGCTCAAAATCCAGTTGGAGCCGGCAATGACAATGATGACCCCAAAGGCGACGACGCAGTAGTTCATGTTGACCGCATCGACCGGCCTCGTCGGGGGCCAGACAAAGAGGACAGTCGTCAGCAGCGTCCAGGCCACGCTGGCGGCATTGCAAAAGTACCCCACCGAGTTGGGCAGCTTGAAGCTGCGGTTCTCGGGGAGCATGCACCGCCCGCGCAGCATGTTGATGCCCGGGGGGATGGCGTAGGTGACGGTGAAGCAAACGACGGCAGCCGAGATGATGGCGTTGAAGGCGCTGGTCGAGCCGAGAAATATCAGCCCGAGGACAATGTCCCACGCGAAGCACCAGAGGAGCCCGGCCACCGGGGCGCCGACCGTCGGGCTGACGCGCGCGAAATGGCGGTTAAAGGGCATGCCGCCGTCGCGGGCGAGCGCGTAGGCTATGCGCGCGCTGGTGGCCATGTCGTCGATGGCGCAGAGGACAAAGGAGAGCAGCGGGAAGAGCATGAGGCAGATGCTGCCGGCCTTGCTCCGCGTGGCCTGGTAGTAGATCTCGAGGAGTGGCTGCGAGGACGAGATGGCCGCCGGGACATCGCTGATGACGGCGAGGACGGCGGCGATGTAGCCGAAGCCGGTGACGACGGCCATGACGATGGCGTAGATGATGAGCCGCGGGCCCTGGCGCGTCGGGTTCGGCATCTCCTCGATCATGTGGATCGTCGAGTCGTATGCAGTCACGGAGAATGCCCTTTGACGGCGGTGTTAGCTAGTGAGTTGCAGCAGGCGACGGATCAAGGTGTACTTGCCCCTGCAGCAGACCGAGCTGCCAGGCCCAGCCGTCGGGCCAGCCGGACTCGTTGATGAATCCGCCAAAGACAAACTTGGCGCTCTGAAAGTTGGGCGCCGCACAGGCCAGGATGGCCACGAGGCTGATGACGAAGCCGGCAAGGGTGAAGAACATGTTGTACTTGTTCAGGTGGCTCAGGAAGCGGTTGGCGAGCAGGTTGTAGCTCAGGGCAATGGCGTCGACGGCAATGTACAGGAGGAATCGCTGCCACGGCGTCTGCTGAAAGCCCGGGTACATGAGCTCGGCGTAGCTCATGATGATGCCGCTCACGAGCAGGCAGTTGGCGCCGGCCAGGCACACCCACGCGGCGAGGTTGATCCAGCCGGTGATGTAGCTGACGGCGCGCCGGGTCGACTTCCAGCTCGCCACGGCCGCCCAGTGGTACTGGCCGCCGGCGGTGGGATAGGCCGAGAGGAACTCGGCGAGCGAGAGGCCGCAGCACAGGTTGAAGCCGCCGGCGATGACGATGCCCCAAACGGCGCTGCTCGGCCCGCCCGACGGCAGGGAGGCGTTGACCGTCGTGCCGATGGCGCACCACGTGTTGACAATGGCAAAGGCCATCCCCAGCATCGAGAGGTTGGAGAAGGAGTTGCGGTCAAGGTCGGACTTGATGCCCAGCAGCTCGAGGGAGGCGTCGGCCTCGGCGGTGGCCTTGGGGCGCCGCTGCCGAGCGGTGCCGTGGTTTTCCTCCATCTTGCCGGCTCGCCTTGTCTTTTGAGCGAGGTGTGACGGGAGCTTCCTACACAGTGGCCACTCGTAGAGCTTGAGACCGTGGCCAGGTCTTGAGCCCTTGTGCAACTATCGTCGGTTCAAGAGTCGGTCCGTGCCGCGCAGTGCCACGTGGGGAAGGGGGCCGAAGTGATGGACGAGACCAAGCATCAACCATGCGCGAGGGCATGCGTGCTTTAAACCGTCAAATCCTCCTCGATAAGGCTCCGCAAACCCCGGAGTTGAATTCCGATCAATGTTGGTGAGTGGAGGGCCCGACATGTTGGCTAGAATCTTGTTTTCTTCTGGGGTTACGCAAAGATGGAGATACGTGCCTCGCTAAAGCGAAAAGGGCAATTGGTAGCAAAGGAAAGCGAGTCAGCGTGCATGTGGGTCCCTCGATCCTGGGGCAGACATCGGATTTTTCAATCTTCCTTTCCAGGTCACCCCTGACTCCTTTTCCGATTCGGGACCTGTGACCTGTTGTTTCCCCGCATATCGTCAGTGAGGCTGAAGCGATTCGGCAGGCATCACATTCCAATGTTCCCACCGACCCGGATCAGAATCACGAGGTCACGCAACGGGTGCGCCGTGTGCAAATGCAAGAGGGTAGGCCAGCCATCCGCTGTCAGACGTGCCAGTGCTCGGCCGCTAACTGTGCGTCTTGCAGCTCAAGTGCGATGAAGCCAGGCCCAGTTGCTCGCGCTGTCAGAGACTGGGCATCGCGTGCCCGGGGTACCAGAAACCATTGAAGTGGACGACAAGTTTGCGAACCCCCGGAGGGACATCGAGTTCCCCCGTGGCAAGTCCGTCGAGACCGCCTCCGAATTGGGCCGCCTACTCCTTCGCCCAGCCTCCGGCCGAACCTCCTGCCCTGACTACGGTCGACGTCTCCGGCTCCGAACTGCTGGATCAGTTCACGAACCCCCTCGTAACCGGAGCCAATGGCATAACACAGCATGATGGCCTCGCGTCGGATTCGCCGTTTGACCATCTTTCGGGGGGTACGACGCCCTCGTTTGAGCAAACTCCAGGTCCAATGTCTGGTGGCATGTACCAGCCGTTCGATGAGGATGGCTGCTGGCCAAATAGTCTGTTGAGCGAGACAAGGTCGGAGTTCGACATGCCAACGCTCTTTGAGTCTCCGAGCCAGCCTTGGGGGTCTCGTTGCGAGATGCCGCTGGCGCAGGCGCTGCAGGATCACACGTCAATCCTGGTCGAGTACTATTTCAAAGAGGTGTGCGGAATGATGTCTTGCTACGACAGTCAAATGAATCCCTACAGAACAACCATTTCCAACATTTGGTCCGGCTCCCAATCGCTCTACTACGTCACCCAGAGCATGGCTGCTGCCTGTCTTTCCGACGTCATGCCCGGCCTCTCTTCTCTCGGTAAGCAGCTGCGAGACCAAGCAGCCTTGTGTCTGTCGATGGAAGCTCGCGAGTCTCAAATGGAAACCTCATCCCTACTGGCACTCGTCATGCTTGGAATGAGCCTCAGCTGGCACGACCCTGACAGTGTAGGCCAGCTCGAGTTTGAAATACTGGCCAAGACGGTCTCGTCTTCGGGCAGCGGCCAGATCAACTCGACTTTGGCCCATAAACATAAAAGGGTCTTTTTCTACAACTCCCTCGTCTACTGGCAGATGCTACTCGCCTTCGTGACGGACCGCGATTCCAATCTCCAGGGCATGACCCAAAACCAACCACAGCCAGCGCCATTCGAAGGGCCGGAAACATCGGAATCACACATACCACATCCTCAAACTGGTATCGGCATCCAAGTTCAGAGGCTCGTGGCAAAAGTGGCAAGCCTTGTTAGGAAGGAAAGAAATCGCATTCGCAATCGCCAGTTTGCCTCTAGAAATGATATTGACCAAGCCAAAACCGCCATTCTTGACGCGGAGCGCCTGCACTCGGAGCTGTGCGCAATCCAGCTGCCGCGTGAGGATGAGATTATCGACTCGGGCGATGAGATGACTCCGGCAGATCATCTCGTCAAGGTCGCCGAGGCATACAGGTGTACCGGTCTACTCCAACTCTACCGCAACTTTCCAGATCTGCTGTCGGCCCATGCGTCATTATGTAAACAAAAACCCCGGTCCGTCAGCTCGAGCACCCTTGAGGATTCTGGCCCCAGCTCAGATGCAGCATTCTCACAAGACGTGTGGCTGACTGGGCTGGCCCTCCACATTCTCGACTTGATACAGGATATTCCTACATCATCGAGGAGCCGGTCCATCCAGCCGTTGCTGTTTGTGAGCATCTGCAGTGAATTGGCTCTTGGCCGCGGGTCTGTCTCGCTTCCCGACGTGTTGATACCGCCCGTGGCAAGCATTGCCGCCAGCCCGCGGTTCAAAGCGCCGGCGACTGACCTCGATGTTTTGCGTGCAAGAAAGTTTGTCATTGCGCGCCTTTCGTCGTTTGAGAATATCCTCGCCGCCAAGCCCATACGGCGAATGCTGCTACTCGTTAAAGAAACGTGGAAGTGCATGGAAGAGAAACAACAGAATGTATACTGGATGGATGTCATGATGGAAAGGGGCTACGGGACCCTGATGGGGTGAGCTACGCGGCGAGTAATGATATTATCTGAGGCTGTGGTTGCATGTGTCGTTGTTGTATGATGCATGGGAGAGCGTAATGTGCCCCACGGCAAAGTCAAGTGGGTAGGAATGTAATGTGCTGGCCTTTTTTGCTCAACGCCGCGTCCATGACGGCTGGGCCGCGCTGATAGACATTAGAAGATGTCGGCATCTATTCATCGGACCGTGTAACAGCAGGGACCCGATCCCATCTTTTGTTCATTTTCATTTCCTTAATCTCGCAAGCCTGAGGGGAGCATTTCCCACAGAAATTCAGTCTCACGTTTCCAAGTTGTGCCATTGATGTAATTTTTTTGTTAAATTTTTTTTTTTGTTTCTCATTCAACTACGCCTTGGGCAGCACATCGTGTGCGCCAAAGACGTCGGCAAACGGATCATTCGACGGGTCCGGCTCATGCCTGTACTCCATGTAATCAACCACCTTCTGCACCAGGCCCGGGTGCTCGTCCTCGTACACGTGCCTCAGGAACGAGACCATGCCGTCGACGCCCGCGCTGACGCCCGACGTCGTCCACACCTTGCCGGCGGCCACCCACCGCGCGCGCGCGATCCAGTGCGTCCTGGGCCCGCACGCGACGACCTGCTCCCACACGGCCTTGTTGGACGTGGCGCGCAGGCCGTCGAGCAGGCCTGCGCGGGCGGCGATGCCGGAGCCCGTGCACACGGTGAAGAGGTACCTGAGCGACGGGAAGACGGTTTTTAAAAAGGCCATCTCGGGCTGGACCTGGTCCGTCGGGAGGCTGCCGAGCCCGCCGCCGAGGATGAGCACGTCGAGCGGGGGCGCCGTGTCGAACGTGTGCGTCGGGAGGTAGACCTGGGACGCTTTGAAGGTGAAGCTGTTGGAGGGCTGGGCGGCGGGCGGCCCCTCGCTGGGGTTGGCGGGCGACAGGGGCATGGGGACGCGGCGGTCCGTGGCGACGGGGCGCCCGATGATGGAGAGGGTCAGCTTGGAGCTGGGCAGGCAGTCGGCGAGCGTGTTGAGGCACTCGAGGGGGCCGGCGACGTCGAGGACCTCGAAGCCGGGGTAGAGGAGCACGCCGTAGGATAGGGGGGGTGATGACGGGGGCGCGGCCATGGTTGTGAATCGCGGCAGGGCCGTTGGCGAAGAGACAAGATGGCGATGGCGATGGCGGCTCGGTAGTAGATGGTCGATGGTGGAGGTGGCAGAGAGAGAATGTTTGCAAATGAGCATCAGATGAAGGGATGGCGGGACAAGGCAAGACGCTGGGCCATGTTGCGATGGAGGAGGGGAATTGCACGATGACGATAGAGGCCATAGAGGGGCAATTTACACAGATTTCCATGGAAATGGCCTGGAGGATCCTGTTACGTTATGCTGTCGTTGCATGCAACGTGGATTGTTGCCCGGGCCAAGAAGCAGTCCTATTGGATGCCCAGGATGTCGACTCTGGGCGTGGAGGATGTACATGTACGGAGTACGTCGACACGTCTGGTATACCAGACTACCTAAGTACCTAGGTAGGTATTGGGCGCCGGACCTAGCGCCACTCGGCAAGCTTACTCGCCGGCCGTTTCGGCTCGCCGGGAACGGCCGTGAGTCGATTTGGACGCGGTGCTCAAAGCGGCGACATCCAATCATTGTTGACGACGCAGCCACTCCGCGACGACATGTGTGCAAACGCTGAGATGACTTTATTATTCCGCGAGTTTTATTTGTTTCCCCCAACTGGTGAGCAAGATTGCGGGAATTTTCCACGATCCACCCCAGATGGCCCCGCTGAAGAAACTGCATCGACCTTTTTAATGAGATTGGATGGAGTACTGGGCTTCCCTGCAAATGTACCGGCGGCATATTGGGGGCAGAGGGGCTCCAAAAGCCCACTTGCCTGCCCGAGATCGAATCCTTGGAATCTGGTCGGGCTCCTCGTGGACAAAAATGCTGATCAAGACCGTCTGCAGAATCGTCTCTTCCAAGAGCATCATGTGGCCCAACAAGGTTTTTGCACATGTCCAAGAAGGGACGGTGTGGCAAGGACTCGGCGGAGCGTGTGGACTCTTGGAGTAATCACTCAATTCATCTGCTACTAGCCTTTGGTATTCGAGGACTTTGGCTGTCTTCAAGACGTGGATGACCACAGAGCTCTATTATACAAGAAGTCAGTGAGAGCCTTTTGCCATAGGTCTCGTCGTGGTAGCCCTCGTGTACCACCCGTTGATAGTCGACATGGTGCGATTACCATGACACAGGAACCTCAAAAATATCGAATAGACACAGCAGACGCCTTCTACAGTTTTAAAGGTATACTATGCAAGGCGCTCCAAGTATGAGCAGTCTCCCAGTCCCCATTAGTGCTATTCTCAAACAGTTTATCCCGTCAAGTCGAGGTAGTAGCTTCTTGCTTAGGACCCATCTCACGCCAAGCAGAAGAGCACTGCGCACAACACCACAAACTGGTGGAAGATGTCGTACCGACTCGACAAACTTGGCGAGTCGCGCACGGGGTCCAATGCGGCAAGCCAGAGCTCGTACCTTGACATTGGTCCCGTCATATTTCGTCAACAGTTTCTAAGACCGGTACCGCGGGTTCCCCTAGTGATGAGGGTCACGTCGCTCTTGAGCGAAAATGCCGTTGGCCGCAATGAACTCTCGGCCATGACATGTTGATCTTGACTCAAGGTTAGGACAATTTTGCCCATTTCGCCGCCCCGGGGCTTGTGTAGACCTGAGGGAATCTGAGAAATTGGTAAAATAAACCGACACGGGCTTGATAGGAACGACGACGTGGCGCCAAAGCACCCGCAGCACTTGGCCAAAAACATCCCTCACCTCTTCCGGTTTATGCTAAGACAGCCCACCAAAATCTACGCTGCTAGGGGAGACGTTTTTTTTAACGTTCCCATGGGTAAGCTGTTTTTCTGCAAGGCGGCCTTTTTGTCGATTTCCACGACTCGGTCGAGTCGCACGGCCGAAAGCTTAAGTGTCGATCAGGAACTCCGGCAAGCGCGCTCACAATGACATGCGGGTCTTTCCATTCGTCACGCAGAGGATACCGTCTCTGAACTGAGAGGTGCGGACCAGGGCCAAGACCTGCAAGAGAGTATGCCAGTGGCATGCTGGCAGCATCTTGTATGTCGAAAAGGCACTCCTCTCCAACGCCAGTCGCCCTCTTGCAAATCTGCCGCTCCGGAGCCCGCCTCGACGACTTTTCCGGCTTCGTCAAAGCCTAGCGGATCCCAGCAGATGGTTTTTAGCACAGGATGGACATGTGGGTGGCTTCAATGTTACGCTCCCCGCTTGAACTCGGACAATGGTGTCGTCCTCTGCGAGTGGCGTTTGCAAGTCTTTGGTTCTGCCAGGGTACATCGAGTCAGGACTGCCGGCCACACGTCTCCAGCTGCCGAGCGTCCTACACAAGACGTTTTTGTTCCGATAATGTGCCAATTGGTGTCGATTAATACTACCAGGCCTTACCCGTCGGCGTTGTTGGCTGACTGTGCAAGGCTCTACTGGTGCCCTGTGGTTGTCGTGTGCTTGTCGTTGGCGACATGGCCTGCACCAGACTTGCCTCTTTTGCCAGGCACGGACCTTGAGAGTCCAATGATCTTTTACAGCACGTGGGACGATCAGGGTCTGGGATGGTTGGTAAATCACCGAGCCCCAACTGTGTGCTCGCACCACGGGCGGTGCACAGCGCCAAGCGGTCCGCGTCACTTATTGCGTACTGAATGTATAGCCATGTGTGATATTATAAGGGGGGCTGTAACTACTTAAAAGGAATTTCATATAAGTTATCATGGGAATATTACTACTCCCCTGTGAATCACGATGAACAGCTACTAAGATCTTGTAAAAAGTCGAGCACCTTGTGGAGAGTTGATTCTAGGGGTTAATAGCCACTCGCGACAACAAGCCCTTCAAGGAGCCCGCAACAGACATGTCGGGCTGCTATGTCCGCGACGACAGCCCGACGCTGCAGGCTCGTCCCCCTACTTATACCGAGGACTGCACCGGCACAATCGAATACTGTCTCCGCGGATTCTACAAGCACCACGGAGAGGACTTTGCCGACGCCGACGCCTGCCTCTGGTCCCGAGGCAAGGACCCCAAGACCCTCGACGCCTATCGCATCCTGAACAATGACGACTACCGCGCTGGCATCCGGGCTCTCCAACAGGGGAACCAGATCTACAATCGATACCTGCTCATCACCCGTCTTACTGACACCCACGTCGCAGACGACAAGGACAAGGAGGGCAACGACATTATCAATCAGCTCTGGTGGTCGAACGAACGCCGCGTGCCTCTGGCCCGCGAATCGCTTGACCTGGCCAAGCGCAAGTTTGCCACGGCCTTTGGGCCAGAATTCTCGGGCGAGATTAACCAGGCTATTGACGACGCGAGGGCCAAGCTTAACGCTGCCTGGACTCAGGTCAAGGAGACTAATGTCAATCACATTTCCGACCTGTACGGGTGGTTCCGCGGAAAGACGGAGGAGAAGTACTACAAGAGCTGGTAGATTACTTCGCATGGTAGATGCAACTATCAGAACAGACATGGAGGACTACGACGTGGGCAATAGATGGATGGCCGGGTTCTTGTGCTCTGGGGAGTATATGACGAGTCGGCTAGCTACCCGAGTACCTGGACTAATGTTATAATTACAAGGATAACTAAGAACCTATAATTAACTCATATTCAACGGGGAAATACAAGACATTGACGGCTGAGGTATACAAGGTCAACTATAACAAGTACTTGTGGGGCTCCCTTTTACTTGGCGTCGTTAAACCGTGATAATATTGTGTCGAGGGATTTAAATGCACAAGCTGCACCGGATATAGTTTCTGGCTAGCTGTAGTGGCCAACTTGCGGCGTGCCTATAACAGCTAGTCACGAGTAATAAGAAACGCATAAAGACTACACCGTTCAACGAGTAAGCAGGAAATAAAAGGTCAATTTATACGCCAGGCTCCCCAGCTACCAGGAATGTAAACACGCCTGTGACGACACGCACAGCAACGGCATATGCTTGATCCTTTTCGGCTCCGCGTCCAAGGTTGCCTCTGGCCTTGAGGCACAATGCGCTGCGGCTGCAGGCGGTGAGTTGAAAAGAGGAAGACGCTCAACTTGCAAGGGGGCCCCCGTTCAATATTTGGTTTTTGGAAATCGGCACTAGGATTTCACAGGGATGCGAATAGTACCGTGGGACGTGATGGGCATTTTCAGCCGGTAAATATACTGGCGGCCGCAAGTAGTCTGGTACTATTACCTTTTATATCCGTGGTGCTAGAAGAGCTAGAGTATAGAGAATGTAGACGAGTTGCGATAACTTGGACCTTGCGTATATATACTGCCATGTGAGATACATTGCCAGATTTGAACTGCTAGTAGGTTACAAGGTGCGGTGTTTAAAAAGGAGTTGAGAGAGTTAAATCATATCAAGAAACGTCTGGTTTAATAATTACTATATACAATAGAACCGGACTAGGCAAAAGGAATATACTACTTTACAGATGCTATTTATAATTAAACTTTATATACCGCTTTGTTGTCGATAATTTATATTTTTGCCCTTGACTTGGCTCTGGTTTTATCGAATTAATACTAGGCATAGGCAGCACGCTCCAAAGGTTGTTATTGGTATTCGCTATGCGGTAGCCGCTATTCGCCTAAATAGCACGAGCGATATCCTCCAAGCCCCTTTGGTATCCTTATAGTTATAATAGTGTGTATATTTAAAGCCGTAAATAAGGCCGTCGACTTTGGCGTTATTAATTCACCGGGCCACTTTTATCTTATACTTGCAATTAGCAAGCGTTTATCCGAAAGCCTTTCTAAAAGCTCCGCTCTTAAAAGCCTTGCTCAGGTTTTTAAATAGACTTTTAAACTTTACAGCTAGATTTAAAAACTTATTAGAATAGACGTGTTTTCCTTGAAGTAAATCGCTTAGCTCCTTTTCCGACACGGTAACCTCGGCGTCTATATTAAGAGCCTCGTGTTTATTTAAGTCGCTACGAATAAATTTATATATTCGTTTGCCAATATTAGACTTGTAGAGTCCATAAAGGACCTTGACACCAGCGGGTTATAGAATATCGGCGGGCGAGCTCTCTAAGTCCTTTAATACTAGTTGTTACACTAGGTTCACACTCATAGTCTAGGTTGTTAAGGTCGAGCCGGACAAAGATGATGTTGTGCCGGCCCGGCGCTCTGCTGTAATCGTCTAGAACATCTTCTCGGCCGTGTCCCCGGCGCTTATAGGCAGCCCGTCGTGGTCCGCCCACCAGCCGCTGGACCAAGCCGTCACGTCGATTTCAATAGCGTTAGCTCCATTCTTGAGAGCATCCTGTACGCCTGATTCTTGGAGAACTCGGTGAGCAATAGCGTAGAAGGGTCAAGTTTGGTCCTACCTGGCTGTGATTTGTCCACCACTGGAATCAACGGGCTCGGTTGTTGCCGAAATCGACTCTGCTGGTGCCGCTTGAACAAGTGGTTGACTGATGGTTATTGCGGCCAATATGCCGTTCAAAATATGATAGAGGAGCTTCATGTTAAGGCCATATTACACGAAAAAGACCCTACAGTTGTGAAGCCTAACAAATGGGCTTCACCTGGAAGGGTTGAAGCAGGCATGGCTTTACGAGAATTAAAGTATACTTCCACCACCGGTTGCTTATACTGAATACAGTAGCACGCAGACTGGCTTGCCGACTAGATAATGGTCCAGAATCTCCTGGCGTGATTCAAGTTATTACATCCCCCCCATGTGGAGTGTGTATCATTATCCGAAACTCAGTTTTCGACTACCGGAACTTGTCCTGGGGCTACTTGTGCCAAGCCGTACATGGATGGCCTATAGAAACCCGGCATTGGTATCGTAGAGCAGATGACGAGTTTGTCAATATAGTGGCGTCATGTTGTAGTCCAGTTAGTTTGTTCAATGCTTGGGAGCCCTTCTGTCATTACGGAAAACCTCCATAGTAATCCTCTCCACAATACCAAGTTTTGCCAAGTCTGTCTGTTGTCGGTCTACCGAACAAGGCTCCCTTATTCTCAGACTAGACGCCCGATTGATAGTAGTACAGAAAATGACATGCTCTGCGGAAAAGAAGGAAGAACTATAATACAAGTTTTTGCTTACTCAACACACTACAAGAATACTCCAGACTGCTACAAGTAAAACTACAGCCCTGTGAGCCAAAGCTTTCCTACGGCGGGGGAGTGTATGCGTAGCAATACACACCTCGACGGGCACAAAGTTGTTTGTGTTTGCGCGCAAACCCTGTCGCCCGAGTAAGATGTAGAGACTTTTGGCTACTCACTACCCTGACATGGACACATGCAGTATGGGAAACGGCCTTGATTAAAGGCGTGGGCTGGAAACGATGGAGAAAACGCTTACAGAATGGCGCGCTATCAACACAGTGCTAGTGATTCGATGTGGTTATACAAAGCACTGGCTATGGCGTTCTCGATCCATCTGAGCAGTTTGGAAGGTATCAGACAGATGGTTACAGTCATACTCGGGAACAGTACGGAGAGCTGCTTGGCAAGGCGTAACGGATCAGTACATAAGTCGGGCACATTGGATGCTACCATTCGGAGTACATCTCAAAGTACGTGGACCTGTGAAAACAGGGATACGGCATTCCCCAGTCTCGGCCAAGCCACGCGCGCCAAGATAATATCTGGTTTCTTCACCCCGTTTCATGGAGTCGAGAAAGGGTCGTCCTCGCAATATCGCATCGGACCAAGCCCATAGACAGCAAACTAAAGAGCTTCTTGAGCCAACTGCATCACTGTTTCAGATGAAGCGGCCAGCGAACTAGATTCGACCATTTTGAAGCTAACACGAATGAATTCTGGCTTCCAAGGCTGTCGCTGTTGCTGCTGAACTCGAGCTTTTGAAACTGTATTCGAGCTCGTTGAAGCGGTTGGATTCGCGCCTGTGTAGCTGTGAGAATTGATTCATTTCCTAGAGCTCCTTTCATTTTCCCCTCTGGCCGCATCAAGTTGCTTGTGGTGTTGAGGTGCGCAGCCTTCAACGCCAAAACGGCAGGATCGCGATAATGCACGAAAACGCGGACCGGAGCTAAAATTCAGGCTAGGTATAGTAATTTAAGGCCTTTTAGACTAATTATTATTCAAGTTTAAATTATACAAGGCCTGTGATCATAGTGGCGTGGCACTCGGGACTCCTATTAAAAACCCAAAGCTGCAATGTTTGATTCAGCACCTTCTATTCCAGCTTTACTTCAACACGTCTGGAAATGAAGTAAATCGGCTGCATATGCAAGCTACGTATAGCCAGCTACTAGTACAAGCCGGTACTAGCTAGGTAGTAATATGGGAGCACACGTGGCACGCCAACAGTCCCTTCCGGGTCGTCACAGTTTTGTTTTACAACGGGGGAAGTTGTCAATTTTCTACTCGTCGTACAATTTATGAATCTACCTAGGTACTTGTCAGAGGTCCCTGTGGCGCTAAAAAGTGATGTGACTTTCTTCAATCATCTTTTTATGCTCAGTCCTGATTGAAAAAGTCGTCAATTTCAGCGTCTGTCAACGGCGCAGGCTCAAGATTCTCGGTAATAAAAGGGATAAAGCTGCTGACCCTAGTAAATACCGTGGACTCGCCGCAGTAATTTTTCTTTGCGTCCTGAAGAACCTTTGACGCGACACCAATCAAGGTTCCCGTTTGCTGGTCGATAAGAGGACCGCCGCTATCCCCATAGCACAGCGTCTTGCCACTTTCACCAGCACATACTGTGTCTTGACCAGTTATACTGTGTACAAGCCTCCCCTCTGGATCATGATCTACGCAGTACTGTGGTGACTTAATAGGGACAGTGATCTTGCCAAGTTTATCCACACGAGATTTGTCTCCGGGAGCTTGCCGGCCCCTTGCCTATTCGTCAACACCTCTCCAAAAACATGTCATCGTGCAGAGTTTACTAGCACTTACCAGCCTGCTGCTGCAGCAATTGAATCAACCGGCGGAACCGCGTTACTTTCCGGTAGGATCGCGTAGCTAATCGTGCTGCTGTTCACAATCGGGGTTGATAATTTTATGATGCCAATATCATTGAATGGATGGATCGGGGATGGTATGTACTTTGGATGGAGCTTGTAAGATGCAACTCGTGCATCTACGCCGCCCATCTGCACATTCTATAAAATTATTAGCTTGATGCAAATGAACAAAAGTTTGCAAGTAGCACAGAGGTTCTAGCTACGCAGATGGCGTAAGGGAATATCATTTACTTACCAACGTTCCTGCCTTTACAGAAGCGCTCTTTAAAAGACAGTGACCAGCAGTAAGAACAGTTTTTCTATCCAGTAAACTGCCTCCGCAATGTTGCTGGTTATCCTCGTCGTAAATATTAACAATAAATTTAAATTCACCATCTTAAGCAACTTCTCCGCCAATAACTCTCCTATCGATAGCTGGTGTCGCTGCCGAAATAGCAGAAAACGCGGCAGCTAGTAGAATAGCAGCCTTGGGTACCATGGTCAAGACAGGAGTTGGTCGGTGGACTGCTGATGTATAAGTTTCCAAAGAGTTGTCGATTGCTCAAGAGAAACGGAAGGTGCAGCACAGCCTAGTATTAAATCCTACCGGACTTGCAGGTCTGACTAGTTACGACATGTATTGACTCGCGCGCATACGCTTTAATTTTGCGTTTTTATATCCACGCATGTCGTCATCATGCAAAAAGCGTGGGACTTGATATAATGCTGTTGGGAGTGCCAAGGTATCTGGTACCTAAATAGCTACCGAGATATGCTTACGAGTTATTAACGATGCACTTATTAGACGCGGCCTTGACAATATCAAACTAGGAAAATAATAGCAAGGGTGTCCCGGGGATGCGTAAATAGATTATGTATTCAGGAGTGTAAGTGGGGCTTTATATGGGCTTGAGTGCCAAAGGTACCCAAAAATTCAGGGCTAGTACCCTGTATATAATATTAATTACGGGTCTGGTATCTTGGTTAATGAATCGTGATTATTATAGTAGTAATATATAGTACTTGATTTGTAATTTGTGAGCTATATATTTAATCCCTGTAAATAAATTTTTTATTCAATTTTAAAAAAAAAGCTCCATAAAAATACATTAATTAGTATAGTGCAATTGGTAATATATATCTCTGCCGTGTAAAATTATAGCACTGCGCTGTAGCTTTTTGTGGTGCTGGCACTATACTGGATTTTTTTACACTACTCGTGCAACGCCCCACAATAGGTTGTTCAGTCAAAGCCCTCACCACCTATGGTGCACCGGGGAGGAGAACACTAGTGGACAAGAAGGGAAAGGGATTGATCGGAGAAGGAGTGAGTGGAGCGTTGAATACCGCTAAAGAATGCGAATTTTCGGAGAGGGGAAATGGAAAAACGATACGATTCAGAATAGTTTATGGACTTGGATGGATCATTAGGCTTGCGCACTATTAGGTTGGTGGAGCGGATTGAATCTGGGAAGACAGTCGGGGTCAAGTTCTTGCTTCCTGACCAAGTTCCTCATTAGTTAATGCTACGGCTAAGGCTTAGGTTCTGTTTAAACAACGGCGATACAAGTATAGCACGATCGACTTGGAAGAATCTGGTCACCATGTACCTCTTTTCCCCTCTAAATCGACTCTGACTTTATTATTGCGTGATGGACCAAATTATACCAACACAGACAAGCTTAATGCCTACAACTTAATATTACCTGGCTCCTCCGAGAAATCTATAATATTAATTATAGTATCGCCTAGTAGTATAAGCAGCTATAATAGTATTAATAATAACAAATAGAATTCCTTTGGCGATAATACCGAGCTCCCCTTAAAAGTCGGCCTTCAAGATTCGGACATAGATTTGGCGGCTGCGATCCCTACACCAAGGTCTTGAGACAGCGACCGTTTTATGCTCTTTTTTTTGAGTATAAAAATGTTGTCAATAGGCAGGAGGGGCCGCGTGAACGCGTTGGCGTGCCGGTTCAAAGTAAGATACGGCCCACGCCTGATCTCTTGAAGATGTCAACAATACAGCTCTGTTGGTTGTATACAGACGGCCCGTCCTGCGGCCTACATACACTGCAGCCTGCGTGCCGGGTCGTAATATCACATGCAGACTTATCTAATAGTCTCAAGCTGTCTGAAAAAAATAAACAAACAAGGCACTACAACTTATCGCGAGGTGGCTGGCTACAAGTTCAATAGAAGTAGAATAGTCCTTGATTGAAGCTATCTAACCAGGTTATTGGGATCTTACAAAGGTATGCTAGCTGCCTGCAACTGCTGCCTCGTAGTTATTCACATCATCGTCGTCAACACATGTCCCGCCACCGCCTCCCCACTCCCCACCCAATTCTGATTCACAGCTGGTCGATGCAGCCATGCATAGCCTCAGGACTCTTTAATGCCTACGGAGTCCAGCCGAAGGGGATGCTGATGCCGTTCTGGATTTCAGGCTCCGTAGACGATCCGGTCCCCCTGCTCTGGAGTTGATCCAGGCCACTTCGAACGAAACCACTGCAATATTTGAGGTGGCACCGGTCCAGCCCCCTGGTCTGTAGACGGTTGAGTCCCCTCAAGCTGCCCTGTGGACGGTCGAGTCCCCTCAAGCTGCCCTGTAGACGGTCGAGTCCCCTCAAGCTGCCCTGTAGACGGTTGAGTCCCCTCAAGCTGCCCTGTGGACGGTTGAGTCCCCTGCCCTGGAGGGGATACAGTCACCTCAGAGTCACGGGCCTTCTCCAGATCGGCCGTCTTGCATCCCTTGGAAGCTGCTTGAGAAAAAAAGCCATAAGTGTCGGCATGCTCCAAGTTCTGCGCAGCCGTGAGTCCCTGGATGGCTTTCAAGCCGTAGCTTGCTTTAAAATCCTTCGTGCCCACGAGGGAATGCGAGAGCTCGTGTACGAGGGTGGACGGACGGTCAAATTGGCCACAGCCGCCCTCACGAAGGTTAAAGAACGGTTTGCAGAGCTGCACACGAGTCCCTAGCCTGTCACCCACCTTCGTATCGGCCACTGCCGTGGCATCCTGCCCCGTCTCGGGTACCGTGCACGACCCGATGACCTCTTTACAAGTGACGGAGATTTTACCGCCTTGTGCCGCGCCGCATTCGGCCGCTATCTGTTCATACCGCTTGGCGATTTTGTCCCGCTGGCCATCGTTTTCCTTCTTGAAGAAGAATTCAAACAGCTGGCTGTCTTTTTTCTTTAACTCCTCCACAGCGGCATTTGCATAATCGGCGCAAGACTTGAGCGCAGTCTCGATGGCAGCTTTTTGATCGCAGTCACCTTCGACTGACGCACGTTTGCCCATGTCGTCACCAGATGCGGGCACTGTGCGGCAGGCAAATTGTGCAAATCCCGCACCTGAATTGGGAGAAATGGCATTGTTGTTGTTGTCGTCGTTGCCACTGCGTCTCGTCCAGGCTTTGCCTTGGCAGCTTGCACAAGCTTCCGCATTCGCCCATGCCCAGGCAGCAAAGAGTAGGACCTGCCTCATGACGAATAAATAACTAGCCGCTGGCTTTGTGAGTCTTGAAAGAGAGTAGAGAAAGGAATGGTTGGTGATGCTCCAAATTCACCGGAAAGAGGTTGTTGACCTTTGCTTTATATAATCCATAGTTTTCCATACAAAGTGAATACATATGTACGTATAAACTAGTCGTCTATCAACTGTAATTACACTCGGCATGGATAGAGGGGGAAAACAAACAGAATCTCGAGTGCGGAAATTACATGATACGACATGATACTACATGATACTACAGTGACAAAGCATGTCGCATGAAGATGATCCCTGATGGCGAGGTTGTGAAACAAACCATGGCGAGGTTTCGAAACAAGGTCGTGCAGGCACTTCCCCGGTTTCTTCACTGCTACTCTTAGTCAGTCCGATGTGATGAAAACCAAGTCCCCTAAAAACAGCCGCGACAGGGATTCCGAGCCAATAAAAAAACGGCATCTAAAAGGTACTTTATTCTACGCCTAATTTATATCACAATAGAAGTACCGGTAGGCTTCTACATTACAAAGAGCTACAGTACATGACACACACAAATTGGGCTCAAGTTATTAAGTCACTCGATGCCATCAGCTGCTGGCAGGTGCGATGTGGATTTCGTGACCTCACTGCCGCCTTGGCTGCTTTTAAGGGACAGCAGGCAAGCGATAAAACTCTGCCAAAAACGAAACATGCCGACTTAGCACTCGTCAAGCGTGAGTACATATGTAGGCTGTTGTAATGTTTACTTACTCGTCACGTACAGTATTCAATGTTATTGACCCGAGGCGCTGGAGCTGGAGGTTGCCAAGGATTCCCTACCCCCCGAGCTGTTAGTTTGGCTGACAACCGCGGTCGATTAAAAATGTCGATCACTGTAGCTAATCGTGCCACGCCGCGCCAGCCTTTTTTGGGCCTCGTAAAGCTCGCACCATCAGCCCACCCAAAAACGCCTTGCTGTCTACATGTTGTACGCCTTTCCCCGCCGTTGTATTGTGTCATGAACCTAGGCAGTATGTATGTACTGCACGTGTCATGTTCAAACCGTGGCGCAAAGGAGGGTCTGGCAGGGTACAAGTCCCCGACTGTTCTCCGCAAAGTGTCCATCTCCGCAGACCCAAGCTCCAAGTTTACAGGTTCAATGGAACCGACTCTCCACAAGCCGCTCCGTGCTTTATAAGATGTGTGGGTGCTCGAAATCCTTGGCCAACAACTACCGACAGTGTGGTATTAAAAGTCAGTGCTGTCAAAAACATACTTTTACGCCTAAACTTGCTATAAACACTTCTTAATTAATAGTATAGTATTTTTCAAGCAGTATTTTACGTGGGTTTTGGTGTAAAAGTAAAGCTTTTGACAGACATTTGATATAGCGCTATGCCAGTGTCCCAAGTAATTACGAGTCAGCAGCAGCTAGGCTCGGCATTAATAATAGCATGAAATCCTCCGTCACGGCCAAGGTTGTCCCAGCATCAAAACCTTCCGGTGCCGATCCCTTAAGGACCCATTAGCCAAGTGTGCGGCTTCTCAAACTTCTGTCGATAGCCGTGTTGGCATCTCATCTGCGCTATTTTTTGTCAAGCCGCGAAACGACCACTTGTCGCTGCACGTGGTATAAACCGACATCTCTATTATTCGGTCCTTTTAGTCAGTCAGTCAGTCAGTCGAGGCTGCTCCATGGGCATAGAAAACTGAAACTCGGCAAGTGTTGGTCAGAATGTATTATAAAATGGTATCCAAGTGTATCGCTATATAATGCCGTAATCCCGCTTCCCAAGTCAACAACAATGTTCCAATGCAGAAAAAAACCCCCTCATTGCAGAACTTTTCTTTTCCCCATCCACGTCTGCACATAGGTTTAATAATGAATCTTTTTACGCAGCCCCTTCCATCTCTTCCGGGATGGTTGCAAATTTAGTGAGTACGTTTTTCAGCGCAGGTCGGCGAATCGGCTTGCTCAGGAACTCATCCATGCCCGACTCCATGCATTCCTTGACATTGCTCTCTTCCGAAAAGGCAGTGAGTGCAACAATCGGCGCCACGTAACCCATCTTGCGAATCAGACGGGTGGATTGCAGCCCATCGAGATTGGGCATCTGGATATCCATAAAGATCAGATCGAATGGCTGGTCCTCTTCCATATTCGCCTTGACGAGCTCGTACGCCTCTTGGCCATCCTTTGCTATCGTGACATTGTTCACCTTCTCGAGCTTGAGCATCCTGCTGACTACCTCAATGTTGGTTGAATTGTCGTCGGCAACCAGAACCCGCAGTTCGCCCCGGCCCGCTTTGTCGGCCCTGACCTGTTGGATCGCTGCCTTTTGCCGGTCCTCACTGGTGCGCGGCGGCGTAGGGGCGAAAAAGGGAGTGCTGAGACCAACCAGTCGAGGTTGGCAGTCTTCCCTAACAGAAGAAACGTCCTTCTTTTTAGCGTCTTGTTCGGGGTCGACGATGCCGCCGTTGAGTGAATTGCGGTGGGCATCGCCGACAATGGACCCAACGCTCGGGGGCCTGGAGTGAGTGCTGCCGGGTGCAGTGCTTGGAACACGGTCTTGGACATGCTTGAGCGGGATTCGCAAGGAAAACGTTGATCCCACGCCCTCCGTACTAGTGACGCTAATAGAGCCATTCATCAGCTTGGCAAGCTGCGAGCATATGCTCAGTCCGAGACCGGTTCCTCCGAATTTCTTGCTCAGGCTAGAATCGACCTGTACAAAGGGCTCAAAGACTTTCCCCTGCATTGCCTCGGGGATTCCGCTTCCGGTGTCCTGAACCTCAAACTCAAACATGTACAGCTTGGTATGGAGCCGAGGCGGCGTTGGGGATCGTTCCCGCACATGGACGTGAGCATTTGCCTTGGGACCCTTGTGGCTTGATACAGCCGTGGTAGAACTGTCCTGGAGCGCCGAGGTGTGAGTCGTCGCCTTGGAAATAGACGACTGTGCAGAGCCTGAGCTCATCCTGTGCCGGTTTCGTCCACTTTGGGCGGAGCCGTTCCTGTGTGACCTTTCTTCGTTGCTGTTTCGCTCAATCTCGCCGAGGCAGCGTATGCGGACTTCGACCCTGCCTCCAGCCGGTGTGAATTTCAAACTATTGCTGACCAAATTGATAATGACTTGTAGGATTCGATGTTGATCGCCCCATAGATACACGTCTTTGAGCCGGCCCATTCCTGGCGGTCCTAGAGCGGGGAGTTTCATGGCGGTACCTTCCTGCTCTGATCTCAAGAGCTTTTCGTCGCATTCGAAGCCAAGAAATGTTACTTCAAACGTGATGTTGCTCTCGCGGACCTGCGTGTCGAAAATGGATATAATTTGTGAGTGAATATCACCTAGGCGGAACTCTCTGTCTTCGAGTCTAATTTGATGGTTGATTTGGTTCTTGGAGAAGCTTAAAAGATCTTCCAGAAGGTGGAGTAGCAAGTCGCCTTTGACCCGTTAGTAATGGTGGTTTCTGGAAATTTCATACTGCGACAGAACAATATACCCGATCTGTAAAGAGTCTTCAGCGACTGCTTAATGTGCCCAATATCGTCGTCTTCCATGCAAACAGCGCATATGCCCATAATGCCATTCAACGGCGTCTTGAGCTCGTGTGAAATGTTTGCAATGAATAATGTTTTGCTCTCGTTGGCGGCCTCGGCTGCCCTTTTACTTATTTCGAGTTCGCGAGTCCTTTCAGCGACTTTTTCATCGAGAGAAGTGTACTGCTTCACGAGCTCATCCGTCATTTCATTGTACACTTGCGTAAGCTCCGTAAGCTCGTCGGTGACAAAGTGTTTTCGATCTTCAACTCGCCCCGGAATCTTGAATATTCGACGATGGTTGTCAATTTCAGCCTGTGTCATTGCTCGTCGTCTCTTCCTGAACTTGCGACGTAAATTGGCAAAGAGGCCCTTGATCGAGCCAGACGACCCCGTGCCGCCTGAACTCGGACTTTGCTCATCATACTCCTCATACTCCTCCTCGTATCCAGGCGGGGAGATGGACTTTTCTGTCGCCATCTTGAGTCGTCTGATGGGGCCAACGCTGAGGTGCGCACATGGGATGACGAGGAGCAATATCAATGCGGCCGTGCCAAACACACAGCCGAGCAGAATCTGTCTCAGAGTACTGATTGGCGCATAGGCTTCGCCATCGGCTTGCTCTACCACGATGGCCCAGTCAACCAGGGCTGAACTAGGTCGGGCGACACCAACCGCGACCGACACGTCTTGCTCGTTCCTTGTCGACAGTAGTGCTCTGGCGTTATTCGGCTGCGAATTATGCTTGGCATAGTCGTTGAGCACCGCTGGGTATTGTGCAAGCGTAAACGGGCTATAGAAGTCGCCGGTGGCGTAGTCTCGCTTGCCATGGCGGTCGGTTTGTCCGGCAATGGGAATAACAGGGAGGACGAATTTCACAGTTGAGGGTGCCAAGGCATTGGCTGGGGGTGAGTAGGTGCTATTAGAAAGGAAAATGGGGGCCAGGAAATGGTTAGATGGATGGGTTGGCCCGACGAGCAGAACCATGCCTGTCGATCCCAGACCCTCACGAGTCGTCTGAACGTCGAAGAGGGATCCAGCAGAAACAATGAGCGTCATGTAGCCAAGAATAAAGTTTTGCACGCTGAGCGATCGGACAGGAACGGTAATGGACATGAGGGCAAAGGACTCGTTAATCATCAAGGGCCCGAGAAGAAGGCCGTCATTGTCGCTTATTGCGACGCCCGGGAAGGCATAGGCACCGAAGGCTGGGGTGGAGGGCTGGTATGGATTCGGATAGCCCAGTCTCCGATATGTAATATTCGGATACAGGGACGGCGGGTAGCCAAAGGCTGTGTCGCTGAGGTTCACTCTGGATCCATTGGGGGTCAAATACGGCAACTGTATATTGTCAGTCTCGGTACCGACGCCGCTGCCAGTGACGTTGAGAAGACCGGTGGGATGGGCCCCCGTCTCGTTTCTAGAATATAATCTAGCCTGGAGGAGGCCGGTGAACCGGTTGGTGCTCATGGCACTAGCCAAGTCGGTACGGGCGGTGTCAAATGGATCCGTGTCGTTATTATTGTAAAAGTTGACGAATGCCTGCTGGAGCAAGACACGAGTTGCCACCGTCTGACTGATTGTCTGCAACAACTCGAGCCCGGAATCAATCCTTGCCGCCTTGAGAGAGGCGGTCAAGGAAAGGCCGCTCGACGCAACCCCGGTGACGAAGGTATGGACAAAGAACCATGTGGGAACAGACACAATGGCGAGGGCGAGGAGAACTGTGAGTATGACGAGTGTTGCCAGCTGTTCTCGGATTGAGAGTCGCATCTTGACGGCTTCGTAACACGTGTCAAGGTATGCTTGCCGGTAACGGCTAGTCTATGAGCGGCTACGAAGCATTATTCGGCGGCTTCAACGAGTGCGATTGTATCTGACGGGAGCTGCTGCAGGGCGCCATGCAGAGGTGCGAGTGCCCAGGACAATTGATGCATCGAGCTAAGAAAACGCAGATCTGTTCTTTGGCAACAGCTCGATAGATTGGACGGTCAGGACGAGCGAAGAGGCGACGTGGCGGTCACGGCGTCGATTCGAGGCTATCGAGGACAGGCGGGTGGGATCGAAGAGAAGCGGCTGCGGGATGAAGACGGACGATCAAGGCATGGGGAGCTGAAGTCGAAAGATTCAATTCTACCCCTGGCATGATGCCGCATGCCTGAATCGCATCACGGGATTCGGAGACATGTCCCAGCATGGAGAGCGAGATGTCGGTAGGCCGGCTGGTGGCTTGGCTGCGAGTCACGGGGAATTATGTGCTCGGTGCAGTTGCAGCGGATCATCGACGGCTGTCGGCTTGTTGGCTTGATAGTTGATGGATGATGGACCGGGTTCTAGACCCTCTTGATTGTCTGGACTGTGGCGAAACGTCTGGGGTTGGCGGCTGGCCCCAGCTCTCTTATGCTCTTCCAGCAGCTGGCGGGGTCTGGCGGGCAGGTGGCGGCACCGCACCGAGTCTGGTGTGGTCAATCATTCCCATGCATGGCGCGTTTAACATTGAATCGTCAATTTAAGCAGCGAGTTGAGCCGCGGGGCGGAGCTCTGCCAAGGTCAATAGGAAACATTGAAGCCATACATGTCGAGGTCTGGTTTCTGTGAGAACCCGTCCCACATTGTCCGGCTCCACGCTGACAATCTACAGAGTACGTTGCCAAGAGTCCCCGACCCAGATTCCAGCAGTGTCTTCTGGGCCCCCGGATCAAGCAATCGAAATTGACATGAAATTAATAAAAATAAGCCCGGCTGCTCAGATTCGTGGGCGATCTGTGCACCGCGGGGATGCGGCCCGCTGATCGCTCGTCGTTTGACAGCTACCCTAGACCCTGTCTGGCAGCTGTCAATTCTGCTCGGTCAATTTGTGAGCGTCATGCAGCGTTCCGACATGGGACGAAATAAGGTGTCACCGGCCAACACCACAGCGGATCAAGGCGTGTCGTGGGAAGAGGGCCACCAAAAGTACTACCTTTCCACGATAGAGTTATTTTAATGGGGAACATGTGGATGCCATGAGACTTGACTCACTCAACACTACGCCCGCTCTAACGCCGCCAATACGGAGGACCCGAGTCGGATCTATCATACATGTATTGACCCCAGTGCCTACACAACGGCCAGACGGCCTGGGCACTGCGTGGCAGGAGAGGCATCTGGCCATGTCGCAGCCAGCCGGTACGAAAACCGCAATTAACGCTCCCTGCGCGCCACGAGCCAATGGGAGGCGTGTGTGGCGCTCGTCAGGGTCCCCACCTCAACTCTCTCGTGCAGACCCAAACCTTTGCCTCGAACGAAAACACCATGTTTCTCGTCTCGTCTGCAATGCTTCGACTCCATGTACGGGACACTGACGCGTCTGGATTGCCAAGCTCGGCCGCAGACTCGAAAACTCTGTTTAACTCCAGCTTACCGGCCTGGTGCACCATACTCTGCGGGAAAACAGGCGAGTTCGGCATGCCCAAGTCACTGGTCATGATGCCTCCGAGTCAGCCGACCATATCAAACTGCCTGACAGCAGTACGAGAGTCGATAATCTCATGATGCAGGCCAATCAATTTCATCTACATGCGCAGCAAAGTACAAATGCTCTCGCGACCCGTGCGAAGTGCACCATCGAGACAGCAACCTCTTGGCCCCTTTTATGCAATGCTCTAATAATGCTCCAATGCAAGTCTATAATCCGCGTGTCCGCTCATTCATCTTCTTTTTCATTCCAACGAGGATGCCTCACCATCCATACCATCATGTGTCAAACCACGGAGTCGGGCTCAGCCTTCCAGAACAGCCAGCTAAACGCAATGACGAGCTTTATTCCCGCCACTGTCCATAGCGATGGATCGACGGCGCCGGCCGCCTTGGAGATCCAGCCGCCACAGATGGCTCCTACCAGTGTCAGGATAAAGGCGATGAATCGGCGGTTGCGTTTGTCGTTCTTGGCCAGTGTAAACAATGCCGGATCAGACATGAGGTCGCACAGCATGCTGGTGACGACGACGGTGGGAACCTCTCCCACCTTGAGCGTACGACTGCTGACAATTTGACCGGCTGCCTGGAAACTCAGCAAGGCGATGATGAGGAGCTCCTTGAAATCAACGTCGGTGGGAAGCCGCTTGGACGGGTAGGATCCGTCCACGACGCCGCCCTGCACAATCGAGGCGGCGGCTATGACCAGAATGGCTTGGATGAGAAACGAGAGCATCATGATCCCCCGCCGTCTTCCGCCCAGGTACAGCGCAAAGCGAGAGAATGAAAACGAGCCTACAATGAAAAAGGCAATCGAACAAAGCGACCTGGCCCATCCATACGGCTTGTTGTTGTAGCCAGATGTGCCGAGGGCAACGAAAATCGTGTTTCCTGGAAGACATGGTGTGAGCCGTACCGTCATCAATCATCTCAGTGAACACTGAGCTGGCGCTGGGTGAAGAACAATGTACCTGTTTGCATTGACACAAAGGTTCCGTAGGCTGTTGGGAAAACACCAAAGAAACCGCAATACCCATGTTAGCCGACTGTACCTGGCGACAAAAGAGCGGATACCGCACCGACTAACCGTTGTATATGGTGCCGTCAGTCAGGCCTGACACGAAGCAACACGCTAGCATGGGCAGGTACGCCAGCTTGAGGTCAACATTTTGCGATAATTTCCTGACAACTGGCTTCTCTTCCTTGCTCTGTCGGTCCGTGTCGGAATCCGACCTGCCTGGGTTCTCCATGTTGAAATCTACCGAGGCTCCCGCGAATGCACGTACAGTGGGAGAGCAATGGACAGGAGAACAGTGATGAGAGTCAGCGTTTCTGACAGCGGCCGACAGAGTAGATGTGTCAGTTATGTTTTTTTTTTTTGCGCCCTCCTTTCCCTCCCGTCGTTTTGCCCATTTCAACGGAGCGGGAATGAACGGAGTAGCCCGAGCCTGCAGCCAATCCGTGGACGCATTTGGCCGCAAGCAAATCTAATATCGACCCGCTTTATGGGGCGGCTCCTCTTGGCCATGCCGAGTCACTGGGCAGGCAAAAGGTGTGATGTGATGGCGTCTTTTTTTCTTTTTTTTTTTTTAACACGATGAAACCGGCATCACGGAGACAAGTTGCTGCTGAACTAAACACGGTCGCGTCGTGGTTTCCGTTCTATTGAGTAGCTCATGCATGAGTTTCTGTTTCTTTTCCCGCCAAGGAACTTATGCCACGTAAGCCCAAGGGTATATCACTGAGCTAAAGCAACCCTTTTCCCCCGAAGCTTAACACGGTGATGCAACACTGCGTTGCATTGGAAACGGTTTTCTCAGCCTGCAAGACCACTGACGCCGTTATAGAATTAGCATTCTCACATACCTACCTTATGGAGTACATTTGACAACTCTGGCTGCGGGCCGCTCATGTCCCACGCGACATGACAACCAACCTTGACCCAACATCCATTGGTCACGGTCGCCAGCATGGCGCCTGGAGAGGCCGTCATTATTGGACCAGCATCGACTGCCGCTGTGGCGGAGTGGCCTGGGCCTCTCCTCCCTCCTCCCTCCTCCCTCCGCACCTTGCCGGCCAGCCGTGGTGATGAAACCGATCGCGAGATGGCAAGAGCAGAGAAGGGAGTTTTAGTATGGTAATACGGCTCCATCCGCATCCCGTGTTAGGCCGGGGTGATGAGGGTGATCGGGGTTCGTTGGCATCACCAGCTTTCGTCATGTGGAGACGGATGATGGCATGTGGGTATTCCCGACGATTATTCGCGAGCACCGCTGGCAAAGCACGGAGGAGGAGCCGCCGCGACCCTTGGGGGAGTGAGCCCTGGGTTAGTGTTGGCGATAGTCGTACTATCGGACAGAACAGCCATCAGCACCTACGGCTAGCCTCGAAGCCCGGTCTTGGGGCCTGGCGATCTCACCATCTCGCATGAGCCATTCCGCCCGTAATCCCGAGTAGATTGCCGCGTTGCTAAGGCTTTGGACTTATCCCCGGCGTCTTGGCAGTGTGTGTGGTTGCGGTATTGGGTAAAGCGTGTCGACGACCGATGATTGCCATCCCTTGGCAGCCCTTGGCAACCCTCGGAGCAAAGAGGTCATGACACGTCTTGGCTCATCGGCGTCCCGTCACATCGTCAAGGTCTGACTGTGCAAGTTCAGCAACTCCTCCTCCCTCTGTCTGATAAGCTTACTTGCTAGCTCAGCCACCGAACAGGTGTCCCCCCTCCATCCTACCTATAGCCAGGGGGGAGGGGGGGGGGAACCGGCCGTCGTCGCCAAGCTTTGTTGGGGGCGACGCCGTGAATGCCCTGCAGAGCCGTGAACAACGTACGACCAGTGGCCAACTCTAAATTTTGTACTACATACTCTGTACAATCAGGTATCGTGGTTGTGCGACCAAGTTGGCCCGTGTTGGCTGGGTGGCAAGGAGACATTGTCAAGGGGAAAGCCGGGCTTATGATGATGAAGGGCCTTTGTAAGACGCGAGTTTCTGCGACGTTGCTCGGTGCCGGTTTTTCTATAAAACCCCGCTGATGTCGCCGTGAAAAAGACATTGTTGAAGTTGAGCTTTGTTCTATATTCAGAGCACTACAAAACCTTTTACTGGCCCTTCTCTTCCCAGCTCTCCCTTTCGTACTTGAAGTTTTACACTTTCTTTTTTTTCTTCAAACAATCAAAATCAAAATGTTGCCCAGCGCACTTGAAAAGTCCGTGACTCTCGACGGCCCTCTTGCTCGAGACATGGGCGACGGCTCGAGCAGTCATGAACAGGTATCTGGGCATGGCAATCTCCCTGGTTACCTGTCTCTCAACCACGCCAGCGCAGAGGTCAAGGAGCCTGTTTCCGGAGCCACCAAGCTGCGCAAGATGCTCTTTGAGACCAACGAGATCGTTGTTTGCCCAGGTGTCTATGATGGCTTATCCGCACGCACAGCCATTGAGCTCGGCTTCAACGCCATGTACATGGTACGTCGCCACGGTTTCACCGTCACAAACCAACGTATATTCACTAACGCATCACGGAACTTGTAGACGGGAGCAGGCACCACGGCCTCTAGGCTCGGCCAGCCCGATCTGGCCATTGCCCAGCTGCACGAGATGCGCGAGAATGCAGACATGATTGCCAACCTGGACCCCTTTGGCCCGCCACTCATTGCCGACATGGACACTGGCTACGGAGGTGAGCGTCTACAGGCCTCAACTGCTTCTAGCATATCCCAAGTACTGACTGCGTGCCGCCCAGGTCCCATCATGGCCGCTCGCACGGTGGAGCAATATATTCGGGCTGGCGTTGCCGGCGCGCATCTCGAGGACCAGGTCCTTACGAAGCGGTGCGGCCATCTCGCTGGCAAAAAGGTCGTCCCTCGCGAGGAGTACTACGCCCGCATCCGCGCCGCCCACGCAGCCCGCGTCCGCATGCGCTCCGACTTTGTGCTGATTGCGCGAACCGACGCCCTGCAGTCGCTCGGCTACGACGAGTGCATCGAGCGTCTCCGTACGGCGCGGGACCTCGGCGCCGACGTCGGCCTCCTCGAGGGCTTCAAGTCCAAGGAGCAGGCGGCCCAGGCCGTCAAGGACCTGGCCCCCTGGCCGCTGCTCCTCAACAGCGTCGAGAACGGCGCCAGCCCGACCATTACCGTCGACGAGGCGCGCCAGATGGGCTTCCGCATCATGATCTTCTCCTTTGCCTGCATCGCGCCCGCGTACAGGGCCATCAAGGAGACTCTCACCCTGCTCAAGACCAAGGGCATCGTTGGCACGCCCAAGGACTTGACGCCCGTCCGCTTGTTTGAGGTGTGTGGGCTGCAGCACTCCATGTCTGTTGATGTGGAGGCCGGTGGACTTTCGTTTGCAAATGGTGTATAATGTTTTTTTAACTAGTTTGTCTTGTTCTTATTATGATATATGTGAAACACGTAAATATTCCAAGTATGCTTGAGACTTTTTGCTATTTTAGACCTATTCAATACTAGTCTTTTGGTTAAAAAGTTGTCATGATTGCTACAACCGGGCTCAACTGTCTCAGACTGGCTATACGCATCAAGTAAACAGAGAAATACGAGACGTCCCAGCTCCTCCGTTGGAAAACACAAACAGAGAGCAACACTCCTCAGGGGTGCTGCGGCCTTGCGTCATGACGGTTACATTGAGGCTTGCCAGTCGTGCTGACTCCGTGTTTGCCACAAATCCTCGAATCTCCGGGCTCGGATAACTCCCGAGGAAACGGGCGTCGTGAACACATAACCCAAGTCCCTGTTGCCCCTTATCTGCATTACAGCACGCCACTTGTTTTCGGCGATTGCGTAAACTGTGGTCCATGACGCACCATTGTTGGTAGTTGGCTCTTCAAGACAATCATCTCCGCGGCGCGGGTTGTTGCACTACGATGGAAAGAGCAGGTCCTTGTTGACAACCTGACGACCTTATCACTCACTCGTCAGTTGCTGCGAAAGGGATTTTGTAGCCGTAGCCTTCCTCGGAGCCTCGGTATGGACTTCCGCTCGCCCGGACGCGGTGACGGCTGGAGATTCGCGTAAGGATTTCATATGGGGCTGCATAGTCCAGAATGGGGACGGGTGAACCCGGGTGCGGCTGAAGATTGGCCTCGACGACGGGATCCTTTGAAAAAAAAGTCGGAATCTTTGCAACTACCACTGTGGATGGAGGCGAGGGAGGACTAGACTTTTACAAGTAGCGTTTGTATCGCCCCTGAGCAGCGCAATGAGACGGTCTACTATGTAATTTAATTAGGGCTAGCTATTTCGTCATGTTACTAACGGGGATTATTGTTTCGCTCTGCAGTCAAATGAAATTACAAGCATGATACAGGTATCGTGCAAGCGTAAAATCTAAAACAGTATTAGGCTGTACCAGGCCAGGGACGGTAAGAGACTAGAAAAGTAGACCGTCTACGCATCGTGATTTCGTCAGGTTACAAGTGAGATTTTGTGTATTTGATCAGCACAAGGTTAGCAGTCGGACAAGTACACCCACGGACTCTGCGACCGAGTCGACGGACAAACAGGAACGAATCGTCTCTCCAGTCAGTTGTGCGTGTGCCGCCGTGAAGAACAGATGCTAAGTAATGACAAACAGCAAAGTTTACACGGCGGCTTGCAAGCCAGCGAGTGGATGCAGAAACTGCAGCAAAACAGTTTCCACGCGTCTCTTCTTACACAACACCGTACGAGACGAGTACCTCAGTCACCCGAGGGTTTCACATCAGACAAGCCAACTATTCGCTTTACAACGTGCCCCAACTCGGACTATATATAGAGCGAGTCGTGTCACGAGGGAGGCAACCCGGCCCTTCAGACACCCACGACGGCTGCCATTCCCGCGCTATATCCAAATGCACGTCATGGCCAATGAGCAACCCCAGTCGTCACGGGTGTACCGGACAAGCTGCGACAAGTACACGGGATTGGCCACGATCTTTCCGCGGGCGAGGGGGAACCAGGCGTGCAGTGTGCCACACCTCCCGCCAGGACCGGACGTCGGTTCCCTAGACCACGGTGCTGCCAGACACGAATCGGAACATGTGCTCGTGTCCGGGGCAAGTGTAGTTGCTGCTCGCGGGCAGCGCCACTAGATTGATGCAACCCTCATGGATGTCGGTCACCCCCTTCCTGGCGGGTTTGTCCGCCCGACGCTGGAACCAATAGACATGACTGGTTCGGATGGCGAGTTGCCGCATTGGGACTGTGTTGACGACACTTCCTGAGATACAGGGTGAAGTGCTTGGGATGTGAACCGTCCAAGGGGGAGATCGATGGAAACTTAAAGACGTGGCGATTTGCTGCTTGAGTGTTGGGATGGGATTTTAGGCGACTGTGACTCATTTGATTCAGTATATGGCAGTATTTGCATTAGGAGGCATTCCTAGTGTCTTGTGTAGCTGGCAAGAGATTTTGCTTGATTATATTGGCAAAGATTGCTGATGAAGGCGGCTTTACTCGGAAGCTGCCATGTCGCGAATCTGTATGAATAATGGCAGCGGTATTGACAGTCTGCCAATTCCTGTCATGGAAAGTGAGGAATGGGCTTACAGGAGGAGAAGAAATGGCCGGTTTTGCTGCCTCTATCCTGGCGAGAAAATGGCCAAAGAGGCACCATGGCTGTTTTGAGGACGCTTTTGATTTAGGAGTGGTTTTGCAGCTCGAGAGATGTTCTTTTCTTTCCCCTTTTGATCCTTTTAACAGATGAAAATTATGGCATTGTCCTCCCTTGGTATCTGTGTCGAGATCCGCCGTCTTCTGACTGAGGCGCCGGCCTTGGCAAAACACAGCTTTGGTGTTGAATATCGTCGGCTAGAATGGCCCTACATGCTCGTAGTATAAAGTACCCATCGCACGCGTACTATCCCGTACTCCGTGGCTACTCGTTTCCCTCTTCATAAAGACTACTCCTTGCTGTATGGGGACATGTTGGGGGCCGGCATGTCAGCCACCAGGTTGTCATGTTCGGCTCGGATATCTCGCGCAAAACAAGTCCACAAATGACGGTGCCCTGAACGAAATGCAAATCGCATGCCCCAGCTCGTGCGCTCGATTCGTCATGTACGAGCCGACAGGTCAGCTCCCGCAGCCACGACAGAAGAGAAATGAGACGTGTCGCCTCGGCCCCTGGAGCAAACCAAGCCGTCGGTGATGTTGGGTCTGAGTTACACACACGCTGCCCCGGACGTGTCGACGCTTGGGCGCTGAGCGCGCCTCTTTTCGACAGGAGATGCACCAATCCATCACAGTTACCCGGCGAGCGCATCGCCAAGTCCACGGTCCCGTCACAGACACGACTCGCTCGGGTCCTGCTCCTCCAGAGTCCAGGCATGGCGGTGATATCTGCTGATAAACGGCAGATGCACAGCTGCACGCGGGTGGAGATTGTTGATGGGATTTGGACAACTCAGCCCGCAGCACCCAGTGGGCTCGGCCTAGCACTGAACGGGATTCTCTGGCGTCTGGGACGGTGACGTGGCGTGCGCCAGAGCGAGTATCGCGATGTTGAGCTTCATGCAGGCATCCCCGCCGGCTGCGCGTGTCGCTTTTTCCTTCCCCCCCCGAATCTGCGACCTGCCAAGGCCGCGCTATGGATTTGCTGCTGGCTACACGAACACCGGGACTCGGTGGCACGCCAGCATGTGTGTGTGTGTGCGACCAGGCGCTGTCTTGGGCGGAAAAGAGAGACAGCGCGTGCAGCATCTCACAGCAGGTTTGCGGCTGGGGAACGTTGAGGCGCGCGCGGGCGTCACAAAGCCCGTCGACAATGGCAGTCGCTCACCTTGAGACATGACGGGCGGTCATCTGACGGCGTCTGGCCAGTGAGTTTGCGAATCTCTGGCCGTGGCGCTCGGCGTCGACGCAGGCGTTCGTGCTCGCGCCATTGTGACAGGAGATATAATCGACGCCGGGACCGCGGGGCGGCCGCACGCCCTCGATGCCATGGTTTCTTGCAGAACTCACCGGACCTGTCGCGCACAGCAGCACGAGCCATGGAGTTATGGCAAACATGGAGACGCGCGGGACGGGCGAGCTGAATGCGTCCGACGTCGTGTTGCCGGCCCCATTGGCTGCGTGTGCTTATATCGAATACACAAGATGATGCAGAGCGCCCCGCAGGAGTGACATGACATGACATGACATGAATAGGCAAGCTTGCTGGCATACATGCTGCTACATGGTGCCTCGTACAGACTGGACGGACAGATGGGGTACACACAGGGTGACCGGTCAGCCCGGACGTGGCCGGCGGCTGGTACATGTAAGCTTTTTTTTTCCCCTCGATGGCCTTGGGCCATGGGTGAGGGGTTCTATCTGCTGACGTGGTATTGGTGATGATGACGATGGGCGCTTTTATATATATGTACATGCGTGCGTTCCGGCCCAACAACTCTGTCGCTGGGCCGTCAGCCTCTCGCCACCATGCCGAGCATCACGGACGAGCACCCCGAGTACAGCCGCACCGGCAAGCTGGACACGCTCCGGGCGACCGAGTACGGCTACCTCGACGAGCAGGACCACGTCTACCTCGACTACACGGGCGCGGGGCTCGCCGCCCGTTGGCAGCTCCAGGCGCACAGGAACCGCCTCGACGGCGCCACGTTTGGGAATCCGCACTCGGAGAGCCCAACCAGCCGCGCGGCGACGGACCTCGTCGACCGGGCGCGGCGCCGCGTGCTGCTGCACCTCAACGCCTCCCCGGAGGACTACCACGTCGTCTTCACCGCCAATGCCACCGGCGCCGCCAAGCTCGTCGGCGAGGCGTACCCCTTTGCCAGGGGCGCGCGCCTCGTCCTCACCGCCGACAACCACAACTCGCTCAACGGCCTGCGCGAGTACGCCCGCCGCGCCGGCTCCAAGACGCGCTACGTGCCCCTGCGGCCCAAGGACCTGCGCATCGACACCGACGCCGTCGTCGAGGCGCTGGGCCGCCGCCGCCCCTGGCCCCTGAGCCGGCCCTCGAAGCGCCCGTGTCCCCGGGGCCTCTTTGCCTACCCGGCCCAGAGCAACTTCAGCGGCGTGCGCCATCCGCTGCGCTGGATCAAGCTGGCCCAGGACCTCGGCTACGACGTCCTCCTCGACGCCGCCGCCTACCTGCCCACGAGCCAGCTCGACCTGTCCGCCGTCAACCCCAGCTTCGTCATCGTCAGCTGGTACAAGGTCTTCGGCTTCCCGACCGGCGTCGGCTGCCTGGTCGCCCGCCGCGACTCGCTGGCCCGGCTCGCCCGGCCCTACTTTGCCG